ATCGAGCGTACACGGAGTGAGCTGATACCCTTTCTGACAGAGACGATTTATGATGAGGATGAAGTCCTCCTTGCTTTAGCTGAACAGCTTGGTACATTCACTCCTCTTGTCGGTGGACCAGAATATGTGCATTGTTTATTAGTAAGAATGCTTGATATAATTACAAGATTTCTACTACTAATTTCTACTAACAGAGAAAAAAATAAGACTTTCCTGTTGTACCATTTAAAAAAATTAATAATCTCCAATTTAGCCACCTCTGGAATCCTTGGCTACTGTGGAAGAAACTGTTGTACGTGACAAAGCTGTGGAATCCTTAAGAAATATTGCAAGTCAACATAGTCCTGTGGACCTGGAAGAACATTTTGTTCCATTGGTGCAACGCTTAGCTTCAGGAGACTGGTTTACGTCAAGGACATCTGCATGTGGCCTGTTCAGTGTTTGTTATCCACGAGTAGGACCAGCCATTAAAAGTAATTATACAATGATTAATCTTTTTTACAAATCTCTATGTTTAATATTTATTATGAAGCCAAAATATAAGAAGATGAGCTTAACATTTTTCTTCAAATCTTAATTTTACAGCGGAATTGCGAAATCACTTTCGCGGTTTGTGCCAAGATGATACTCCAATGGCACGAAGATCAGCTGCTTCTAAACTAGGTGAATTTGCAAAAGTCGTAGAAATTGAGTATCTCAAGTCTGACTTAATACCTATGTTTGTTATACTTGCACAGGATGAACAAGTAAGTATATTAAATGATTACATGTTCAAAAATATTTAACTACATCGAGATTATATTGCATAATAATTCGTTGTAGGATTCGGTTCGTCTTTTGGCTGTTGAAGCCTGTGTCAGTATTGCAGCATTGTTGCAACAAGAAGATGTTGAACAATTAGTCATGCCTACGCTTCGGCAGTGTGCTAGCGATCAATCATGGCGCGTTCGTTATATGGTGGCAGATAAGTTTACAGATGTATATATCACTTCTATTTACAGTTCTAACGCAGAAAAATAATTTAATAATGATTCTGTGTTTTATATAAAGTTATATTGTAAGTATACTAATAAAATATTTTTTTCAGCTTCAAAAGGCTGTTGGACCGGAAATCACAAAAACTGATCTCGTACCAGCATTTCAAGTATTACTCAAAGATATCGAAGCAGAGGTGCGGGCAGCTGCTGCTGATAAAGTCCGCGACTTTTGTCAAAATCTCGATCAGTTCAATCAGGAATCTATAATAATGACAAATATATTACCTATAGTTAAAGAACTCGTGGCCGATCCTAATCAGCATGTAAAATCAGCTTTAGCGAGCGTGATTATGGGATTGAGCCCCATACTCGGCAAGCACAAGTAAGGACGAACGATTTCGGCACAACATTGTAAAGTATACCAATCGGTCAATAATCGTATTTTATATTTTCACAGCACGATCGAACACCTGTTACCTTTGTTCCTATCTCAGCTCAGAGATGAATGTCCCGAGGTGCGGCTCAATATCATTAGCAATTTAGAATGTGTTAATGAAGTTATTGGCATTCAACAGCTCTCACAGTCCCTTTTACCAGCTATTGTAGAGTTGGCTGAAGATTCTAAATGGCGTGTGCGACTAGCTATCATTGAGTAACTATGCCCACTTGTTTTTGTATAAGTTACATCACAAAAATCAAAAGTACATAATATGCTATGAATCAAATTTCAGGTACATGCCGTTGTTAGCCGGACAGCTTGGAGTGGAGTTCTTCGATGAGAAACTAAATTCTTTGTGTATGACTTGGTTGGTGGATCATGTTTATGCAATTCGAGAAGCCGCAACGTTAAATCTAAAGAAACTGGTGGAGAAGTTTGGACCAGAATGGGCACAAAATACAGTGATACCTAAAGTCTTGGCTATGTCGAGGGATCAGAATTATCTTCATAGAATGACATGCTTGTTCTGTATCAATGTAAGCTACGTTGTTATGTTACAATTAAAAAATAATGTAACAAATATTCTAATATCCAACTAATATCTAATATATGGATGGCATAATGTTTATAATAGGTTTTAGCTGAAGTATGTGGCCCAGAAATAACCACAAAGGTTATGCTTCCGACTGTATTAATCATGGCTACTGATAATGTCGCAAATGTAAGATTTAATGTCGCCAAGACCCTCCAACGAATTGGACCTTTCCTCGAACCTTCAGCAGTTCAAACTCAAGTAAAACCCATTCTTGATAAACTCAACACCGACAGTGACGTAGATGTGAAATACTTCGCTTCAGAAGCAATTGCTGGTATTGCAGGTAAACATATCGCTGTTATATCTTGTTAATATAAAAAAAACAAATGACTAATATAAATTAAACATAAAAAAGTTTCATTTTTTATATATTATCACTTCTTCATGTGAAAAGAGTATATTTTACTTAATATTTTTCTTTTCTAATTATATTTGACTTTAATTGTGATTATGTTTTAGCGTAGGTTGAGCAACACAGTGCATTTATCGCTTATCCAACATTATTCAACTTAAATTTGAGAAAAATATGCCACGATACTTTACTTACACATGGCAACAGGTAATATTAATGCACAGACGGAGCCAACTTCAACAACAAAACATAAAAATTCTAATTAGTAGATCACGTTGAATCATATCTTAAGTTTTGTTGTATTTGTATATCTATAATTGCAGTAATGAGTACAATATTCAACTTAATTAGTAACATGTATTTCTAATATATACTTGATTAATTGTCTTAAAAAATAATATAATAAAATATGTCTCTCGGAATCATTCCCATAATTAAGCACCTAATTATGATTTACATTTTTATTTTTATCAACTAACATCTTAGTCATTACTTTAATAGACATTATTTTAATATCTTAGGTACAATTTATGTATAATTTTTAAAAAAGCAAAAACAAAGCTTTTTCTTGTAATTAATTTTATTTCATAGCCTTTAATATGGGTATTTCACATGATATCACAGCTTATCACTATTATTGTTTAATAAATTTCGCTATATATTGAAATTTACTTCGTGATTATAGAACACTGGTACTATATATTTATATATGTGTGCGAACATATCAAATCAAAAATTTTACTAATACATGGTAACTAGCATAAAATCAATTATCCCATACATTATTACTAGCTTAAAAACAATATTTATGTTTTCCATCAACTAAGACTTTATTTAATAATTGTGACTTTTTATTTACATGTTAATAAGATAGTGGTAAACATACGTTGTAACAGGTAACTTTTAATTTACTTGACATTGCTCTACAATGAAAAGCACAAGATAATTATTAATTTTGTTTCATTTATTGCATTGGATAAGCGTATTATGGTTATAGAATTATATGTTCCGTAGTATAGGTATATTGTATATTCAACACTGTATTATATTTGCTATACTTGAGCTTTTGAAAAAATTATGTAATTATTATCAAAGACAATTAACATAAAGTCTCCTACTAAGATCCTTAATATCTATGGAATTTTTTATTAATTAACGGATATTAATACTTGAATATTCTTCAGAATTAGTGCAATTATCATATCAATGACAAATTCATAATTATATCATTGCAAACAAAATAAATTCTTATAAACTATATTATGAAGTATATTACCTATGTATGTAGAGTGTCTTATAAGTAACGTATCAGATATTCTATGCAAAAAATTATTAATTGCAGAAATAAAAATTTTAATAAAATATTTATTATTATGTAATTCCTAATATAATAATAATTATATATAATTACTCAAGATATGATCTGTACAATATTATAACTATATAATATTATAATTATATATAGCTACATATTATAACTATCACATTTTTAAGTGTTAACGTTTTTCAACTATGGTATAACAGAAATATTTCGTACTATACTATAGCACTGTTTAATATACTTCATAATAACAGGATTTTATATGGGGCTATACGAATTTGTCAATAACTGATCAATTTAATCTGACGAGTTTTTGGCTCTTAATGTCGAGAAAAATAATAGCAAAACAAAAGATATAGTTTATCGATCCGTTTCCATCAGTATTCAAAAGTGCTTAAGCATACAAGCACTTTATTTATTTGTCTTAATAAACAATCCCTACATGTTTAAAAAAAAGCCTCCAGATTTTAAGCACAGAATATAAAATGCTTAATTACTCATAAATTGAGCATAATTTATTTTGTTTATAGTCGCCATCATTATATGCTATCAAAGTCTCTCAAACTCTATCTATACTTTCTCAGCTAATATTTCCTTCAAATATTTTATACTTATCGGTAAATATCAAATAAATGTTAATAATTGATACTTTATTAAAATAGTGCATTTAAATATAATTTCTGGTTGATAAATTGCACCAATGAAATGACTTTAATATTCATGTTTGAAACGCCATCGCTTTTATAATTGTTACAATTACCTATAAATAGTATGATATAATCTATATTTCGATTCCACAAAAAGAAAATTTAAATTTGGTATACTCAAATTTTGTTGCAGTATAAAATATAAAATATAATATCATTAACATAATCTCTATATAGACATCTATAAACAAAATAACTAATAAAGTAGCTGCAACTACAACATAATTTGCCCATCTTATAAGATTTTAAATATTATCTAATATAAAATATACGAAACATGTACAAAATTCTGATTTATCGTTTAGAAATGTTTAATGAACTGAATAATCAAATGTGTGTAATAAGATACGAAAATTTGGCAAATGTCTTCTTTATGAATTATTGATCAGATGTTGATCAAAAATATAAACACAATACATTTTTCTGCAGCGTGTTCTATAAACACGAAAATATAAAAATTCCGAATGAGAACATATTGTGTCTTAATAACAGTCACTATATACATATGTTTTAAGAGCTAACTAATCTACATTACCGTTTATTTTTCCTACTTCAAAATTGGTTTCAAGCAGGAAAATACCTGTTTTGTAAAACACTGGCAAGTGTAGATTATATCGTAGCCATATCTGACTTTGTCAAGTCTACGGAAATCGTATGACTAATTGTCGCAACGTGCGCACTACTCCCGCTACTCTCACTGCTGCTGTTAACGATATTCAACGATGAAATTTTAGCCCGTTGATACGCCACAACGGTATTTAAACTCAAGAATCTGAAACAAACGATTTTTATTAATTGCATAAATCGTGTGGCGGCAACACCATCGATATTAAAACTTCTCATAGATCTAGCTTTTATGTACCTTATGCAAACATATATGATCAGCAGTGCAGCAGCAGCAGCGATCGTTTTGATAATGGGTGCCTCTACAAGTTGAATAACTATCCACGAAGCAGCCGAGGACGCACACATCGTTGTAACAATAACGATAGTTTGTAAGCAGTGTCGTGAAGTTAAACCGTTTTGCCAATCCAATCGACTCGCGTGTTCAACGTTGTAATTCGTGCCACAAACTTTACAAGTTAGGCTATCAGCATTTACAGAACTCTAGAGAAAAAGAAAAGGAGAACGTGAGAAAACACAATTAAGATAATATACTGAACTAAACACAATAAATGTATAAGATTTCAAAACATTTCACCTCAACCAGCCAACGGCGAAGACAATCGTGATGTACAGCGCTTACGTCGCCTCTGCATTGGCATGGTTGTATCAACGGGCCAGCATCCTGTCTGTCACTGTCGTAACAAATCCAACAGTCCTTGCTATTAATCGACGTTGCATCCGTAAGAAATGCTGTGTCTTGAGATCCTTTCTCTTGCAGTTCTATCTCCTTTGTATGCTTCCCTTGATCCAGATCCAATTTTTTCAAAATTCGCTTTGGATTTAGAATCCACAATTGTTCCGGACTGAAGCAAAAACGATAAGAGAGACATGTGTTAACATGGCGTATAAATATAATTTATAAAAGGAAATAATATATAAGATGTACATATAAATATACCTTATACAATTCCATAAGACACAGGGGAACCACAGCGCTACACCAACTTCAATAACACGGAACACGACATCATGCCAATTTCTGCTGTATAATGGTACTCTAGAAATATAAATTAATACGTGCATTATTTAAACATAAGATTTAAATTGACACAAGTCACCAAGAGTCCTTACTTTGCTTTCCAAAATTCGCTGAGAGTCTCACTGCACAAAAAGCCAACTATTATAAACAACATAAACGCTTGTGAGACTAATCCAAATCTAGATTGATGCAATTGAGACATGTTCACTTGTTGCATATGCAAAGGCTCTGACGTAGACGTAGATGGAACTGGATCAAACAATTTTGCAGTTACTTGTTCCTCAGGATGAACTTTTGTTTCGTCAGGTGTACGTTTATTTGTTGCTATGGAAGCAACTTGATATTCGTTTAAAAATCCACCACGAATCTAATGATAAAAAATATCTTAAATAACTTAAGAATATAAAAATTACTGTACAAATGTTATGATATACAAAAAGGAACATACTTTGAAAAATACTTCAACTCCGTATATCAAGAAGAAAACCACCACTATAAATAGCAACACAGCATAACAACCATTGAAAATGTGTGTATAAAAGCTCTAAAATAAATAAAAGATATATTGAGTAAATACTATTTTAATATAAAATATATACACACATGTGTATAAATTAGTGGAATATTATTATAATAAATATAAACCATTTAGTTCTACTTTCAATTTTGTTGCTTACTTGATCTTTTTGTGAATACATCTGAGCTGTGATAAAGTCCGCAAATAAAAGAGAATATGTTATTATATTGAAAATGACAAAAGCCAAGAAGGACTTTGACAAAAATTGAGGCTTGTCCCATCGAATGTCTCTCAAATGAACAACTTCAGCCCAAAAACAAACAATTAATGAAGATCCACTCAGGAGCAGTGGGTAATATGCTGACAGTAGACTTCTGGACCATCCTTCCTTGAAAGCAGTCTACAAAAAGATAAAAATATATCAAAATAAATAAATGATGTTAATTTAATAGTATTAAAGTAACAATGTTTATCCACATACTGATGATGTAAAATATGCGCCTCGCATAACTGATGCAAGGAAAACCACAAAATATAATACTTTTTGAGTGGTAACCCTACAGGCTCTTAAAAATGATGGTGCCTTCATTTTCTGCCATTCAGCTACAATGCACATAACAAGTTGTATCAAGCAAATGAAAGCTAATATAAAGAACATTGTGGCAAAGGCAATATAATAACTTAAATTTGGAATATGACATTCTGGCCCATCAAATTGGATCTGAAATAAAATAACAATTGAAGATAATCTTAAAACATTATATAATAATAAATCCCAAAACTAACAAAAGTTTTACCTCACATAAACATGTCCCATTATGACATTCTCCATGACCAGAACAATTTTCAGTACCACAGCTATTGTTCCAAGCCATCATACCAAACTTAACTAACAAAGACAATGGATTTTGTGTACTTAATGCGATCACTTGTTCCATGATCGCTAGATACAGAGCAACTGCTCCGGTACAGTTCTTTGGAAAGCTGTTTCATAAAATAAAAAATAGCTTATATTAGTTATTTTTATACAATATATATTTCTAAGTTACAGAAAACATTGTTCTTATATTATCATGTGTTAAATATTTATCTTATATTATCATGTGTTAAATGTTTATCTTATATTATCATGTATTAAAAATTTACAAATAGAGATGAAAATTAATAATACTTCCGGAACTAGTTTAAACAAATCAAGAAACAATCCAAATTTCAAATAATAAATTCATCATGCATAACTTTGCGTATAATTTCAATTTTTATTGCTTCAATGAATTATTATGAAGTACAAAATAATTTGTATTTCATGCTTAGAGAGAAGAAGGAAAGAAAGACAGTCTAGTCATATAATGAAACACGATTATATCGCTCGACCTTACCAATAAAAACATATAAAAAGTAATAAAAGACATTTAATAATAATAATGACAAATAAAAAACAATACCGAAATATGGATTCTCAAATATCGTGTATTCTTAGATATTATATATTTAATTTCATTCAAGGAGCAAATACGCGCAATGAGACGAGTACTGATAACGAACGATAAACATTGTATGTACACTCTAACAAAGAGAAATGGATTCCTCCAATCTAGCAGAGAAATGGATTCCTCCGTATGAGGAAACAAGTTTTTCCCCCTTCTTTGTCGCTGACTAACCGATCTGATCCGATATTGCATATATGTTGCTTCCGCAGTGTATCGGGCCTACTTCGCGGTACGAAGTAAGTGCAAGCGTACGCAATGACGCCAAGATGAGAGCATTCGTTACATTAGTCAGCTGTCACTGTTAGTTGTCCTGCGACAAACACAGTCGCTAGATTATCCCGCCAAATTACGCGTTGATCTCGATAACATAAAACGATGCACTAACGAAAATCAGTTACGTCACATACGAATGATAACCACAACGCGTTGTGGTAAAGAATCTTTTTACAACACCATTCCATCAACCTTTAGACCCCGACGAACTCTGCTCATTGAAACAGTTCATCTGATTCTCCCCCCCCCCCAGCATGCGATCGTCAATGACGTAAACATTACGTCTAGTTTCGATGGGCGACGTGGGTTTGTGCAGAGCCCAGAATGAGATAGATTTATATGTCGCACTTAGATATAAGAGAGATAAAAGAAGGAAAATTACAAGAAAATGTGGGAAGTACAGATAAAAAGAACAGATCTGCATTCACTTCATTGGGAACACATAGGTTGGAGTCTTGGAGCAACTAAAAAGAACAAACCCTATGTGATATTTTAAAACGGGACTTAAGCAAAACAATTCCGCTGTCATTTTGTTGAGTGTGGTAGTGTGGTCGATATTCCTCCAGTTGTCGGGATATTACTTAGAGTTAGTCGGATTCAGTTGTGGAAGCGAACGAAAGCATTCAAGGCAAGATATATTCTTCCGGCGAAATTATTTTTATCTTACTATCCACAAGTAGTACCTCTTCTTTTGATGAAATAAACCACGAAGTATATTCCTCAAAACGTTATATAATATATATATATATATATATATATATGTATGTATGTATAAGTATCACGATTTGTGTAAAATATTATTGTGTAAAATATCTAAATACAAATTATATCTTGTGTACTCACACTGTGACATTAACATGCTTATGTGAAGATATTTCAATTGTTATTTTCAAAAATCAGAATATTGTACTTTCATATGAAAAATTAGTAAATATTCCCAATGAATAAATAATATGTTGGAAATTTAATAACAAGATATATTTTATTAGTCATATTTTGCAGCTTTGAAGTACAGCTTTCGCACTATTACTAATTTAAACTGTAAACAAAATTTACAGTTTTGACAATATAAAATGTTATATAAGTAGATAAATACCAGGTAAATTTAAAATAAAACAATCTACATAAAAGTAAAAGTTCTTTAAATTTCAGATGTCTACTGCGGCGAAGCCTCAGCTCCATGGTCTCCTCACATCACAAATTAAAAAGAATCTTATTGGAATGACAATAGCTAGTATCAGTACAGCTATTGCATATAAAATTCTTGTTTGTGATCGTAGGAAGCAGAGATATGCTGATTTTTATAAGTATGTAACATTTACGAAAAATGCGAAGTTATTTTCTAGTGATAACATTTATATTTAAAATACTTCTAGCTATTTATTTCTATTAAAAATACTTTTTTTTATTTTATCCTAATATTATGTAATGTATTCTTAATATAATTTTTATTGTTACTTAATATATGTTACTAAACTTGTTATGTTATAGAACCTATGATGCAGAGAAACAGTTGAAAATAATGAACGAAGCTGGTCTTATGCAGTCTTATATAAGCGAGGAAGCGAAGGAAGGCAAGAATTAGATTGATAGAAATCTAAGAAGATGACGGATAGTCTTCATAATTATTACATCTATATGTCATATATATATATATATATATATATAATAAATAAATTTAAATAGTATATATCCTAAATTTCTTGCTGACTACATATGTATTTAATTCACACAATTTCTATTCTAATTAAACATTAATTTTGTCGTGGAAGGCTTGCATCTGTTACACAAAGTATATGAGCAATATACTTTTGTAGAAAATTCTTTAATTGTAGTGGTTTAATCATCTATATATTTCTGTCTAATGAATAATACGAATCTTTTGTATTATTTATTCTTCCACTATTCCATGTTATATATAATTACGCTTATTCAATATTCAGATTCTTCATTATCATCCTATTTAATTTGCAGTTTTGCAATATCCTTTATGTTTAAACATTTTTATCCAATTACGAAAAATGCGAAGTTATTTTCTAGTGATAAACGAAATTCTACGCATTACATGGAAGAAACTAATTTTGGCATATAGTAGAAGTATAGTCAAGCCTCAGTAATATGCATATACAATAGTGCATTTATGAAAGAAATGCGGGATATCCCGAAGCGGAAAGGAAGCCGTCGTTGGGAGTAACGACTCAAGGCGAGATTTGAGGTTAGGGCGTATATGTTAAAACGATCGGCAAGATGGCGCACCGTGGATACCCAGCATGCACTGCGCGATTGATTTGCGCATGTCAGTTGGTCGCATTGCAAATGGCGGCACCTTGTTATTGTTCATGGCGTTTTATGACTTGTCTCTTTATATTAGCGATTATGTCGAGTTTTTTCGCGATTCCTGCCGCGCGCTGTGTGTTAAGAGTGAAGTAAGACTCGCGCGGTGTATTTTAGGTTAAGACTAGTGTCCAGGTGGTGTGCCTCCGTGCTGTACGGACGCGAGAGATCGCGCACGGAGTCGGAAAGAAATGGGGTAACGTTGAAATTTTCCTGTGTTCATACGGTATCAAATCCGCGCTGCGCGACGACTGAAGTGAGGCTCGTAGGGCAGGCCGCATTGCTCGCCACCCACTAAGTGGCTACATTCGTTGTGTATACGCGTAACGTGCGTAACGGCACGGCGGGACGGGCCAAATAAAAATGACTCCGACTTTTGACGGTCTATCTTGAGCATGCTTGAGCCCACTTCACGTACCTCCCCCGACGGACAAAATGGTGGCCCCCCCGATGTCCGACGGTCTGGATGCCGTATTTCGCCGAAAATCATTACGGCGCCCGTCAGGACGCGCGTTTCACGCTAGAAAACCGTCGATTCTCGTCGACACGCTCGTCCGCGTTTCGCGCCCAGCCGAAAAAATGCGGTCTATAACCTATTTCCTAAGCGTAGAGCGCTCGGTGCCCCCGCTTGTGCACCAGAGGATTTTAATTGCTGTTCGCGAACGGTGAGACGAACCTCGGGATCCGTTTTGCGATACGCTCGTGCGTACGTTCGGCGAAATAACGACAACGAGGAGCCGCCGACACTCGGGAGACGTCACGGAAATTATCCGGGTTTCCCGGAAATCGCGCACAAATTATAACCTAGTAATTCCTCTAGACCTTACTTTTTGTTTATGCGCTTGTGTTTTTGTTATTTTTTTTCGGCATTCTCGCGTGATTAACTGTACCGATTGTTAAGTAGTACTGTTCTTTTCCCAATTACTAACAGCATCCACCCTCTTATTATTATCAGATAATTATCTGTATGCTATGTAATCGTGGAAAACTTTTTTTACGCTTAATAAGTTCCTACAATAAGTCCAGAATTTATCCCTTTAATAAATATAATTTTATATGCATTAACTGTATTGTTGTACAAAATATGTTGCTTCTGTAAAATATATCACATAGCACATATATACATACATAGATACATCACACATATACATCATATATATATATATATATATTGGAAACTGATATGCTAATTAATGCTATATCGTATTAGCCATATTACATATATGATTTTTTATATTGCTTTTGCATTTTTTCTTATTATTAAGCTATTATAATTTTATGACTCAAAAGTGATCAAAAATTTTTAATTGCTTGTTATGTCTTATATATTTTACATTTGATGCATTTATATTTATATACAATACAAAAATGTTTTGCATCACTAGAATATTTCTAAAAATATCTCTAAAATCTTACTGTTTCCTATACTTTTTTCTAACATTATTTTTTTCTATTATAAATTTTTGTCATATTTGAATATATATTTTACTATGTTAGCTTTTTGAGTGATATACTTTATTTATAATAAATTATGTCCTATATATATTTTACTATGTTGTAAACTTGCAAAAATTATATATATTGCCTTACCTATATGTTAACCATATGATGTCGCTCAATATTTAATTATGTATACATACAATGCAATATATAATTATATAAGAGAATGTATCTTAATATGTTATTGAAGTATGTTTTCTTGTATGGCCTATTTATTTCAATTCCTTATTTGTCTAACAGTAAGCAAGATTATTAGTGCTGGTGTGATTTGGAGCTGTCGGTGTACAACTGACAGACAACATCTCATCAGACACATATTGGAGCAACACCCTGAGGCGTTCCTAGACTCCCTGGGTAGTTATGTGATTTGTGGTTGGTATGTATTTTATTATATACATATTGTGTCTATCCTAATCATACACATACACACACGTATTATATTAAACTTGTGTAAATTCAGTATAATTTAAATTGATAAGTTTGTTGAATATCATTAAATAAGTTTGTATCTTGATGTTTAAACTAAGATTAAATTTGCAATTTCTAGTAATAGATTTTATAAAAAGTTATTTTTCATAAAATTTTATATAATATATAAAGATATAAAGTAATATACAAAGTAATACATATATTATTAAAAATATATATAAATGTCAAATTGCTCATCATATTATATATTTTAATTACATAATGTATACAGTAATTTGTGAGCAACTTTATTAAGTCAATATCTAATGATCCAATATTCGTAACATACTCTTTCATAAGGATAAATTATTTCCTGAATCCCTGTATATTTAACCTAACCTCTCTATCTTGATCTTCATAGCTCTTCTTTAAATTACTCTGAAGTTTAACTTTTTACTATTAAAGTTTAACTTTTTACTATTATTATAAAAAACTTCATTTTATTATGACTACCATTATTATAAACTTTTAGTATCCAATGTAGAATAATTAACATTTGTATATGTGTGCACGCGCGCGCACACGCGCGCGCGCGCATATGTACGTACTTCTCATATTACATTTAATATATTACATATTCATTATATTTCTTATTATTATGATTTTCTTTTTTATTTTATTGTACTATTATTGAAATAACATCAATAATAAATATTGCAGTCATGGCGGCAGATAGTGATGGTGATCTGATTGAAACGGTGGTAACGTGTGAGGGCGACCTTGGAGACCCAGAGTTTCCGGAAAAGTTAGACACCATTGTTGACAGTCTCAAAGCTTTACTTAGCAAAGGTAAATCTTATTAATATACAATTAGAATTTAATCATACAAAATAAGTGACAATTTTTATTTAAGTAATTATTGGCAAATAAACCATATTTGGCATATATGATTTGTAGAAAAAGGAGAAGATTTGAAAGTGGACAAGGTAGAACCATGGAACTCTGTCAGGGTAACATTTTCGATACCCAGAGAAGCTGCTCTACGACTTCGAGAGTTAGCAGCTCAGGGTTCTCCAACACTCACACAACTTGGTATACTTTCTGTCCAAGTCGAAGGAGATCAGGTAATTTATATTATAATATTTTTATCACACTGTTATTTGTGAATTATAATATGGGCAAGTACTATTTACATTATAATTATACTTTTTATAGGTAATATCTTTGAGGATCGCCAGTCGTTTTGGAGGAGATGCACAGGAGATAGTGCTACATTCGGGAACCGCGCAAGATGGCGGAGCAAAGTCACAAGGCGACGCTACTAATAATACAGCCACTGCTGACACTAATCCTTCAACAGCTTTGCCTGGTCCTAGTAACGCCACTACCATTTCGTCAGCGCTACGTAATGTCGCTCAGATAATAGCAGCTGGTAAGCTTTTGTGTGTGTGTGTGTGTATGTATAAGTGAAAGAGAGAGAGTATGTATGATGAGAATGTGTGTCCATAAGTTGTAAGGTAAAACTGGTAAAAAAGAATAATATATAAAATATGTACAAATCATATCTGACACAAAATTCTCGTTTTTCAGGAACATCTTCCGAGAAGACACCACAATTTCGTTCTCCGAATGTAGTCGCGCCCCCAGACGGTGATCCTATTCCACCGTTTCTCGCGAAAACAGTACAGTCGACATCAGCGAGCAATGTCGGTGTCTCAGGAAACCAACAAGTAGTTAATCCCAGTGCATCACCTAGAAGCAACTACAACGGCCCCTTCCCGTTCACTAGTATGGCACACGCTGCCCAAGCCATACACAATCGTGAATTGCAGACGACAACAATCAAGAACACGATGCAGTTCAAGCACCATACGCAACCTCCACCCCCTTATCCCACCCAGGAGAATTTGGCGACAGTTACTGCACTGACGACCGGTCACACGACGACTCAACCGGTCGTTACCGTCGGACAGTTGACGAATCAGTATAAGTCCACGATCGCTACAACATCTAGTCTGTCACCAAACAACAGTACCAATTTAGCAGGGAGCTCGAACGGCAGTGGGAATCAAGTCGCTCTGTCCAGTCCGTTACTCGTGAATCTTTTGCAAAATGACGCCAGTTCACACGCGAACAACGTCGTACCTGGTCAGAAGATGTTACCACCAGCTGTTATAGACAGTTCTGGGCCTGCCAATCGTTTGAGACCTACCAAAAAGCCCACGGTTAGAAGGAAAGATCTTCCGTCACCCGGTGAATCGCCACCAAACTTGGATCCATTGAGAAACGAGGATTTAATCGGCGGAACAACAACGTCGATCATTTCCGACTTACCTCAGGCTCCCACAACGTCATCGGCATTTGCGACTGTCAATGTAAATCAACCGTCGACAATACCGCAACAACATACAGTCAACGTGATTGGTGGTACTGGTCAAAGCATGATGCCACCGCAACCGGTACATCAAGTGCCGGCCGGTGGACAGATGCAACAGCAGTCTACTGCTTTACACACACATCAAGTACAAACGCAGCAGAAGTTTCCCCTTAGGCAAGAATTGGCTTACCGGACTTCGCAGGTTCAGATGCAGAATCAGCTTCCCGCCAGGCACTCAGTGAATGGACAACAAATCAGAACGTCCTTGCAACAACGGCAGCTGCTACTTCATCAGCAACAACAACAGCAGCAGCAGCAGCAACAACAACAACAACAACAACAACAGCTTCTTACGCAACAGCAACAGATAAATCAACAACAAAGTATCCCACAGGTCTCGGCGACGCAGCAAGCTCTACTACAGCAACAGAATACGAGCGCAACGTTGCAGACTACATCTCTCGCTAATCAGCCGCTTGTTCAGCAACAACCGAATCATCCGCAACTGCTACAGCATTCGACAGTAGGCTTAGGCGTCCCGCAACAACGGCTAAGTTACTTAAACAGTCAACGTCAACAAACTCCACCGCCTTATCCGAGGCAACCAGTTCCGCAACAAACGCATTTAAGTCAACAGAATCAGGCTCCGAATATACAACAACAATTACATCACAATCAAGTGAAGAACATCAACATCAACACTAGCGCGACCACTGATTTTCGTTATGGGCAAAGCCAGAATATCCTCAGCAGAAATTATCAACCCCCTACCGGCAATGCTAATGGGACCACGTGGAACGCACAAAACAGTTCTATTCCACAAGGTGCTCAAGTCAACACCACACGTCTGTCAGTCTCAAATCAGGTTTCAGGTGCCTTTCCTCAATGTGGGTCTCGTATAAATAATTCTACTACTAGCATTGCTCCACCTGTTAACAAAACAGAATCTTCGGAGTCTCCGAAACCCGAGGAGACGCCCCCACCGGAGCCGGAATATACTTCGACGGGGAAAATACGACAGTTTCTGATTAATCCTCTAACAGGACACTTAGAGCCAATGCCCAGTGAAAGTTCAGATTCAGAGCCGGAGAGTGCAGTAGATCATCAGGACGATTTCTTCCCTTTTCCATCTCCGTCGAACGACAGATCAAATTCCATATTCTCCGACGACGACGCGGACAGCAATTTCTCGAGGCGAAACGACACGACGACGAACACGGATCAGTCCGATTCCGAGACAACGGTGAAGTCCACCGCTAGCGAAGGTAGTTTGAAGCACAGCCGTATAAAGTCGGGCAGAGAAACCGCGCACAGCCCGATGCCCGGGGAGAAAATCAAACTGCGTTTGAAGTTGGAAAAATCGGAGCCTGTCACGCCAGCTTATAAAGTTGACGTCTCGTTCGTAAACACACCGCCCATGAGGAAAGCTGACAAATCCGTGAATAAGATTTTTACGACTGGTGTCCCAAGTTCGGGAACCGGTGATGAGCCACTGCGAGTGCCTCCATTACACATTTCTTTAAGAGGACGTAACGCTTCAGTAGTACAAAGGAAGAAGGAGAAGAAGTCTCTGAAGGAAGGCGAATGTGATCTGACTAAAAGGAAAGGCAAATTGAAGAAGATGAAGGAGTGCATTGATCGGAACAAGTTGCTGCAGAAAAAGTCGCTGAGCATGATCATAGGCACTTCATCCGCATCGAAATTACCTTTATCTCATTCTACGGTGATAAACAGCGCTAACACCGTTAGCAAAATGAATAACATGCTGCAAGCCGCTGTAACCAAACCCAATGCCTTAAAACAAGAGCTACCGGTGGACGCTGTACGTTTACAAACTAGTATCATTAAACCGAGTTCAAGTAAAAACAGCGACGTAGATGATATACCACTGAACAGTAGAATACCGTCTCCTTCGAAACATAAATCTGCGATTACGAATCAATCTTTGAATACTCCGCAAGCTTTAACGAAGAATCAAGTGGACCTTGATGTGCAAAACCACACGCAAGAACACAAGATAGGAGGAGGTAACCGAAATATATCTACATTATTGAAATACTAAATTACGTTTTTTCTCTTTTTTCTTAATTATCACAATATTGTGTTCTTATTACAGGCAAAACGAAAAGAAGGGATTCTAAGAAGAAATCAGACACCGGAGATGGTTTACATCGGGAACAAAATCTATTGTCGGGAGGTAGAATTTTAGATAATCAAGCGAAGTGGAGAAAGCTTGGTTACAAAAGTGATACTACCCAACCGGTGAAAAAGCCGGAATCGCTTTTAATTGGAAGTGAATTTAACGCGGTCAAGAAGGTCGGCGAAGTCCGAAGGACGAGTGATAGCGATATCAATAAATCGGCTATCGAAAAATCGAATTCGCTGAGCAGTATTGCTCCTAGATTAACGGAGCTTAATGGGGTGAAGAAAGATTTAATGAACCAAGATAAAAGAAGACGATTAAGCTTGATGGATGAAAAAGATCTGCATTTAGGAGGTAAATATTAATTTCTTATTTCTTATTTTGTATATTCTAGTCTACATAAATTCGTCCCATTTATTTTACATTGGAATACTTTTTAATTATTATTATTATAATTTTGTTATTATTATTATTATTGTCCCTTTAGAATTTACTCGACGAAAGCTTCTATGGTCTATAGAGTATCTTAGGAAAAGAGAGAGAGAGAAAAAGGATTCACAAAACGTTTGTTTATCGGTGAACAAATTTGTTATATTTATTTGGAAATTAAGTTTTGACGTTTGCTCAAAATTTTATTATTAAATAAATTCAAATACACATTAAAAAAATGGTATTTGGTCAGCAAATATATATAATTATGCTGTGTTCTCTTTAAAGCCTTTAAAAGAATTTTTTGGCAAATAAATCTTGAAATTATGATATTTATGTGTATATTCTTTTAATTATGGTTTATCTACATACAACGACGAAATTAAATAGCATGCCTGTACACGCGTAGCACGCGTCTGTATCGTTCTATATTGTTACATAATTATCGTTTACATATGTTACAGAATCTCCGAATACAGAAGTTACACATTTCAACAGTCAGAAGACAACCCCCGAGTGTCCCGCGGTATCAAGCATAAAAGCAAACACCAGTCTATCCTTCGACAGCGATTCTGGTTTAAAATCGACGAATACGTCGGTACCAAGTGATTCCAGAACCCCACCTAACAATCCGGAAAACAAGATACCTGTGCACACGGAAGCAACAGCGAAAAATTCCCAGCCTCCTATAAATAGGATACTTCCCGTTAAGTGTAAATCAGATATAGACAGTTACAAGGCCAACGCCATCGCTACCGTGAAAAATCAAATCTTTGCTCAGAAATTGAAGAATCATGCAAGAATGCTCGTCAAGAGCGATGCGAATTCCGTGATGAACAGGCATAATAAAACAAACGAAAACTTTGGTCATAAAAAGTCTATTCAGATGAATCATGTTGTGAAGCAGATCGATAGACCAGTGATGGAAAGCAAGATGGAGAACACGTCGCAGAGGATCAGTCTGTTGAAGACTACTCAGAGTTCGGTAATGAGCAACTCAGTGGACCAAGTCTCCAGAACCCAGAATGTCGAGGTGCCCGTGAACAAGCCAACCTTGCCGATCGGCGAGATCAATGTGACAGAGGCAAAAGTTAAACAGAAATTGCTTGAAAATACGACTGTACCTATCGGGCTAGGTACGGTCGACGCAAATATAGAGAGAGTCGGCAGCGGCGGAGGTGGCGAAGACTCGGGGATCGAGTCGATGGATGCGCTTTCGGAGAAATCACCAAACCAAGGAGAGTCTCCTCTGCATAGGCCAGCGACCGAATCAGTGACACAAAGCAGCGCCAAGAACGCAATACAGGGGGAACCCGCCCTGTCAACCACCAATAAGAACGTGCCTTCCTCAACTAGTAGTAGTGATATGTGTTCAAATTCCCATTCGGAACTTCTCAAGTCCAGTGGCCCACAAAGGTTAAGTCCTGTGTCTGTAGCGAGTTATCTTGAAAATCAGTTGAATCGCAATATATCAAACTCCGGTGAACACGACGCGACGAAGGGGAATGTATCTAGTGAGAAATCGACGACAGTTACGAGAACTGGTGGTGAACATAGTGATTTGGTTGCTAGTTTAGATGCGGCTAGTAATGACAAAAGTGTGCCCAGTCCTTTGGTGACGGGATCGGTGACTGTTGTGACAGCGTCTGTAACAAGCAGTATGGATAGTGATAGTAGTTTATTGCAATGCGCGCATCAGCAAGTGAAGGACTTTTCTGATAAAGACAGTTCTAGCGTTAAATTAGAGTGTACTATTAACCAAAATGATCAGGGTAAGGCAAATAGCACGAAGCACGAAGAGACGAGAGCTGTGGAATGTATATCTGAGGACAGCACGAAAGCGGTTGTAGAAAGTAACAGTGCAATTAGATTAAGCGACGAACCTCACGGACAGAATAATAATAATGGTGTGCCTATAATACAAAATCATGTTGCTTATAGTAAAGTTGAAACGGTAAAGCTCGATAGTGTGCTCGCTAACAGTGCCGGCGTGGCGACGGATAATTCTTGTGCGAACGGCGAGAATTGCAATCCAGAAATCAAAGTAGAATCTAAAGTTAACGTAAAGGTGGACGATACCAGGCAAGCTGACCGGTCCGAAATTTCAAAAAACGGCAACGTTCCGCTGAGTACAACCACTCCCATTAAGTTAGAGACGTGTACTGAACAAAACCAGAAATGCAATGTACAAAGTCACCAACAGATCCCACTCAGAGAGCCCTCCGTGAATCTGCAAAAAGTAGCGGACGACCTGGTGAAGAAGATCGTTAACGACTCAAACGAGCTGAGCGTAGGTATCCAGTCGCCACTCGGCGAGGATCCGCAGCCCATCAGAATCACACCGCCCTTGTATACATACTCCAATCCCGTGGTTCTGCAACGGGACGAGACTCCGAGTCCGGCTGCGCAGAATCCCGAGGTGGACTCGAGTGAGGCGGAGTATCTCAAGCGTAAACGTAGAAGAAAACAGGAGCTCGAGGGTCGGCAGGACGTCATATGTATAGAGGACAATGACGAGGGACATTACGTGGAGAGGCTCAACTCCAACAATCCGGAAGAGTATATCAAGAGACCACCGAAGTCGTTGCTGGAGCAGCTTCTGATAGAGATTCCGAATGACAGCAATGAGAAGAGGTCCCTGAGAACCAGATCGCAAAAGTTGAACAGCCCGGACATCGCGAAAACACCGAAAAGCAGCCCTCACGGCCCTAATAAGTTAGAGGAACGTCGTAGTATATCGCCCTACGCGAAAGCAAGTCCGAAACTGGGAGTATCGAAACTGTCTCCTAATGCGACAATAAAAATAGGGAAACGGAAAAGGCAAGAGAGCGAGAGTTCCGTTGCGTCGAGCACAGCTGACGATCCACAACCAAGACCAGGTAAACGGAAATGCTCAGAGAATGTTGCAGAACTTATTAAAGCTTGCATGGGTGTAGAAGAGGCTGGTTCTATAAAGAAACAAGTACCTGGCAAGGAAGAGCAATCAAAGAAGGGGTTCAACATATTGACAAAGGCTAAGAAAGGTGTTTATTTCATGCTACTATTTCTCTGTAGTAGTTGAGTTCGTTAATTTTTTGTTTTTCTTTTTTATACTTTACGTTCTAAATATTTTTTTCTTTTTTATTCAACTATATTTTTTCTACATATACAGGCTGTTTAGCTATTAGCGCATTAAATATTAATGACAGACTTTTTGACGAATTTGGAGTTGCATGAAAATTCCTCAGTATAGCGAGAATTTTGTGGGAGGCCTGATTATGTATCCAGTGATATAAACGTTAAAAAACTTAATTTCTTACATTATTTAAATTATTTAAAAATGTATATCAAAATATTGCAGCAAACAGTGGTCTCTCAGCAAATTTTCGCTAACAAAACCCCGAATTCATTAAGGAATTTCTCATTATCAGCTAATGCGGTAGGTGGACACCCTGTATATATATTATAGACTTTATAATATAGCAAAACAACGACTGCCAAAAACAGGACTGTTTAAATTCATATTATGTCGATGCATATCAACAATTTATCTAACTAATTGCGAAAATATAAGCTTATAACAATAGCTGTCAACTCTGCAAACATAGTGACTTAAATGATCAGAATGGTTGGATAGCATTTTGAATACTTCAATATTTGACACACAGCTACCTCTCAATCTCACTCGTGTGCTTCTAATTCTAAATTCGCCTGTCTCTCGTACTCCATACTTGTCTGATCTATCATACTTGGGCCAGACTTATATGTGACATAAGCGTTTTTATATTTTTAGGTCCCATTGTGGTAGAAGTAGATTCGTCTGATGACGAACCGTTGATTGAGTCGGTAGGAAAAGCAAGAATACGATTGTCAGATGAAACATCCGCTGCTTCCCCAAAGCCTAAAGATCAAAAGTAAGCAACACTGATGCATTCTTTTAATGGCGATCGTGCTCGAAAGAATGAAAAAACAGTTTGCCAGAGATTTGAGAGTTTTGCTACATAAAATAAACTTTTGTTATTTTAAAGCAAGTTTAAGCACAGCTGTTTCTGGCAGTCAAATTAATTCCAGTAATATATCAAATTTCAATGCCAGTAATAGAGTGCAAAGAGAGAGCCGTTTATTAACCACCAAGCAGCCGAGCACGACAACGGCGGCAACGGCGGCAGTTACTGTCGGGAAAGAGAGATTGAGGGGCACTTCCGTGTCCAGCAACGAGTCCATAGGCGAAGTAACAACAAGAAGGTCTGTACGGCAGAATACAGCTTCACCATTAGCTACACCAGCAAGCAATACTAGGGGTGCGTCTAGATCTTCGGATGATATTAACAGAAGGAAAACTCGTAGTAGTGCTGGTACGTAGTCTATTTATTCTCGGATAATTCATCCGAAAAGCACATGACTGCGCTTGATCTTTAGATTTGCAATTGTCAATTTATCAGGCATGTTGCTTACTTTTATTATTGTATTTTATTATTATATTTTATTGTTATTTGTATCGTCATTGTCATCATCATTATCATTATCATCATCATCATCATCGTCATTATCATTATCATCATTATCCATCATCATTGTCATCATCATAATAAAATTTAATTGTTTAAATTTGCTTATCTATTTTATTTATACTATTTTGAACTCTTTCTAAATTGTCAGCATGAAATGTTAAAAATACGATAGAATTTTTATTAAATATTAAAATTTTGTACACCTACAAGCACATACACACACGCGCATACACACATTATATATATATATATATATATATATATATATATATATATATAAATAATAGATAAAACAAATTATAGTTTTAAATATATGTTTTGCATATTTTAATTGAGAACACCTCGTACAGCGGGAACATTGTTTTAGTAACAGCAGAAACAGCAGAGCAAGCGAAACGGAGACGAATATCCCGAGAAAACAAATGACCTTCAGGAAGTGACCTTGACAGTGATTAGCTACCGTCGCTCGTCAAGGCCTATCTGTCTAATTATAAATGTGACATGAATGGGTATTTGATCGCCGTGTGGCTGGACTCCACCTGGTGAAACTGTATGCGTCACTCTAGCGCACAACGTTGCTGTATGTGTACCAGGAGTATTGTGTCAAAAGAAGTGCTGGACGGTGTGAAAATATTTTATGCTGTAACATTTGTTGCCCAACCTTAAGTTAATTATGCGTGTGGTAATACCTTCCAGTTTCTGTTCTTCTTTATTCTTAAAGTTTGCTCTTTCTTTTTCTTCTTTCATAGAATGTAGATCGTAATTAGTAAGCATTATATTGTTGCAACGTTTAAAAAGAGTTTTGTACATTTAGCAAACAATTATCAATTGTTATGTTCTTAAATGTTTAAGAATAGCCAATAACTAAACAATAAAATAAAATGCATCACTCGGTTTTCTTTTCACCGTCTAGCGTTCTCATTCATGCTGTACTCCTAAACAGCAAGGTTTAGTTACTCAGATTTGACTTGCTCAAGCATTATGCTATGATCTAAGTAACTGAACTAACTCAAAACTGCCGAGACATTGTATGTAACTTTCTTTTACCAGCCCAATGTTTCATTCTATTCGAAAGTACTAAATTTCATTATTCGATGTGCAATTTTCTAATGATCGTAAGTAGAAATTTTGATTGCAAAGTAGCATTTTTACCAATGCGATAATTGCGGACTTGTGGATATTAGGTGTAAAAGATATATAAAATTAGCTTTAGTGGCATCTAAGGAAAACGAAACTTATACCATTTGTGTTACGGAAATTATCTTCGCTTTTATAATCTCTTTCGTTCGTCGTATCAGTACAAAATAAGAAAGGTAAAAGAAAGTCCAAATTTAAAACGTCAAACATGAATCCGACTGTACTGCCGTAAGTGAAATATGTATATTTGCCGTGGACAAATTAACTAATCGATGGGATTTAAATCACTATTCTGACGACTTTGCTGATAGACTCTGTTTAGATATGTTCAATTTATATTATATGTACATGGTTTATTTATTATATATCACTTATTCTGAAATTTTGCTATATATCCATTAATTTTGCTATAAATACTATATAGTGTATGTATATGTACGTATGGTTCAAACTATTTAGTATAAAAATATTCATGTATTATTTTACGATTGTATATATGCGTACATATAAAATAGTACATGGATTTTATACAACAAATTAGTTTTTACCGTATGCACATTAAGATACAGTACGTTACTGTTTTCGTACTTATTTACGTAAAAGTTGTAAAAAATGATAATATCCGGTCAATAATTAGGTAATCGTACTACACGATAAATTATAATTATTAATTTCGAACATTAAAACTATTCACGTTATGTGTTGAAATAATAAATATGAAAAAATTTTCACAAAAATCGCAAAGGACCTTCCATTTTTTTGCCATTATATTTCAAAAACATACATATATATATATATATATATGTATATATATACAGAAAATGAAATATGTATATATTATTAAGTATGATAAAAATTACATCACGTAAAAATTGCTAAAAATCAGAACATTATTATTTCATACCATCATGAAGAGTATTAAAACACACACATATATGTATATATGTATGTATATATATATTTGTATGTATGTATGTGTGTGTGTGTCTATATATATATATAGCACACATATATGTGTGTGTATATATATATATATGATTTTAATTGCATTAAAAGTACAGCAAAAAGTTTAGCAATTAAGTTATTGTAATTGTACTGTTTTTCATTTAGTAAACATAGTCTTTCAGTAAAAAGTTCGTCTTGAAGTATAATATCGCAGAGGTCGGAAAAAATATAGGACTTTTAAAGCGGATTTATTTTATTTATAAAACGAGAACGGAACGTTGAGGAAACTTGCATAAATATATGTGAAGATATGAATAATTATTATAAGAAAACTATTGATACAATGTTAATTTGATATATATATAAGTAATATATGAATGAATATATTTTGTAAATAATTTCTTGTAAAGATAGACAAAGCACCTCTCATTGTATATATAGGAACTGTTTAAATTTTTATTAAATTAGTAATAATCGAAGTCGTGTAAGCATCATGATTATTATTATTAATTATTCTCTCGGGTTCATGTATAATTAAGATACTAATAACTCTTCTTACAGATTTAAAATTGCATTGAAGTATATGTGCATACGTATATACAAGATTATATATCTGTGTATGTGATTTATATCTCGATTATTGTTTTCGTGTGAACACACACACAGATAATCTAGTTTTATATTGTATAAATATAAATTATACAGAGAGGAGTTAAAGAATTTAAAGTTCTAGCTGAGCCTGCAGTAGTCATCATACAATACTGTTCACATTTTTCATGGAAATATGCATTTGTTATTCAATTTAGTAACAAACATCTCTCTCTCTTCTCCCCCCTCTCTCTCTCTCTCTCTCTCTCTCTCTCTCTCTCTCTCTCTCTCTCTCTCTCTCTCTCTCTCTGTCTCTCTCTCTCTGCCTCTCCCCTCTCACTGTTTTTAATTTCATAAGGAAAGTTTGGGAAATTTTTTAGGAAATTATTTCAACGGTAAACATTGTAATAGTGTTCGTCTTAATTATATTCTTGCAGATATTCTTCAATTTTCTAAAATTAATGTCAAATGCTTTGTAAACAGCTTCTTAGGAAAATTCAACAAATTAACATGTTCTATTTGAAATATTCGGTTATAAGTTTGTAAATTGTTCTACTATTGCGAATACGTAGATGCCACTAATATATATTAAAAAATTAAATAGTCTTTTTTTGTTTTTCGATTACTGTTTATTTTCGATGTGTGTTATTCTAAACAAACCTCTGTTTTTTCAGTAACAAATCAAATGTATGATGTAGAAAGATTGTGTGTTGTTACATTTACTACAAATATAGCACGTACAAAATATGATAAGTGCAGTGCTCAATTACACAATATATAAACATTTTCTATTCAATGCTTCTCTTAAGAGCTTGATGGCTACCAGGCGATACTTTGATAGAAATTGCTTTTCTCACGCTATAATATTGAGAGTGTGTATGTGTATGTGTACATATACACACACACACACACACACATACACATACTTAGATTTAATAATATTTAAAATAGGAAAGAATTTCATCGATCTATATACCCAACATATAAAGGAAGAGACTGCTTCTTGGGTTATAGTTTCATCAAATCCGTTCCTATTTTTAATATTAATTTAAATTATTTAATTAGGATATTGCTTGTTTATCAGAATTTATTTCTATAGACACACACTGGATCATATATTGTATATATAATAACATACTTATTTTACTCGGATGGGAAATTACAAACTCTGTATATAAATCTGCAAAAAGATAAGTACATGACTCGTGTGTCTGATGTGAACCGTATCATGTAACGCAAATGGAAGCAAGTATATGTATAGTAATTTAATGTTGCATAGTAACATGCAAAATATAATTGAGGAAAAATTTGATTGTATAATTTCGATGTAAAATATTCTCTTTCACATTAGATAGTTAGGCTAGGGATTATTATGTTACAATTTTATCACGGAATATTACATTTATATGATTGTATAGACTATACAAACAAAAGTAAGTTCTGTGTGTAAATATAAATATCTTAATTATAAGTGAATATTTAGCGCGCTCGCATAATTAAGGAGCTTCTAAAGTATCTATGCCGTGTAATTGCATATGTATGCATGTAATGTAAGGAGAGCAGTAATAATGCGCCAAAGATCAGATGCTGACTACGATGTCGTTGACTGTTGACGCAGTTGAAAAAGTGGTGTACGTGTGAGAAGCTCAATAAATAATTGGTGTTAACGTTGTGGTTCGTAAAACGGTGTAAAGTTTACATGCTACCATTTCCGCGCAATCTACAGTGATTATGCCAATAACGAACGATCACTTTACGCCCGTTTATGTATAAATATAGTCGCTTGACGAGCTCCTTAATTTTGTAGGCAAAGCTGCAAACATTATATTATGTATATGGATGTGCGTTTTATGATCACCAGATTGAGGTGAAGTACGATGACTTTAAAGCCTGCTATATGCAAAACATTTGTATTTTTAGTATTTGGTTATACGACGTAAATAGTTGTAAAACGAAGTGAACGATTGATAATAATCCTCACACAAATGGGGATAAATCTATATATATAAATATAAATATAAATACACACATACATACACATACACACACATGAAATAAAGAATTAGATACCATATTATATATTATATTTGTAGAAACGATTGAGAGCACGTGAGAGATATCGCGCTATGATTATGGAGAAAATATTACAATTATATTATTACCTATTATTACACAAAGTGAATACACAACATAGTAATTTGCTAATTGTACCTTTTAATAATTACTGTAGACACATTGATGAGAAAGGTTTTTTTCTTGTTATTAATTATTAATTACCATAGACTTATAAGACAATGAAAAATGTGTTATAAAAATTGCATTTGCTTCTTTTATATTATATTCTACCCATTTTCATCGTGCGCTGACCAACTCGTATCTTAATCATTGTATTGTGTAAACTCAAACATATTACTCACCATCCTATACATCTTTATCCATAAATTGTTCATATTATTTTCATTGTCGCTTATAGTTGCATAGCGACACTCCTATTTCATTAATATTTACTGTCAAAGTTTTTATTTTGCAGATAATCATAATATCAAAAACATTTTATTTTTGATATTGCATTGTTAAAATTGATGCTACATCATGCCTACATGCAGACATGTCACAGATGCAAAATAAGATTTATTATTTAATTTAGTTGTGTGCATTTAGCTGTTTTTAGTTGTTAAAGAGAACTTAGAATTAATATAATATAAATTTATTTTTAACTTTCTGCATAAAATATTATATTTTGCGTTTACACGTTTATGTGTATTTTAAAAATTATACATATATATATATATATATATAACAAATGTGTAAAAAAAGGATCAATGTGAGGCCATTTTTATACATGTCTATCCTTTGTAAAATTTCTATCGAAAATATTTAGTCATTTAATCCTGCATTCAATAATTTCTTTTTGTAATTGTTAATTTTGTTATTATTTTCATTTATTATCTTCTATACTTATTTAAGACATTATAAATAATTGTGTCAGGATCTAGGAAATTATAATAACAATTTTAGCAATATATACATTTTTTATAAACAATTAAAGGTTAATTATATCGAATCAGAGTAATTTCATTGAAAACTTGTTAGCAATATGAACATATGTTACAAAAATAAACACGCAAATGATTGACGTAGAGGTTGACCTTTCGCGAATCAAGTATTATTGAGTATCAATGATGAAATCAATTTTTATTTTATAGTTTAGTTTTATTAACGAGGAGAATTTGGACTATGTACTATCTGATCTATTTCAGTTTCAAGAGATCTGAAATAGAATGCTTAGAAATTTCTTACTCATAACAATTGTTCTGCAATCATTACGTAATATTCTACGTGATATACTTGGACGTTTAACAATATTTTGATCTATCTAGATACATGTATACGCAGAGAAATCCATCAATCGCTTTATTTTTTATTCATCATTTTTTATTCATTTGATTGATTGATCTCTCCGTATACTACTCCATGTTACATGAAATCATTTATTAAGTCTATAATTTCTGACATGTCGGCTATATGGGCGCCATATTTCCACAGACTTCTATAATATAACTAAACTGCTAACTCCGTTGTATACTGGCTGCGTTCCGAAATTCATTGCTAGTACTGAAAATCTATAATATACGTGACACAAATTATGTATTTTCAGTACTGGCAGTGAATTTCGGAACGCAGCCACTGTAACACAAAAATGACCCCAAAAAGTATGTATTAAGGCTGCGTTCCGAAATTCACTGCCAGTACTGAAAATACATAGTTTGTGTCACGTATACTATAGATTTTCAGTACTGGCAGTGAATTTTGGAACGCAGCCTAAGCCAGCGGTACACGGTGCTTGTTTTCGTGCTGGATTGCTTGCTGGATGAAAATACTGCGTTCTGATTAGTGCATTTCCATCCATCTTCGGAAATATACCAATCAGAACGCAGTATTTTCATCCAGCAAGCAATCCAGCACGAAAACAAGCACCGTGTGCCGCTGGCTTTAAATAAGGGATCAAGCATCTGCGCATGCGTGAAATTAATAGTCCATAAGGAGAGGGGCTACATAAGCAATATAACCGATCCAATTAGAAAAAATGTGTTTTGATTCAACCAATCAGACGTGAATGTCGGTCCACCAGGATGTATTTTTCGAGGTCATATATTTAACTCCGAGGTCATAACTCCGACTCAGTATCTGACCCCGAAAAGTATGTACCGTCCTGGTGTCCGATATTCACGTCTGATTGGTTGAATCAAGACACATTTCTTCTAATTGGATGGGCCATATTGTTTATATATTCCCTCTCCTTGTGGACTCCAATTCACGCATGCACAGATGTTTGATCCCCTTATGTAATACATACTTTTTGGAGTCAATTTTGTGCTACAGTATATAAGGGAATTAGTAGTCTAGTTATACTATAGAAGTCTGTGGTTATGGTCCGTCTATGGCCGTATTCCAAAATTTACTGCCAGTACTGAAAATATATAATTTGTGTTACGCAAACTATAACTTTTCAGCGTTAGCAGTGAATTTTAGAACACGGCCTACATAGGTCACATACACAAAATGCAAATCATAGGATGCAGAAATTGACCAATCATAGTTGATCATTTACACTCAGGCTGACTCCCCATGCGATGTAAAAAGCGTATGCATAAACCGCGTCAGCCAATCAATTGTCTCAGCTGTTATACGCAAATCATAGCTGAGATGAATGATTGGTTGTCGCAAGTTACGCGTACACATTTTACGCTCGAAGACCCATATTCAGAACATGCTTACAACTATGTTAGTGCGCTGTTAACGCACGTTAATCAGAAGGCATATTGCGTGGCTTTCCATTGGTTTCATTGGTTAACAGCGCGCTAACATAGTTATAAGCACGTTCTGAATATAGGCCCATATGAAAGAGGCCGCAACTGTAATTAGTTAATTTCTGCGTTCTGCAATCTGCGTTTTATAAAGCGTTCTACAAAGTTCACGTTCTTGAAAACTAAGCTTATGAAAAACATCAACGCGTTAAGCTAAGACTCCATGCATGCGATGAGCTGCAACAAACGGTTGCGGTGATCAATCAGAAGACAGACGCATGCCGGAGCTTGCCGCAACCGGACTTGCGCCTCCCTCCTGATTGGTCACCGCAACATTTGCCGCAGCTCACCGCATGCATGGAGTCTTAGCTTTAGCTTTACAATCTCAGCTAACAAGGACCAGCTTAGGCCCAATTGCACCAACATTATTTTGGTTTTAAGAGACTAAAATATATCTCTGTCTTTATTTATTTAGTAAGAAAGATAAAGATAAACTTATATTTAAGTCTCACTTAACATGTTGAGCGCCGCGTCAGCCATCGGTGGCTGACACTGGACTTTCCGTTTAGGCCGCGTCAACCACCGGTGGCTGACACTGAAATTACATTTAGGCTGTGTCTGCCACCGCTGGGTGACACTGACCTTTCACATAGGCCGCGAAAAACAGCTGGCTGACAGCGTATAACATGATATAGAACTATAAAATTTACACTCTTTTATGGAATTGCAGAAAATTTATTCAAAATTTACTTAATTTTGACACATTACAGGATTAGTGGATTTCATTGAAGCACGGTAAACATAAAAACGGTTCTCCTTTACAGGTATTACAAAATGTGACAACTCGCTTAGTTCTTTTCCTGGCCATTTCTCTACTATCTTTTGTTACATTTTTATCGTAACATGATTTACAATATCTTCGTACTTTGGAAACGTTTCCAGGTTTTCTTTGGAGTTGGTGTTGTTTTTAGACCTTCTTGCAATATTGTCCGATGAAATGTCTTCTTTTTCACAATTTGTAAGATATACTGCTAATTTCTTCCGGAAATCTGTAATGCTGATTTTCTGCGATAAGCAGAACTGCGATAAGAGACATTGGCCCTATAATACCAGCGCTTCTAAGTGGCGCGCGTGGCCTGATGGGGACTGCCTTCAAAATCGGCGTGGCGCTCAACGTGTTAAAAATAATGTTGGTGCAACTGGGCCTTAGGGATATTTCTATCTTAGGTTTTTCATAAGTCTTTCATAGGTATTTCCAAATATATTCAAGGAGTGGTTTCTCATCTAGATGTTTCTTCTATCCTTGATGATATTAAATAACCTTTTTCTGAAGAGTATTTCGGTATTTAAAGTTTATCTGCGATTATTACTTCTTTGGATGAAATAATATAAAATCACTCCTTGAATAAACAAAGATAAAAATGGATTCAGAAAATACAGAATCTAAGCAGGAACTTCAGATGGTGAACGTTAAACGAAAATTGAAAAAACGTCGTGCTAGTGAAAGTCACATGGAGGTACTATGTATTCCAGGTTTTATATTATATTGAATAATATTAGTTGCTTTCAGTAAAAAACAAAGCATTTTAGTGGAAACCTGTATTTTCTACTTGCAAAAAATGTATACTTTTATATTTATGATAAATTTAAAATAATTCAATATATCAGTGAATAATTATTGTTTTTCTAACATAGTTATTGTATCAATTTGGGGATTGTTTAAAACATAACAAGTTTACAAGTGATAGCATTACATATGTAATAGATTTTGTTACTTGTCCATTGTTATAATCTTATATTGCAATTATCTTTTAAGGTGGAAGTGGTTAATGGCATAGAAGGAAAAGTAAACCAGCATACAGCTAAAAAAAGAGCAAGGAATACTATAGAACAAAGAAAAGTAAGATAATAATATTTATATAATTTCTTGATATATTTTTAACAAACCTAATTTTTTATTAAAATTTATGTCTTGTATATAGATTCCAGTACCAGCTCACAGATATACACCTTTGAAGGAAAATTGGTTGAAGATATTTACACCTATTGTTGAACATTTACAATTACAAGTACGCTTTAATTTAAGAACGAGGCATGTGGAAATTAGAAGTGCACCAGACACCACAGATATTTCAAATCTTCAAAAAGCAGCTGATTTTGTAAAAGCATTTATCTGTGGATTTGAAGTGGAAGATGCTTTAGCTTTACTACGTTTGGATGACTTGTTTGTAGAAACATTTGAAATATTGGATGTTAAACAGACATTAAAGGGTGATCATTTATCTAGAGCTATTGGAAGATTAGCAGGCCAAGGTGGAAGAACAAAGTTTACTATAGAAAATGTAACAAAAACTCGAATTGTATTAGCGAGTAGTAAAATACACATATTAGGTTCTTATCAGAATATACAACTAGCCCGTAGAGTAGTATGTAATCTGATTATGGGCAGTCCACCTTCTAAAATTTATGGACACTTGAAAAACATAACTGGTAGAGTGTCAAACCGATTATAAGGTAGTTACAAAATATATCATTTAAACTTTATACATATGTATAGTTGCTTATTCTCTCCTTTATGTGTTAATAATAGAAAGATATTTTATACTTCGTGTTCTATATAATACTGTGTGTATATATATACATAACAATATATACAATGAATAATTACAATTATTTTCTATAAATATAATGTGAGATTATAATTAATACCATTTCATAAATTCATAAAAGTATTTGATACTTATATTTACGTGGTACTTTATTAAGAACCAATCTTCCATCATAACTGAGAGATGCAAATGTCCAGGGATCAGCAGATGACCATTCTACTGCATATACACTATCTTCATGTTCTTCATATTTGCCTACAAGACCATCTTCCAATCTGAAATGCCATAAATATATAAATTTTTCTAATTTGCTTGTCAGTCAGCTTGTGATATGCATATTTGTTCATTTACTTCTTTTTCCTGCAAGGTTCTTCATTTTGTGAAGATTCGTCTTCAGCTGATACTATATGTCTAAATGGCTCAGATGAGATAGATGCAATACTGCATAATATTACTCTTGAGTCACTGCTGGATGTTAAAACAAGTTGGTCGTGGAAACGATTGATTCTTATGTTCCACACCCAGTGTGAATGTTCCATACGTGATAGCACTGGTTCTGTCGGAAACCGAATGTCCCAGAATTTCATGTATCCATCGTCACCACAAGTGGACAAAAAATATTGACGATTTGCATTGAAATCTAAATCCCTGATAAACAAATCAAATAACAGATAGATGTAGAAATAATAATACACTTAGTTTTATGGAAGATTAATTTTTATATTATTTTTACCTGATAATCTGTGAATGTGCACATAGAATAGACCAAGCAGCATTGGTTGGATTTCTAAAATCCCATCCACGTACATTGTTTTCATTTAAAGTTACAAACTGATTAGCTCCATTATGGGGATTCCATTTGCCATTTGTGAACCGTGGCTGACCTTTACCTTCCAGAGTACCTGATACCATAGTCTAAATAGAATATAGAAAAAATATCAAATGGACAGAATTCTTCCTCTAGTAGTAAATTCAAAATTAAATAATAGAATAGTTTTATAATCTTGTAATTAAAGATATCAATACCTGCGGCCCTTCATTTGACAAATCCCATAAAACAAAATTATTATCCACTACAGAAACAACTTTTTTACTATCTGTAGGATGATAGGCAATAGTTTTAAGATCAGTACCATATGGAGTTGTATCAATATCTGCTAATTTATTGAGTTGCAGAATATCATTAGTATATTCTCTTATCTCAGGAAATTGCCAAACAGCTCCTTTCATTTGGCAAGTACCTTCTTCTAAAAAGATATAAATATTTCAGTTTTAAGAAACATATTTTGTTGTATCTTAAGTCATCCTGAATTATTAAGTATCATTCAATCTATTTATTTTTTTATTTAGATAATAAGAAATATTTAAATATAAATAAATTAAATGTATGTATGTGTATGTATACATAATAAATTATTTACCACTCAAACTATTATAACATGTAATAAATGTATCAGGTTCTGTTGGAGAAGCTTGTATAGACCAGATTTCTCCCATTGGATGTTGAAACACTTGAGTTTTTAAATTTCCTGTTTCTTCATTAAGTTCTACCAAGTGAACTTGATTGTTACTAAATTTTAAAGACTGCGTTCCTACTAAAAATCTTACAATATCAGTCTCAGCTGTTTGAGCTGACAGTGCCCTGGTCTAAAGTGTAAAAAATATATAATACATATTTTTTATACAGAAAATGTTAATTTATATAGAAAAAAACTTATTGAGTAATAATGATTATTTATAGTGCTTAAGTTGACAATAAAAAAATATAATTATTTGTCAGCTGGATAAAAAAGCTATGGAAAGGGAAGACATAGACCGATTAAAAATTCATAATTTCATACTTGAAATTCGAGCCCATATATAACAGGTTTGTCGTTTTCCATTTCCGGATATTATGCCTCACTATATAAAATATATTATTGGTAATTATGAAGAATATGGGCCTTCTCTCCAATTTTGCTGAAACTTTGCACAATTGTGTATTTTGGTGCGTAGAATGCGATTTTGAAAGAAAAAAACGTCGCTCTCAAACGGATCAAAAATTATAAAAATCAGAAAAATGATATACATAGAGTTAGGATATCTCTGTCATGCCGATAATACAGACTAACTGGAAAGCATGCGCAATGCGTCAAAGTGTAAAATAGTACATATAAGCGCGGGCGGGGCTCCGCTCCTTCCTCACACTCTCCTCCCCATAGAAATCTTAACTTAACCCAACTTATTGCATCTTTATGTATTGTTAAGCGTAAGTTTTAAATATTTTAATCTTTACAACAATGCCCAACAACAACATATGAAGATGCAATAAGTTGGGTTAGGTTAGGATTTCTTCAGGAAGGAGGTGTAGAACTCCGCCCCTCGGCCGCTTATATGTACTATCTTACATTTTTCGACTAAAAAGAACAGACCATAAGTCTCTGTATTACCAGCATAATAGATTTTTTAACCTCGTATGTGTCATTTTTTATCACTTCATAACTTTCGATCCGTTTGAGAACGACACTTTTCTCTTTCAAAATCGTGTTCTACGCACCAAAATACACAATTGTGCAAAGTTTCAGCAAAATTGGTGAGGAAGCCCGTATTCTTCACAATTACCTAAAATTTTATCCCTTTTCTGTTCAACGCAAATTTATATGTTTATTTCATTTTAACGACCAAAAGTGTAAACTAATTCATCTAAAAAGGAACAGACTGTCATGGTCGAAAAAATACTTTAGTACACTGCACTTCTCGAACCAGTGCAGCTACAAAGAACAGATTAATTACACTTTTACACGTACGTACACTACGATTACGTACACTTTTGACACACCTCGCTTTAGTCGCCACTGAAACCAATTTAATTACGCTATGTGGAGGTTAGGAAATGTTTACCTATTAAATTTGCACTATTGGGTAGACCATAGGCGAAGCATGACAGATATCTGAAGGCGAACATTCAAATACTCTTGTGTGGGAATCATGTTTTTCCCCGTAGGATGGCCGCGGGTCTTAAACGCCAACGAGCCGAGCAAAATAAATGCCGTAGTATGTAACAGAGATAAGATTCTCTTTGCTATCCTCACCACGGATTCTCTCACCATCTGGTACTGCAAAGTATGTATCTAGGTCGAAAGGCATTTCTTAATTAGTTATATTGTAATTTTAGAGTTTCCTTTTAGTTTAATTAAAACTTTATTAATTTCACATCTTTGTATACGTCTGTTTATAAGAATATTATGTTGTAGCCTTGTGTACCAATTGTATTCAGCAGACGATCTGAGGCTTCCTTACGAAAATATGGATGGAATGTTTTGGTTCAATGGAGGCCAGATTCCAGCATGTTGGTTGTTGCAACATCAGAGAGCTATTTACTGTTTTACAGGCTTTCAGATAGCAATCCAGAAGGTCGTGGACTCTATGAACAACGAGATTCACCAGTTACTAGTCTGAAACGAGATAGTGCAGAATTGTTCATCAAGGAAGTCATTCCATGTCTTGTTTTAAATTTTGTAAGTATTGTTATAATTGTTATTACTAAAAATATATTCACGAAGGAATTTAAAAAGAAAGTAATAAAGTTGCCTAGATTTTATAAGACTAATTATCCATTGTTAGGAAAAATCAGCTTGGATTGATGGTGGCATTAGTTCTCTAGTTTGCATACGAGATGAACTCATGATAGCAACCAAAACTAGCCATGTAGTACGCTACAAATGGGATGGCAATATGAATCGGGACTATTCCTTAGATTTGAGACGTATACCGTTCAGTATTGATCAGCAAATTTCTACTGTAGCTGTGCCACTCACAGAAAACAATATCTATGTCACTGACATTGAATATTCACCTCTTGTTGGAGGTTTTGCTATCGTGCTTAGTGATGGTAGAGCTGCATTTCTCACTGCTCAGTCCTTAAAATTTGATCCTAACCAAGTACAAGGAATCTGGGCTAGAGATTTAGACGATGCAACATGCGCTGCTGTTAATCATAAATATCGACTAATTGCCATTGGTAAGCAAAAGTAAGTATTATTTGTGATATATAATATATTTGTAAGTTTGTACATGAAATAAATTTATAGTTTTAAATTATGAGAAAATAAAATTTGATATGATTTATATCTTAGTTATAAAATTATACAAAAATTATAGAAATATTTTTCCAAATTCATAATAAAGCAAATTTATTACCAAATGTAATTTACAGTAGTTTTATGACAATTAATATAATTTTTTTATATCTTTGCGTTTGCAGTTCTGAAGGTGTTGTTTATTATGTTGATGAAACTACAGGAGGCTTAGAGATGTCACATACTTTGAGCCTATCCTCCAAAGATTATCCAGGTCGACCAGGCAGTGTCAGGTGTCTAAGATGGACTCCCGACAGTTGCGCTATTGCGTTAGCTTGGGAAGGCGGCGGTCTGGCATTGTGGAGCACCTTTGGTGCTCTATTACTCTGTAGCTTAAAGTGGGACTATGGCCTAAGAGTAGATCTGACACATGACAATCCTTTGCACATTCATACGATGGAATGGTCGGCAGAGGGTTATCAGTTATGGATGTTACGAGAATCTCCAGGACCTTCTGTTACTGAAGAGAACGGAAACGAAACCTATATCAATAGCAATCGCTCTCTTATTCAATTAGATTTCGCCAAAAGTCCCTTGACGATTAATCCTTGCATGGGCCATCACGGGCATCTGTATCTTCAAGGCGAGGATAGATTGTATTTAAATTTAGGCGCCGGGATATCTTCGTCAGCCTCAGGTTTTCATCTTGCCACTGAAATGCCTAGCGATAGCATGCTTCAGACACTCGCCGGTTGCAAGCAATGGCTCGTTGTGCCTATTCCAACGACATATAGTGGTTCCAACTGGCCGATTCGGGTAAGTGTTTATCATCGCAGTTCGATCTAAATCATTACCAGTTGCATATTTAAGAAAATAAATGAACTTAGTATATAAGCTATATTATTAGTGAATTTTGTAGAATTTAATTTTATTAACTCACAATTCTGATGATAAAGCAATGTCGACATGTAATAGAGTTCATTGTATATAATATCAATGAAGAAAATTGTTTTGTGTAAAATCTTTATTTTTTAAATACATAGATATGCTGCATTATATGTTTATATATTTGTATGTTTGATAGTATACTGCAATAGATAGTGAAGGTTTGAGCCTGGCGGTTGCGGGCCGAACGGGATTAGCGCATTATTCTCTACCCTCGAGAAAGTGGAAATTGTTCGGCAATGAGACGCAAGAGCGAGACTTTATAGTGACTGGTGGATTGCTATGGCATAAAGGATACCTGATAGCTAGCAGTTATTCCATCTTGGATGATAAAGACGAGATCAGAATTTATCCACGTGACACGCGTCTGGATAATAGCTACGTCAAGAGCGTTAGAATGCCATCGCAGGTGTTACTACTCAATACCATGAAGGACAGTCTCTTGACGTTCTGCGCTAACGCGCAGATCAGTATCTACGACATGGTGATGCAAAAGGATGTTGGTAAGTGGGGCTCATCTCGCGTGAGATTGTTTTTTTTTTTTATAAAAAATGGGTTAACAGTTTTTCTCAACGGGTTTCTGAACAGACATTTTTGACAGACAAACCTTCCGTATCGCTTTCAAATGAATCGGTGCGCTGACGGTATATATATATATAGCAAGAGCAGCAAATAGTCATTACAGAAATGAAAATGTTTTATGTTATCTGTTCATAGAAGCTGGAGGCATTGAGCTAACGAGAATACAGACTGTGGACATCAGCGGACTGTGCGTACATCCTGCTTGTGTGGTCAGCGCCACATTGACTACAATTCGCGCGGAAACCGCCGGCAGTCACCCTCATCCTGAGAGTCTTTTGCTGAATGTGTCCGGACGTCTCCTCATGGTTCAGCGGGAACACTCCACGGACAGTTCGGACGTTCCGTTCACATGCAGCGCACCGACAGTATTAGCATCCTACGTCGAGAACGTTTGGGTGCCGTCGCGTTCAAGAAGAGACAAGCCACATTTAACAGAGGCTCTGTGGTTGTTTTGTGGGGCTCACGGCATGAGAGTCTGGTTGCCGCTTTGGGTACCACGTAATCACCAAGAGAAGACACACGCCTTCATGAGCAAACGCATAATGCTGCCTTTTCACTTGCGGATTTATCCGCTGGCGATACTCTTTGAGGACGCGATTCTGCTTGGAGCCGAAAACGACACTGTGTTGTTCACATCGGATACTAACTCGCCCTTTTCACTGCCCTTCAATTTGTTGGAGCTCACGGTACCAATTTTATTCTCATTTCATATCATACCTTAAATAGTATATCTTAAAAATATCTTAATGTAAATTTTCTTTTACTGTAAAACTCACAGTGTAGATGTCAATTTGGGAAGATGTCATATTTAAACTACTTTTATTTCTAATAACGTTTTCGTATTTTCAGAGCCAAGTATATTTGCATCAGATACTGCGCCAATTGATACGTCGAAACTTGGGTTATCACGCGTGGGAGATAGCGCGCTCATGTTCCGCACTGCCGTATTTCCCGCACTCGCTGGAGTTGCTGCTGCATGAAGTTCTAGAGGAAGAGGCAACGAGTAAGGATCCCATTCCGGACGCACAGTTGCCGTCCGTTGTGGAATTTATTCGCGAGTTTCCCGGTGTTTGGGCGAGAGCTGTCGTACAATGCGCCCGGAAAACCGAGATCGCCCTTTGGCCGTATCTGTTTTCCGTCGCTGGTCCTCCGAAGAAGCTGCTGCAAGATTGCTTGCAACGTCAGCAGCTCGACACCGCTGCCAGCTACTTGATCATTCTGCAAAATTTGGAGCCGTCCTCCGTCAGCAGACAACACGCTACATTATTGTTAGACGCCGCGTTGGAGCAAGGTCGATGGGAATTGTCGAGGGACCTCGTGAGGTTTCTCAGAGCAATCGGTAAGCGCTTCAATTTATATTCATTCTTGTAACGAGTAATATCATATACATAATTTTGTGTAAATCCATATCTCTCTCGGGTTATCAGATCCAAACGATGTGGAGTCGCCGCGTACATCATGGAGCGGCAGTGCAAAATTGGGTGGTCCTCCGCAGACACCTCCACTTTCTCCGCACGAGGACGATCTGTCCTTGGTCTTAGGTACTATGCAGGTCTCAAGAAGCCGTAGTTACAGTACTACGGTTACGCCCAAAGTACAATCCGAGAAAGATATCGCGCCATCCTCTATGCTCGAGAAAACCCGGAATGTCGTTATGAGACGGAAAAAATCGGTACCGACAGTAAAAACCGAGAAAACTGAGAACAAGTAATTATTACACTCTTCTTCAAATTTACATTTAAAAAATCTATTTAAAGTGAAGTTTACCAATTGTAGATTTGCAAAACTTCTTCGATGGCTTGTTTTTTTTTTTTTTTTTTTTTTCTATAACATTGAAGGAATGCTTGCTTCGATTAAAGTATATATTTTTGTTTTTTTGTCTAATTAAATATACTAAATATATATTCAAATTTAAATCTCATTTTAGGGAAGGATCGGCAGAGGAGTTTTTCATCGACGTCATTTTGCAACGCCACGCTCGACGGCTCCTCTCAGCTCGCCGCTTGACTGATTTGGGCAGGTTCGCGGCTCGTCTTGACTTTCACCTGGTGACTTGGTTCGCCCGAGAACGTGACAGAGCAGCGAAAGTCGATGACTACGTGGGAACTTTGAAGGCGGTTCATGAGGACTTTGCATTCCCGTATCCGACTCTTTCGTTGCCGACATTGCAGAAATTTCGTAGATCCAGTCTCACGTCTCTACACTCTGTGATGTCTGATGACGAGACGTTGTCGCCAAATTTAAACGTCGATCTACCCGATAGTGGATACACCAGTCTTCCAAGTGGTAGGCCACCATATACAACATTGGTCTCACCCGTTGCCAGCTTAGAAACACAATTTCCGACCGCAGAAGCCAAATTAACACCGAATCTAATACACGGTGAGTTGTAGCTTTCATTTAGAAGAAGAACGCGTATTGATTCTCATTTACGCGAATTTTTCTACGCGAAGTCGCGGTTTTTCATATTCTTGTAGATAATAACTTTTCAAATGTGCAAATAATATTCCTGTTTACCAAATTTCAGATGCCAACAGTGTCCTTAGTGATACCAGTACTATCTGGAGGGATGACGCAGAGTCCATCGTTGGCTCAGTGTGTTGGGTCTCACCGGAATCAGTGGGGCCCACAGAGGTCCAACCAGCTTCATCAGCCTCTGCGCCAATCGGTCGAGCCGAAGTGCAGCTTAGGTAATAACATATGCGCCTGTATTATAAAATCATGCACAATCAACTGTATCCAACCTTATAACTGTTTCTTTTGTATTTTAAATCGCCGCAGGTATTTGCTGCAACTCTTTCTCGAAGGCTGCTGCCTAGGATGGGCTGCTGTAGTGGCAACCGTTCTTCGTGACGGAGCAGCCATGGCTAGAACAGTGAGAACGGCACATGCGCCGATGCAGACTATCGATTCTGTGATTAATTTGAGAGATGGACTACTCACTTTGACTAAGTGGTCTCATTCAGAATGGTATGCACTGTAATACTTCATATTAATCGCAACAATTGCTCAGTCTTCAACTTTTTGGCGAAAATATTGATCGTACGTTTCGATTGCAGTTTAGGATACCGTCCGTTTATGTCCAACATCCAATACCAAATATCGTTGTTGAATAGGCTGATAATATCGAAACAGCAACAGGAGCAGGAACAGATACCGGAGAGTCCCTCACCGAGTCCGGCTCCGTCGGCCAGCAGCAATCAACGCGGGACTCTCTCTCGCTCAAGACACTCGTCGGTCAGTCATGCTTCCAATACAGCTCCGTTGGAAGAGGAACGCACGCATGAGTCATCCTTGATTGTCGAGGAGTCTGCGTTCCATGGGAGCTACAATAATCTCAGCGTTACGGAAGACTCCTCGTCGCAGAATACCTGCACGATTTCTTAAGAGTGCCTTATGAGGTACTACAGAAGTAATGGCTGTTCATTCCGCTGTGGATTCTACGTATCAAAAGGAAACTCTTCTCTCCGTTCGCAGTATCCGTTCTATAAGTTTTATGAAGGATCTTATTTGACTACGTTACAAACTGAGATTCCATATCGTTCCGCAATCATCGTTTTATGAATAGGAATTTCACATGGTACATCGCTCGAGATGCGATGATTCCTGTAACGCGACAATATTCTACAAAATTGGTATTATTACTAGCTCCCCCCGACTGGTATAGGCTGTTTGAGAGGTCCTTGTAACTCGGGAAAATCTCGAAAATTTGTAAATAGAGCTTCGAAGCATTTTTTATTCACTTTACATCGCGCAGATATTTTCGAATGTACAGGGTGAAATATGAAAGAGAATTGATAACTCGCACTTGTATATAAACGCTCACTGTATCATTGTTAAAAGTACACGTGTCGGGAAAACAAAAAGACGAGATACAGAAGACAATTGTGCAAGACACATAGTGCGAGATTCAGAATATAATTGTGCAAGACACATAGTGCGAGATTCAGAATATAATTGTTCAAGATTGCGGGCCACGGTAGTGCAAGATTAAATCTTGTCGTCGCACAGCAGCACGTGCGTGCAGGGATGCGCATTAGCTCATTCGTGAATTGTGAGCAATAGCGGACAGCAATATAACGCAGCCAATGAACAGTGGTTCAAAGACGTTAAATCAAAATTGGCACGCCAAAAGGTCTGATATTATTATGATAATTATATAACGTCAAGTGACGCGAAATATTAATAAGCTATTTATACATATTGTAACATAGATAGTAATGTATAAATATATGTTATATTTTCTCATAAAACCTCTCTCATCGCTCCAGGGAACTCAGTCGATTCGTCGATAGTACGAATTGAAAGCGTATAAGAAAAAGAAAGAAAAATATTCATTAATCGACAAACTATGCTCGCACGCGACCAGTCGAATTGTCAATATCTGATCGATATCGATTGCATCTAGACTCGTCTTGGGGACATGTTAGATATCGTGTTCCACATTCTGACGGGATATTGCGGAGAATATTTACCTCACAGGTGTTTCACATGCGTTACACGTGATATTTCCCCGTCGATCTATGACGTCGACTTTCCTCTAAAAAACGCGATTACTCAGTCGCTACAAGGAAAGTCTACAATTTATTCTGCGGTATAATGGGGGAAAGGTGGTATTGGTGTCGCGGTTGAAAGTATCTATTAACGATGGCTTTCAATCGAACTGTCAATTATCCGATCCGCCATTGACACTTCCACGAAGGTATGTATCTGCGTATTTTTTACAGTTTCGATTTAGCGTCAATCGTCGAGTCCGTGAACTCGTGTTCACCGCAACAGGGAAAAAAAGAGTTCGTAAAAGTGCGTATGATAACAAAAAAGATGCGCAGATACTTCTCTTTCGATTAACGTTTACAAAATTTATCGTATAAAGAAGAGACACGTGAGGAATAATGCCATATTCCTGCTAGTTACCAATATTTTAAGCGGATTTTGTTGAATAATTCAAGATGAGAAATTTATAAAACTCACATGGATAGAATATTTTTAATTCATAATAATAATAATAATAATGATAGTAATAATAAAAGAAGAAAAAGGCAAAAACAATCAACAACGAATCCTCGAAGTATGTCGGAGATTTATTTTGTGAAATAATGACAAAAAAGTGATCCTTTATGTTATGACATTAGTTTGTGAATAGGAATGAATAATAAGAATCAAGGACGACAGATCTGTATATAAATCAAAACTTGTACGAATACGAAATGTCAACAAACATTTACATTCAGTCGTTGATATAATTTTGTGCTGTGAAGATGCTGTGAACCGGTTTCGTTCTTAATGGAAAAATCTATGCCCCTCTCGAAGGAATTTGATAAAACTCACGAAAGGGACACGAGGGTCTGTTACATCACACTTACGTCTCCTAAGTCAGGTTAAGCGCAACATTCGAAACCTGTCGGATACGCAGCAACACTGTCCTCGTATTGCTTTCTCCGGACGAATCAACACAGCATGTCCAGGTAAAATTTAAGAAAATTCTTTTCGATTGAAGGTGGTCTTGCTCGAGTCGTCTTGCAGATTATTATCGATTTTATTATATTGCGAATAAAGAGAGAGAGAGAGAGGGGGGGAGGGGGAGAGAAGTTTCGTGAAAATATAAAATTAATGACTAGATCCGTAAGAGAGCCAATCCACGTGTGGTTACGAGTGTGTGTCGAATATTGTGCTGAAATCAGATATTCTTTATTAATTCTACTAACTTCTCTTATTTTATCGACTTAGAGATATATAAGTATTTTATTAACAGTTCACAGATCGTCCGTACAATTTGGACGGACAGTTCTTGTGGTCTTTGTTATTTAATCGATCCGTTGCATTGCATTTTCTTAGTCGATGAATCGCCAATACCATATTTCTATGACGCTTCCTCGTATGAAACTTTCGCTCATTCAATCTTATCGTTATTTCCGTTATTTTGTCCGTTCGCGGAGAGACGCGCAATGAATGCCATTGCGCCATTACCTATGCCGCTGAGCATTTAGAGAGCAATCAAAGGTGCAATCTTATCCGACGCGGTGATTTGGCAAAACGTGTGTAAACAAACGCGCTTCTTCTGCGCGGGTATTAAGAAGGCATTAAGAATTCCCGTGTGGCTGAGTATCGCGATTATTATTTGTCGCCTTTTAATACGCACATTCTTAATTTAGAGTACACAACAACGCCACTGGGGATTTTACAACCCGGTATCGTTGTAGCATTTTAACATTCATGACATTCATGTACGCGACGAAAGCACCGTCTGCTTTTGTACTCCTCCTCGTTATTCTATTTAGAGAAAAGCTGTTATTTCGCCCTGTCTTGTTTTTTTCTCCTTTGCGCGACACCCCGGACAATCGGCTGTCAAGCAGTTTTCGTTACAAAATTACACACCGCTCAACCGCATTGTCATATCAGCCACGCGGCTGTAAATTTATGAAAACCGTTGACGCGCCCGACCGCATCATTATACCGAAAAATACGGAGGAGCTGTATCATCCACGAATTGACATTTTTAAAAAAGAAAAAGCAGAGAAGAAAATAATTAAAAATACGACGATATAATCTGGAACATTCTATTAAGCTTAACGGAAAGTCAGTGTGATCGCGTGATCCGATGATCCGTATTTTAATTTCACCAATAATCGTGAAAACTCGAGAGATACGTTAATAATGAATTAATCGTGCTGCGATGCTCCCTCGCGATGGAGCGATAAACAATCGCAAAGGTTCGATAAGAGTAGCGCGCACGAGACGAGCCTATCCTATCGACGAAGTAACGCAGTCCTCCGCGGAAACAACATGCGCCGATAAGCCGTAACACGTGAAAAATATTCGAGAGAGTCGGCTCGCGTGATCACCCGCGTATGTACCGTCGCGTACGAGCGATAAACGAGCGCTTGTAAGGTATTCGGAGTATGCAACAATACGTCACGGTGAGGACGATACGCAACGTGGTTATTAAAATCGTTATCTCGCTCGGCGAGCGGCTTTTCGAATATGACGCATGTCGTGTCTATCTCTCGTAGGCTATCTCGGGGGTTCCTTTCGTTTCTAGCATCCGTTTGCGTTTTCCACGCGCTCGCCGCGGCCGGTCGGGCGTTATCGCGTTATTACGTTGCGTGACAAGCGCATTAATGCACGGTAACGCAGCGCGAGCTGATTAACGCGGCAGGCAGAGTTCCGATCGATTTCAGCCCGATAATTTGCGGAATTATCGGCGAAATTAACACACGGACATGTGCGCGCGTGTGTTCACGCGTCCGCTCGACTGCTGTATTTTTTGCATTAGGAAAATCTCCCCATGAGGTACGAATGACGTTTGCATGTCGCGTTGAGTAACGCTGCGGTCGAGCGCGTCGCGCTGTTATTGCGCGCGGAAACGAGGTGGTACCGCGCTCGACGCATCAATTCATAAATCGAATATACGCGATGTCTTGTCTCTGTTTGCTCTCATCGAACGACATGGGTACGCCGCGAGAGAAGACGTTGAGAGAAGGCAACGAGCGAAATGCTTTCAGGCGAGCACGGTGGAAAATCTCGCGACGGGGTCTTAAGGGGGAGAATTATATGCACTGAGAAAAAATTGTATTAAAATTAAACGAATATTTGCTTGAATACGACTGTGAATAAATTTATTTAAATTAAGCAATTATTTTCTAAAATTCAGGAAAAAAGTTTACATTCGGAGAGAACCTCTGTATTTCATTTTAGAAATTAGTCGCTTAATTTGAATAAATGTATTCACAGTCATATTCAAATAAATACTTGTTTAATTTGAATACAATTTTTCCTCAGTGTGCGGGAGGCCGTTTTTAAGGCTACTTTTACAAATTTTTTTAACAGAAACGGTAAGATCAATGGATTTGAAATTTTCACAGTATATTCATTAATGTTCAAAGTTATAAAATATATTTTATAACTTATAAAAAGTTATAAAGTAAATTTTATTGAATCACAAGAACCGATCCAATTTGTAATTTTAGATAAAAATGCAGTCATCCGTTTGCGAACTCTATGTTTGCTGTCGACATAATTCCGGGCCTTTCATTACTCTGAAACCAAAAAATGAGAAAGATTTTTAAAATATACGGTTGCCATTATAGCCCGTACCAAAATGAAGACAATGAAGCTATGTTTGGAAAAATAATGACTATACAAGAAAAAGTATCGAAAATGAAACTTTCTTCAACTTGTAATCATGTTTAAAAAATGAATAAAATAAAATATAAATGTGTTCGAGGTAGGGACGAAAACTACATGTCTATATTCTGTAAAAATTTCAAGTTATTCGGTTCAGTAGTTTTTGCGTAATCGTGTCGACAGTTTAAGAAAATGGTGTTCCCAGATAAACGCGTTTAAAGTTTTATGTGTACTTCTTCCATATAGATAGTAACAAATTTAATTTATACTTTGAACATTAATGAATACACTGTGAAAATTTCAAGTCCATTGATCCTACCGTTTCTGTTAAACAAATTCGTAAAAATAGCTTTGAAAACGGCTAGCTCCGCATGTGATTCTCCTCTTAAATGTATAACAGAGACTTAAATGTAGCGCAGCCGCGCGCGTAAATCGACAGGGAAATTTCGTCGGGCCGATCCTTCGCCCGACAAAGTTCTCGTCTTGTAAGTCTTTGAGAACATTAGAAGCTTCGCGTAACTTCGCAGGTGATGTCGTTGTTTAATTGGTCAACAGCGATCTCTTCCGGCAACTATTATGCAAAATATCAGTTTCTCGAAAGTCATATATTATGTTGTTTGCACGAGGCGCCGGATTCCAAGGAGGCAAGCTTAATCGCTGTTTATGGGCGAAATTTGGACCGCATGTTTTCGTTTGACGTGCCTTAATTTTCTCGTGCCCAGTTCTGCCCTGAATGTGTGTGTGTGTGTGTGTGTGTATGAAAGGGTACATGGTATGAGATATCGTCTAATTAGACTGATCGATTAGATTCACGTGCTTCAAATCGGTCTAATAATCTGTAGATTAGAAGAGCGACGATGTGTCGCGTGTGTCGTATAAAAGTTACGCTCGCTCAGCTCCACGGGATAATTCCACTCCGAGCGAGCTAAGAGGAACGCAGGGACGGCGCGGAATGATAACGGGGTGAAGTTTCTTTAATGAACTCTCGCAGGAGTGGACAAAACGAAACTTTATTCGTCGTTTAATTTCACGCGGATCTTACTTCCACGAGAGGACCTCGCCCCTTCTCCGGCTTGGTTGCGAAGATATTTGACTTTAAAAATACAAAGTTATGTAACAACGATTCCCCTTGGTATCCTTTCGTAAATATTGTTATTTGGAATCCGAATAAAGGCACTTAATATTTTTCTTTTTTACTTTGCAACGATCGTCTTGTAGGGTGAAGTCGCGAGGCAATAGTGCAAAAGGTACTTATCTCCGTTTTATCTGCTCATTTACTTATCAATTGAATGCGAACACGTGACCGATTAAAATGCCGCAAAACAACGAGATTACCTTGGAAACCAACTGCTGGCGCGCGTTTGTTTCTCGCGCGAGTTCAGCCGCGCGGGAGACACTTCGCGGAATATTTATATATTGCATAATTCAACGCAAATATTAGGCTTGAAATTGAACTTGCACCTGTTACAGCAGCCTCTCAGTGCTTCTTAATGTCAACGGTCTTTCTTATCTTTCCGCTCGGTTTCTTTCTGCGAGAAAGTTTTTCACCTTCGAAAAATAACGTCGAATGAGTTCGCAGATTTTTAGAATTTTTAACACCTGGGCGCAGATTTGATTAACCAATTGCGAGATTGGATATTGTTCTCTGATAACAGTTGTTCATCATTTGTAATCTTCTGTTGGAAGTTACTTTTATATAATTATTAACACGATTCAGATATTGTTCTTTGATAAATTGCTCATCATTTGTTGGAAACTACTTTTATATAATTATTTACACGATTCAAAACAATCCTTTTCAGTCGCTGCACGCGTTTATATATCGGATAGAGACTTAAAAAGATTGACTTACATTCAATCGATATTGACATTATTTTGAACACTACGGCACACAAAATTCCTGTTAGAAACAAAGAACCGTTTCGGAAGAACGTAGTATCTTAAAAAATTCGCAAATCTGCAGATTTTCGATATCTCCCCAATAATGATAAGGACGCGCAAAGTTAAAGTCACTGATACACACTCGCTCACAGCAAAATCCTCGCACCACTTACGTCAGAGACGAAAACTCTGCGAGTACATGTTATTTTGCGAGATACGGCGCGCCGACAAATTCTCTCAAACGAGCCGTAAATGATATTTTAATTGAATATTAACACTCGTGGTGTACGCTCAAGTATTTGCGCACTTAACAATTGTCAAAACGCACCGAACTTAAACATTAACGATGATTTACGATTGCAGTATCAATATTTATTGTAATAAGCGACCAATTCGGAGATAGTGAAAATACTAATTGGGCAATTAATCATATAAACGATACGACACTTCATGGAGATATATTGTGTTGACGAATATCAGGGATTCCCAACTTGCTGGAATATATTTCGGGCAAGGTATTATACGATGTAAAAATGCATTGATCCACGGGATTTTTTTAAAATTTAGTATTATACTCTACGATATATCTCAACCGTGTGTTCTAGATACATTATTATGCAATATGGACCGATCTTTATAAAAAATCAATCCAAGGCAACTCCTTGAAAACGATCTTGAACGCGAACACGGTCTTTCAAATTAGAAGTTAATTCGTTTTAAGGCCAACATGGTAGCTCCGGCGATTAAACAGCCAATTTATCCGCAGCCACTTAGTGGATTAATTCGTGAGACCGTGATTTTTGCGTAAGACCGCCGGAATTGCTGACGAAACGATGATCCAGGAGGAGCCTTCTGTATCTTCAGCTCCGCTTTTGACTTTTCGTGACAGCCGCATTAGCCGATAATGGGACGATGCACAAACAACACAATATGTTTGCTTGACAAATTCCTCGCAGAGCCGAGGAAAGAGAGAAAGAGGACGTGACGTAGTCGCGCCTGTTTTATAGAGCGTTCGATAATCCGTTCGCATTATCAAGGCGCGAGCTTTATCACCACTGTTTGCGGAGCCGTACACTTCGCGCGCGCGCACGTCGACGTATCGACGTATCGGTATGCTTATCTGTGCGTCGATATTTGGCCTAATTGTCATTGCGATCGTTCATTGTCTATAAAACGGCTAGGCTAGATCGCGTTCGCGTTCGCAAAGGTTAGCCTCCCGCAAGTACTTCGATACTTCGTTTCCGATCCCGTGAGATCCTACTCCCGAGATCTCGATACTTTCGCTCTCACATTAGCCGAATATTAATTATCGATTATTCGCGCCCGCGCTTGTGAGAATATCTTATCTAAAAATCGGCATCAGCGACTTTCGCGTCACAAGAGGGTCTCCGTCATCTCGATGTTTTGATATTGAACTAAATGTCGATACTCGATAGGCGTCGCATCGAATGGCGTCGTAAGCTATGAGCGAACTGAGAAACCTCGATGCTTGGAAAGAAAGCATCAAGTGGCATCAGTAGTCGTTTATTGCAGTGTATTCCCTTGATTGTGCATGCGACTTTTGTTACAATTATTTTGCCCATTCCACGGATAATATTGACGTAAGAATCGCACAAATAATCCTATTGCGATTGACCGCGTAGAGCGTCTCTCGAATCGAGAAAAATACGAGCAAACGATCAAGCAAACAAACTGCAATTAGAACACACTCTGAGGGAAACACGGATTACATCGAGCGATCGATCGATCGAAAGTGGAGAATCGCTATTAAAAATACGGTGTCCGCGTGATCGGTGGATTCAACGATTATCGCAAGTCATAGCAGCATCGAGTCGACCCGATTTATCTCATCGTGCAAACATCGGAAAAACCGGCCTCTCGGGCGAAAAGTATTCACCGCGCTCATCCTGTTCGCCAAACGTCCCGGTTATCGAACGGAGAGATCTTCTAGATTATTACCTGGCGGGGGCCTCACGACTGTGACTAACTGTGGAAAGCTACAAACCGGTGCGTTCGAAAACTTCCAACTAACGCGCGCGAGCACGTGGCACAGTTTATATATTAAATTACGCCACGCGCGGCGGCCATTCCACCGATAGCGTGATCGACGGTCGAATCAAATTCCCGGGAATCGACGCCCGTGCTCTGAAGTCAGGCTTAGGTCATCACGTGACGATCGGCACGTGACGGCCGTTCTTCGGTGACGTCATCGCGGGGGAGGTTGAGGACAAGAGAGGGAGCTTGCCCCGCGAACCGCGGCGCGTTTAAATGGCGAGCCGCGCGTCGTCGCAAACTCAGTTTCTTCATTGCGTCGTGAAAAACGCACTGAAATCTCGCGCCATTCGCGTTATTCGTGCACACTTATTTTCCTCGTTTCGCGTCGAGCGACGTTTCTTCAACGTTATAGCCGCCGGTCGGTCGGGAAACCATCAGCGAACGTCGCGAAGACACTTGCGACGTAAACCGAAATTTCTCGCCATTCGCGGGCGAATGTTTGCCTTTTCCTTCGACCAATGCTTTTTGCCGGCGTTTGATGTCTTAACGAGGCTCGATCCGCGTGACTGTGATGTCACCAGGTAGCAGAGAGAACCGAGGAAATCCTGGAAACTGAACACGAAGCTCGAATTTCTCCAGATAGCTGTCGTGTTCACGTGGGGTCACGTGACTCTCGTTGGAGGAACAAACTCCCCGATAACTAAACGAGCTCGGGGTTCTTATGAGAAAAGACTACTCAGCGAAATCATTCAAGTGAGTGCAACGCATTCCTGCTACATCTCTCTCGACCTTTTTTATCTTTGTTTTTAAGACGCCTCGTCTTTTTCGAGGATTCCTGCACTCTCTTTCTTGTCTCATGTGTCCTCGAACTCGAATCTTCGGAGATATTGCTCAAATCTGACCTGCTCTCGTGTGTGCAGACTGATTCGCAACTAGAGAATGCACAACACGTGGAGGAGCTTACAATCCCGAATCTGGGATGGAATTTCTTGTGAAGGATTGCTAATTTTTTGACTTCTCAAGGTTAAAACATCCTCCACAAGAAATCTTAATAATATCTATTTTAAAATTAGTTATTAATTTCTTGTTGTTTACCACACCTGACGAAAAATATAATTTTAAGTGTATAATTTGACAAAAATTGAGCGTAAGTTAAAAAAATTACACAAAAATATTAAAATTAAACAAATTATAATATCGGAAGAAACACATCAGCATAACAAATTTCACGGGGCGAAATGGATATTCGCTCGCATATAATCTGGAGACTCGAAGTTAATAGCAAACAATTTATCGCGAAGCAGAACTCGAGTATCAACAAATCTGATATCAACAAATTTGATCCTGTTAAATTAAACAATTAATACACATCTAATCTCTACTCTAGCCGCCGGCGTCTAATTCCGCTTTGAAGTTCAACTGAAGGAGATTTATTGCGAGCGATTAAACGAGAAGATACGTTACGACTTCTAACGTATCTTCCTTTGATCGCTCACAGTACATTTCTTCGTCTACTTCGCCAATTATCTGTCTCTAATGTTTGCACGTGTCTCTCTGCGACAGAAGAGATCCGGGGATCGTAATACAAATGGTAATTTTTCACGGCCGGCTTTGCGTGAAGGGAAACCGCGAAAATTCATGTTCGACGATCGAATCGCATCGCAGTTTGAAAATCCTTCATTCCGACGTTCCATTTATTAACCTTTCAGTCACGTGCGCGGCTTAATTAGCTGTCGCCTAGATTTCATAGATCTCACAGGCCTTGGCACCAAGAGAATGTCATTATCAGAAACGATAAGCGACGTTTTGTACCGCATTTGTCAATTGATGTGATCTTTTCTCTCTTGCAAATAAGCCATGAGACTCGCGTCGCTCGGCTAATGCTTATATATTAGTGCAGGTGGAGCGGCGCAGCTATGCATACGGCAAAACTCGGCACGTGTTTATAAAACTTCCATATACCATTCGCGCGAATTACATGCGACGGACACGAATTAGCGCGTCATGTGTTTGTTTCGGCGGCGATAGGTAGACATTCTTTCGCCGTTTTGTTTCGTTGAATTGAACGCGCGCGAGAGAGTATGCCGACAGAAACTGATGACTCGCCGACGAAGCAGATGCACGTGGATGAGCGCACGTGAGTCACGAATCTCAGATGAATTGTGTCTGAGATCAGACACGACTGTCGTATTGCTCAATATTTGAGATATCCGTGCAAACTGTCGGTGGATTTCCTCACGTTCCCGCGAAACGCCGGGCAATAAAGAGATAGACGGAAAACACGAGATGCGTGAATCGTTGAATTTCGTAGGACGCACATCGCCGCGGGGAAAAATGCGCCCGCCTGGCCGTTGCACAATCGCGAAACAAGCCAGTCGGTCTCTCCCTTTTTTCTTCTCTTCGCTTTTCGCGAATGTGTTTTCTCTTTCGGAAATGTAACGTTTTGTAAGCAAACGCCGGTAACGGCGGAACAATCGGCCGGAGTGACGCCAGTCAATCGAACCCACTTGTGGTAATTGCGGCCTCTACGATGAATCATATTGGCGCCGTTGACGATCGCACACGTGACTGTTTTCGTCGGCATATTATATACTTTGTATCGCGGCTCGATTGATTTCCGCGACACGTAGCTCTCCTCGAAAATGTGGCGAGCCAAAATTGGAACGCCGAGATGGTAATTTCGGAAAATAAAAAAGAAAAGTAAATTTCAGTTCGCTACGTTGAAGTTACCCGGTGAAAAGTCTCGTACCGAATTTCTTCACATGCCCGTTAAAACGATATGAGTAAATCTCATTTCGCTCTATTTAGGTTTTTCATTATCCCCATCTTGTATCCTCCTCTCTATTTTCTCTCTATCCTTATGTCTCTATTCTTTTGTATTATCGATCTCCATCTCGCATTCGATTCTGTCTTCTCGCGGTAGGATATAAAATCCCGTTGCTTTTATTATCATCAACGTCGACGCACGTGCAGGTGAATTGCGCAGATGAAATGACTCGCCGAGGAGCGGAAACGTTGACTCGCGCCTGAGACCGACGATTCCGGTGCGACGAACCGAACGAGGCTCGTCCCGTTTAGAGATAAGATTAATCGGCTGATTTTATTTATTACCGTTATCTGCATAATTGCAATGATTAATGCACCGCACAGTTCACGGGCCGTGTGATTTACACGGTGCAAACAACTTGAACGCACCGGCGGGAGCGCAGATCCTCGCGGATTAGCCGGCACTTGGATCGCGAGCGTCACGCGATCTTGAGAATCTTCTATCAAAGAGTATAACAAGATCATGAAAGTTGTAGCGAAAGCCGTAAAAAAGCCTCTTTAAAGGATCCTTAAAGGATAACTTTAAGCCACTTTAAACGAAGAGCGATAAACGCGCGCGAACGTTCCATCCTGAAAAAATGAGGACCATTCGAGCTGCTGCCACGGCTCGAGTGCTATCGATCGGTACCAGGATGCAGGATCCGTAAAAAGTTATGAAACTGCGCGTCTTACATAAAATAGGAGCCGTAAGGATAACCGCGTTCACGTAACCGGCAGCACGCACCGGGGGCGGCGATCTCGTCGCGTCGCGATCTTCGACGCGTGCACCTGGACGAGCAGCACCGGCGGAGCGCCCTGCGTCGAGAAAACGACGAGGCTGGCCGTCGTTCCTCCTTTATCCAAAGGAGCATCCCGTTATTTCTTCAGACAAGCAGGAAATAGGAATTGCCGGAATTGACGCACCGGTGAACGTCGCCGATGAGGAACAAAGCCCGGTAGTCGTAATCGTTGGGTCGACCAAACATTCGCCCGTGTCGATTGTGTTGTTCGTTCGATTCGATTGACTTAACGTTCTTCCGACAAAGAATAATCGGAGGCTTCATTCGTCGAAGCGGTTCTTTTTTCGGCGCAGCTCAGTCGCGCGCTGCGACTGCGGATGTTCCGCGCTGTGCGTACGTGCCGCGGAGCATGTCGCTCTATTTACGCGACATTGTGTAATATTTTTGCGATACATTATCCTTATTTAATGGACACGGGTTAAAGACATCCTCGTGACGGCGACGGCGGCGTTGCCTTGACTGCAATTAGCACGTGGTTCACGGCCAAGTTTAATAGGCTCGTTGTCTTCCGTTCGTGAATATTGCGTCCAATCGTGCTCAACCGGCGATCAGAGTCTCGCGATATCACGTCGCCACGTGATTACGATTTTAATACACGGGCTCTTCTTCCTTCCCTCTCCGTAAGCTCTCGCCGGTATTATGTTGACATGAGGCTTGACGATGTTGATCTTATGTTCTGCGTGTTCGCAGAATGAAAAATGGCGATAGCCCGGCGGGCGGCAGGACGAGCTTGGACGGCTACGTGAACCACGGCTTGAGCGGCTCCATCACCAATGTGGATTCGTACGGCACCGACATGTACCAGTCCTTCGGCGATTCGCATGAAACTCATCGAGGGATACAAGGCTCCTCGGATTTTATCTGTGAGTATCGGAGACGCGAGTCCTTCCCGCGCGGGCGATAAAATATCGCGCAATCGTGCTCTCTCTCTCTCTCTCTCTCTCTCTCTCTCTCTCTCTCTCTCTCTCTCTCTCTCTCTCTCTCTCTCTCTCTCTCTCTCTCTCTCTCTCTCTCTCTCTCTCTCTCTCTCTCTCCCCCTCTCCCTCTCTCTCTCTCTCGATGGCCAATTTACGGAAGGGGGTGAATCGCGTCGAATGTGGCGCATATGTTAAACCAGCAGCAGCTACGTGTAAATTGAATATAAATGCGATTGTATAAATTTTCGAAGGAGCTGCTAGCTCGCGCGCGCGTCGGGAATATCGCAGGAGCAGCGGCGTCCGGATTGATATTTACCAGCGACGGAGCAGGCACGTAATAACGACGTATCTTATGAAATCGGCGGCAACCTTGCGTGCAGTTTCGTACTTCCTACGTACGACGCACACGTGACGATAATACGAAAATACTCTCGCTCAATCTCTCGATCTGGCGGATAAATAGTCCTGAATCATCTTCATTATATTGGCGATTCATGTGATCCGATCATGTGACGGAGACACAAAGTGCTTGAGTCGCCGGCAAATAGTAGCCGCAGTTTCGCGCGACGCGACGACTCGCTAGAGTTCGAGAGAGAACAAGTTGGAATGTCGCTCATTGTCGAGACATGTACTTCTACGAAAAACTGATTAAAATCGACCTTCGTGTGTTACGAAACACTCGAAGCTTGCATTATCGGTGGGTAACTTTAGTATGTTCGGTAGTTACGATAATTAAGAAAATAAAGAGTAGCAACTTGTGCAGTCGTCAATTGCGCTTAATGCGCTTTCATCGCCGCCGGCAAAACAAACCGATAATGTGGGGGAATTTTGTCAACGACGTCCTTTAGCTTGAAATACGATAACAATCGTTCAACTCTGAATAAAGCGACATACTTGGCATGAGATAGCACGCAGTTGATGCGAAATTTCGACGAGGAATTCTCCTGAATAGACCGACCAGAAATCAGATTTCAAATACGAGACAAGCTGAGAGAGAAATATCCTTCGCTTTTAGAGAGAGAAATATCCTTCGATTTTCGCGTCGTTTATTTTACGCGAACGGTCGTTATCGATCGGTTTTTATTTTTAACGAAAAACTTTGTCGTTGGCTTCGAATACACCGTACATCGAACATCTTGCACCGCGCATCGTGAATAATTCGGAGAAATGATGATCATCCAGACTTTTTCGTCGAGATTCTGGAAGCTGTAACACGGATTCGCGATACGCGATGAATCTGATATGATAAAGAGAAAACATACACTACAATTTATACACGTCATTAATGACTTTATTCCGCGGAACTGGTTCGCCTTCCTTGACGTGCTGCGCGAATTGTCGTCCTTCGAAGGAGCGAACCGCACGTTCCGGCACGTGCCTGGAAGTACATACTATTTTTTCTCGTCTTCCTTTCAACGAGAGATGATAAATCCAACGCACTGTCCGTACAATATGCACGTACGTCGTCCTTGTCACCGGCGACAAGTCGCATTTTTGCGTACGCGAAATTATTTATGAGTTAAGCGCGTGCTCGCCGAACAGCGCGACGAGTGCGAATCCCTGTGTGTTGAGAGTACGTGGGAGTTTCGAGTCACGGTGAGAAATTTGGTCAGCCGTTGAGAGAACAGTCCTCGGGGTCGCTCTTATTTATCTTGGAGAAAGAACTCTGTGTAATCGTAAGTTCATTAAATGCGTCTTAGGAAGTCTATATATGTCCGGAATTCCAGTGAATCATACTTGACACGGAGAAACGACCAGTACACACAGAGTGATAACTCTTATCATTTTGAATATCTTGCTAATGACATTTCCTTCGATGAAACGAGAGTCGAAAGAAAGTATCACCTTCTTCAGGCAACCGTTCCAACACCATGTCATTTCTATTAAATAAACTTTTCTCCTATTCTATCTCTCATACACTCTCATGTTCCGAAGGTATTCGAAGTGATAATCGTTATTGCTTTATCCTGTGTATCGAACGAACGAATCACGAATGTGGCTGTAACGGAACTTTCGAAGACACGAAGACTTTTTTATGGTAGCAAGAGTATGATTATATACGTTTAGGAAGTGAATTTACATGTAATACGGAATATAGGAGCGAAGAAACATGTTCCCCAATCTTAATCTCCTCCCTCGATCTCCACCCGGTTCAATGTCGCTGCGAGTAGGAAGTCGCAGGATCTCGCTTCTGCATCTCTCGCTTACATGCGTAAAACGCCATGATTGTATTGTGTGTAAGGCTATCGTTTGTTGCGCCAACAGTGATCGAAGAACCAGGAGATGACGAGGTTAAGCAGAAGGACGGTGTCGTGAGGACAGCAGTGCGATACACGAAGCGCCGTGTCAGGGCCACGTGCACGAGAAAAACCCTTTACAAGAGGTTGCCGATCTTGAGCTGGCTACCAAGGTACAATGGTCAAGATGCACTCGGAGATCTGGTCGCCGGAATTACCGTGGGCCTCACCGTCATCCCACAGTCGCTGGCGTATTCGAACGTCGCCGGTTTACCGCCGCAGGTACGCCGAGAGATTTTTATCGTTCGCTCACGACGACTCACGAGAGATTACGTGGAGGGTTACATCGGTCTTACGCGGCAACGGTCGCAGTCGATGCATTCTCAAGAGGATAGTCTTTAATTAATCTGAGATGAAGTTCTTTTTCCAATTGATCATTCTTTCTCTCTCTCTCTCTCTCTCTCTCTCTCTAGAAAGAAAGAGTCGTTTGAAGATTGATCTTCGATAAGGATTTTAATTTATGATCGTTTTAATGTCGGGCTCAACCGGGTCGCGTAACATTGGAAATCGATCAACAGCGTCTGGTACTGATTTTCTTCATGAGGTTTTCGTTAAAAGAACTTTTTGAAATCACATCTCTCATGTCAGCCTAATTCTTCTCACTCACGTGTTTCAGTACGGTCTGTACGGCAGCTTTTTGGGCTGCTTCATCTACGTAATTTTTGGCTCCTGTAAGGATATACCCATGGGACCCACTGCCATTATTTCATTGCTGACTTATCAAACGGTGTCTCATTTGGAGGACCCGGTGCCGCATGCGATTCTGCTGAGCTTCATGGCCGGGCTCGTCGAGCTAATAATGGGTATATTCGGCCTCGGTGAGTCAACATTTCAATAATTTGTCAATATGGCGTCGATGTCTTCTTTAAGCCATCGACAACGACACCTGAGATGTTTTTAAGGAGACTTCCGAATGGAAGGAATGCAGAATACCTTTTTGCGTTTCAGGATTTTTAATAGATTTCGTATCTGGGCCGGTAAGCTCCGGCTTCACATCGGCAGTAGCTCTGATAATCGTCACGTCGCAAGTTAAAGATATCCTCGGCATCTCCGCCAGGGGTTCTCAATTCATCGAGATGTGGCAGAGTATCATTGCAAACATACACGACACGTCAGCCTGGGACGCTGCCCTCGGGGCATCCTGCATAGTACTGCTCCTAATCTTGAGGGTAATTATTCTTCTTCTGTGGGAAGAAGGGGTTGAATGTTTTTTTTCTCTCTACGCCGCAATTAATATTGAAATGTTATCAAATCATTTGGATACAGATTTAATTTAATTTATGTGAGACTATATGATGCGATGTGTGAATTGTAGTTGTTAGCCTCGTGCAACATCGGGCCGGAAAACAAGGAACTTCGCACCACGAAACACCGTGTTGTAAACAAGATCCTCTGGCTGATCAGCACTTCGCGAAATGCGCTGTTGGTGGTACTCTGTGGCTGTTTGGGCTACAGCTTTCAAAACGAATCACCTGTTAAACTAATTGGTATGAGAGTTTACTGTTGCGAATAAACTTCTAAACAGAGCAACACGTTTATATTTTAGTAGAGTTAGTAATTTCAAATGATATCTTTTAGACATACATACTCGCTTCTCTATTTATTCTCTTTCTCCTGGATTTCTCTTCGGAAATATTAATATAATTATCCGACATCGTTCATGAAGCTTGTAGCGCTTATAAATAAACATTCATATTACGCTCAGTCGACAATTATAAAATACTTTCGTTTTTATCATTACAGAGGTCTACGTAATCGATGGTTATTCTGGAAAGTCGAGTCAGGCTAAAAAAGAGTTTTCGTTGCAGGATATATACCGGGAGGTATGCCTATCGTACAAATCCCCCCGTTCGGATACATGAAGGATGCCAACACGACGGTCACGTTCGTCGACATGGTCAGTAATTTGAGCACCGGCATTCTCGTTATACCACTCATCTCTTTAATGGAGGATATCGCCATTTGCAAAGCCTTTGGTGAGTACAATGTACTAATGTTGACTTCTTAATAAAAATCGATAAAAACTTCTTTCCGTTCCGTTATTTCATAATTTTATATTAAAAATAGATTCAGCTCTGCTCTGCTCAGCGCAACCAGCAATTCGGTTTTTATCATACGGTTAAGGTTGTTGATTGACATGAAATCTCTGTATTCCACAGCTAATGGAAAATCGGTAGACGCGACGCAGGAGTTAATAGCGATCGGCATGTCGAATATTGGAAATGCCTTCGTACAAGCTTTCCCAGGCACAGGATCTCTTAGCAGGAGCGCGGTAAATAATGCTTCCGGAGTTAGAACTCCGTTCGGCGGTATCTACACCGGTGAGTCTCTGCGTGTGGTATCCGCGGTTCGCGCGGAAATTAATTATTACGTCTACTTAAACTCGAATTGTTTGACTAGAGCGTAAAGTCAGGAATGAAGAAGATTAAGTATGGATGACGCCTCTTACGCTAGAAAGTTCTTGAATTTCCTCAATAATAGACGACACAAGTCTGTCTGATCGAGTAATTCCCTTCTGGTTCATTGGTCCCGGCAAAGAGGCGGGGTGTTCCTTTGCGCTTGCGGCATAAATTTGCATTCTTCGTACGATCGGCAAGATACGAATATCGAAATTTTTGTTTCCAGGCGCGCTAGTAATTTTAGCCCTGCTGTTCCTCACCCCGTACTTCAGTTTCATTCCGCGCGCCAGTCTAGCTGCGATCATTATAGCCGCGGTCATCTTCATGGTCGAAGTCAAGGTGGTGAAGCCGATGTGGAGGACGAAAAGTAAGCGCGCACTTCTGATGCAGGAAATGCCGACGCCGTGAACGCGCCACGAGTGAATTACCTCTCGGTGTTTCAGAGTCAGATCTGATCCCAGGCCTGGGCACGTTCATCGCCTGTCTGGTCTTGCAGCTGGAGATCGGTATCCTCTGCGGAGTGGGGCTGAATATTATCTTCATCCTGTACCACGCCGCCAGACCGAAAATATCCGTGGAGAAGCTCACGGTGAGAGTTATTCACCCGCGTTGTCAAGAAAACGCAATTCTCAGTACCACAATCATGAATTTCAGAAATGTCAAATCGAAACGATGCACGAGCGAGTCTCGGTTATATATAAATCCATTTACTGCCATCAGTAATTAAGTATAAATTTGCAATGTAGCGTAGCGTTACGTCATTCGCCAGAACATCATCGCGAGGCTGATCAACGAAACTTGATTGACCGTTTCTTCCAGACCTATCACGGAATCGAGTACTTAATGCTGACGCCAGATCGCTGCTTGATATTCCCATCCGTGGACTACGTTCGCAACTTGGTGACCAAGTACAGCCAACGCGCGGGGAACGTCGCTACGCCCGTGGTGATCGACTGCTCGCACATCTACGGCGCGGACTTCACGGCCGCTATGGTCATCGAGACCCTGACGAAGGACTTTGCCAGCCGAGGCCAGCCACTCTTCTTCTACAACCTGAAGCCCTCGGTGTACGCCGTCTTCGAGGGTGTCGAGCCCACGGACTTCGTCGTCTATTACACGCAGGAGGCGCTGGACGACTTGCTGAAGAAGAGAGGCTACCCGAAGCTGATCAAATAACAGCGGCAGACCGCCGCAATGGTCGGACGCGTGATTGTGCAAAATGCGCGGGCACTTTCGTGCCGTTCATCAAGACTGTCATCGAGATACAACAGCTGGCTACCAAACGCGCGACAGATACGAAAGCAGTATTCGTAGAGAAATAGCGAAACGCCATGAGGATGACGTGGGGTAACGACGCGACCAGTGAGCGGTCCGCGATCGTGGGCGAGATGGATGTTGACGGGACGATAAATCGCGAGTGTTATCGGTCCGCCGCCTTATCAGCCTCTCTGTTACCTCGACGATCAAAGGGATTTCGACGAATGGTTGGCGAACGCACGATGAGCGAAAAGCGCGGTCTCGCGGTTATTTTCGGGTAGCGCATCACTCGGAGTCCGGGACTGTTAACGAGGCAGTTAACGTGCTATCTTGAAATCACAGCCGAGAGCGGCGGATCTGCACAAAGCGACGTATATACACGTATGTATTATATATCATATTTATATATCATCGTCGGCTCGGCGATATCTCGCGCGCGCGCGCGAACGTTTCCCCCCTCTCTCTGTCTCTCTTTCTCTCGTGCGAACTTACGTATATTTCGATATCCAAGGAAATATCGTATCTTCGCGTTTAACCCGCTTACGGAGAGATTCGTGCGACTCGAGGTGTTAAATGCTCGGCGAGCAGACATTGCGTCGCGTCGATCAACAACACAGCCGAAGGATATATATCGCCGATCTATATAATATCTGATAACGACAGTATTCAATGTAAGTTTAGAAGCGAAGATCCATAGATAACGTAGTCGATTCGGTACATGTACTTCAGCGGAGGAATATAAAATTAATACTTTCGATTCGCGCGAGATCGTAGAAGACAGCGCGAGTGCCGGGACGCGAATACATCTCGACGGATGATAACGGATGCTGCTCACCTGAGAAGGAAGAAACTCATTGAGGCAAGCTCGTTTCGTTCGCAAGGTAGTTTCTCGAGACACGATTAAAAAAGAGAACGGTAACTCCAGCTGATCCTCCGTACGGCACGTACGGCCCGAGAAACGAAAGTCGAGAACTAGGATTAAGAGAGAAACGTCTTCGTAAACTCTATCGTTCCGCTCTCGAGTACTTGTCGTGAGCTCAACGCGACCGAAAGCGAAGACGCGAACAAAGACTCTATGTCCTCATTCAGTTTTCCATATTTAAGATCTTCATGCTTTAGACATTTAAGACCTACATTTAAGATCGTGGTGCATACGTGAAGGAGAGATTCCATAGATCTGTGTGTTCCCATCTGCTCCACCACCTGGTAGCATTCGGACGGAACTTTCTGTCTGGAAGCACCTGTATATAAGTATAATAAGTTCGAGAACAATACTGTGATAATTTTATAAAGGACGTCTAGCGCGGACGATCGAGAAACGAGGTCAGGAGATGAGATGATGGTCATACAGCAGAGGACGATGTTGTCTCGTTAGTGTTCGCTAAGTGCTGTTACATTGTCAATTCGCGACGCGATTTGCAGGCGCGCGAAGGCGAGAGGCTTTCCCTGTGAATTAAATAACAGAGGCAGGCTCTCTCTCTCTTTCTCTCCGAGTAAGTTGTCAAGGCGAGTGCTCGCGTGAGCGCTCTAATGTCGAGCGTTCCGCGACGAGAGACGGACATTGTCGCATTCTTTTCGCAGCGATCGAAAGAATCGTTCATTGTTGAGGGTTGTGTTTAAATTCAGCGCGCGGCTCGTCGCTTCGTCAGGAGACAACGTCGACCGATAGTTTGTGCATTATATGTGTAATCAGGATTTCACGGGCGTTTCAAAGGGAACAGGGGAGAGAAAAGAAAAGAAGAGAAAGGTTTCCTTGAACATTGTTGAATAACAGAACGAAACATCCTGCGCCGGCGATTAAAGTAGCCTACCAGCTCGATATCGTCGTCGACGGAGAAGCATGTCGCACACAGTGGATCTGTAAAACGGCCGAACGATGTACTTATGCTTGCGCATTCATATGGCGTCGTTAATTTTATACGATTAATACGTAAAAGAAAATGATCCCGAAGGGAGAGAAAAGTTGTTACTCGTAACTGGCCTCACACCCCATTCCCCTTTCCCTCCCCCTCACCGCCGGTCCCTGTTGCATAGCATATAGGTCGATCTTGCGCTTATCGCGCTCGTCGCGGACGACACGGCCGGGGAATGAAGCTTTCGCTCTCTCTCTCTCTCTCTCTCTCTCTCTCTCTCTCTCTCTCTCTCTCTCTGTCTCTCTCTCTCTCTCTCTCTCTCTCTCTCTCTCTCTCTCTCTCTCTCTCTCTCTCGCTCTCTCGCTCTCTCTCTCTCTCTCTCTCTCTCTCTCTCTCTCTCTCGCTCTATCTGAAGATGCGGTGACACGACAATGCGGACGCGATAACGGGGGTGAATTACCACGGGTGAAGACCGTTCGCGCCCTGATTAGCCCGATTGTCCATCGGCGAATATATCCTACGCGCCTACGCGCCGCACTATATATAGGGCGATGGTTCTCCCTTCTCCTGGCCAGCCGAGCGTTATCGATTGTTACGAGCACCCCGAAGCCAGAACCGTAACTAGAGAATTACGGCGCCTACGGTGAATTATTCTCGACGAGGGCGCACGAGGACGACGAGACGATGGGGCTGATTTTTCGGCCGTATCGAAAGCCGATGGAGAAACCGCGAAAATTTCCTCAGGATCGTCTCGAGGAGAGCGAGCCTGAAAGGGAACATCAGCGCGACTTGTCGGCGGGACGCAACTAGCCGTACTAGCGTAAGGGTGAAAACTCGGTCGCGTTTTACCTCGCTTTTTTTATCATCTCCCCGACATGGGGGGGGGGGGGATCGACGGGTAAGACGGATTTCGCACACGAGTCGATGTCGCGAGATATTTCGTTGTCATGATTGAGAGTAAGACGCGATTCTTATCGCGCGGCAGGTCGCGGCACATCGCTCGTAGCGGAAAACCGTGTGTTCGCCATGGCTCAGTTACGGCTCTGACCTTACCGTTTGATAACGCGCTAAATGTGCACTTTCCGTGCGCGAGAGCGTGCGTCCACATCTGCAACTCACCACCGGCTGCGCCAGTCGCACGTTGGCCGATGACGGATGCGCACAGGCTGACAGCTAACGTGCCTCCGACGCGGACGGCGGCACGCTATTTCGAGGTAAGTACGTTCGAAATCCTATATCTGTACCTGTCTCGTCCTGCCGGCTCGATAGGACAATCGGACCTCCCGGAGCGAGAGACATCCACTTTCGAGGATTCTCGGCAAAGCCTTCGCAGATCTGTGTGAGAAGTAGGACCGGCGAAGTCGCGTTCTTCAGTTCCTCGAGAGATTGAATTAAGAAGAGCAAGTTCCCTCAAGGTATTTTATCACGCGTCCTTCCGAGGTGCTAGCGCGTGCGAGAACATTTGGCATTTTTGCCCCAACTATCGATTGAAAGTAAAATTGCGAGTTTGATGATTGAAGTCGAAATATGCAGGGAGTGGACGGCAGAGATTTAGCGAATCTCGATTTTCAGTTACATTCTCCCGATTTATGTAATATAATTATATGCGTTTCAATATATATTATATATGCATCCATTTTTATATAGTAAATGTGGAAAGTGATGTTTCTAAGAGAAAAATAAAGGAAATGTGGAAGAGAAAGTCATTTTTCTACACGTTATATTTGTGCAAATTCTCTTGTATGTTCCTTCTTTTCACTTTTTGCCGGATGTACAACCGAGATATGAGAGAACATGAGGACTCGATACCGGTACACGCCGCGGTTCGCTAAGTGCGATCACCGTAATGCCGATGTTTGAGTTTTCGTCCGGCACACCGCGTGCACCAGTTGCGTTTTCGCACGTTGTCCATGAGCGAGCTTCCCATCCTGTCGACGTCCACGATATAAGACACTGTAACGTCTTTCAGACATCGTGAAAGATATCGATGCGGCCGTGTCGGTGTCGATGAAGGAGACGGATGCTGCGGTATAATGGCATCCAGGAGGCCGACGAAGTACGACGATTCGTAAAATCACGATGGAACTGTGCAAAGGGTCCTGGAAGGTCATAATCCTCGTCTGCGTGTTCGCCGTCTACCTGTGGATGTTCTTCGTCGATTACTCGCACACGCTGTCGCAGAAGATGGCTCTGCAGAGGACGCGGGTCTCCGTGTCGGCGAGGAACGTCCTGCACCAGGATGCCGAACAGTCGAAAGGCAAGGAGGTGTCGTCCGTGGACGACGGAGCGGCCTCGAGAATCACGAAATCGCAGTCGACGTCACCGCGAAACCCGAACGACACGTTCAAGGGCAGCTTGTCCACGTCGAAGTACCAGACCTTGAAGCAGCAAGGTCTGATACCCAGCAGACAATTGCCAACCGCTCTGATAATCGGCGTGAAGAAAGGCGGCACCAGAGCTCTCCTGGAATTCCTGAGACTGCATCCTGCTATCCGCGCCGCCGGCTCGGAAGTCCACTTCTTCGATCACCACTATGTCAAAGGATTCCGCTGGTACAGGTGTGTACGGCGAGTCACTTCTACAACTGATACCACCAGTCGCCTCTGTCTAAATTCTACTGAAAGAATCTCGCAGTTTTGAAATTTTACAGTCTCCTCTGTTTAAGCTTGGTCAAATCGAGTTAATAGACCAGATCACCTGGACAATTAAAAATGCTTCAAACAACAAAGTTACACTCTCCGTACAAAAGGATCATAGAATTTTATGCGAGGATTTAGTAAAATGAGCGAATTTGCGAATGATCCTCGAGAGAGCGACATGTGCTCACACGTGAGTACAAGCGCGTCTAATAATTTCTCTTCCAAGCAGACGCAGAATGCCTCCGACGATGGTCGGCCAGATCACCATGGAGAAGACGCCGTCGTATTTCGTGACGAGCGAGGTGCCGAAGCGGGTGAAGCACATGAATCCGGGAATGAAACTGATCGTCGTGGTGCGGGACCCGGTGACCCGGGCGATATCCGATTACACGCAGGTGAAGAGCAAGCGCGTGAAGATGCCGCGGTTTGAGGACCTTGCTTTCCTCAACGGCTCGCGGATCGTCGACACGTCCTGGGTGCCGCTGAAGATCGGGGTCTACGTGCGGCACCTGGAGAGGTGGCTGCAGTACTTCCCGCTGTCGCAGTTCTTGTTCGTGTCGGGCGAACGTCTGATCGCCGACCCCGTGATGGAGGTCACCAGGGTGCAGGACTTCCTGGGCCTGAAGCGGGTGATATGCGAGAAACACTTCTACTTCAACGCCACCAAAGGCTTCCCTTGCTTGCTCAAGTCGGAGGAACGTGCGACGCCGCACTGCCTCGGTACGACGACTCGGACATTTCTCCACCGTTCTCCAGAAGAGGAACGCGAGTCGCCGAGATATTGATTCTCTTCGGCTCGCGACCTCCTCAATTTTATTCTCTATACGTTCGATCAAACTGGATATGGAAAAATGGATATTTCCGCATCCTAATTTTGAGTTACTTCCGCGTACACTGAGAAAAAATTGCATTAAAATTAAATAAATATTTGCTCGAATACGATTGTGAATATATTTATCTAAACTAAGCAATTATTTTCTAAAATTTAAGAAAAAAGTTTACATTCAGAGAGAGAACCTCCGTATTTCATTTTAGAAATTAGTCGCTTAATTTGAATAAATGTATTCACAGTCGTATTCGAGGAAATATTCGTTCAATTTTAATACAATTTCTTCTTTTTTCTCAGTGCAAGATATTTCACGTAGTGTAATCGAACAATGCTCGATATATTGTTAATTAACGGACCATTCGCTTACTTTGCAGGAAAGAACAAAGGTCGCAGTCATCCTTATATCGATCCCATGGCGGTTCAACGTCTGCGTGATTTTTATCGGCCGTTCAATCAGCGTTTCTATCAGCTGGCGGGTATGGATTTCGGCTGGTTCTGAAACCCGCGCGGTATCGCATATGAAATAAATACATATCGTAAGTAGGGAAAACTGAACGGAGTCAATTTTCGTCGTTTATATCTCGAGTATCTCGCAGTATCTATTGCACCTGAATATCCATAAGCTGGTCAGATAGGAATACCATGCATATTAACAGTCATATTCAAGACGTTTAGCGTCCCACAATGTTTGGGCGAATCGTGTTACGGATTCGGTTTATAATCGAGTGAATCTCATCGTCTGCCGATGTTGCTCGGCAACGAGCGACTGATTTACGCTGTTAATCCAGCCTTTCGTGGCGCGCGTTGCGATGCGTTAACGCTTGCAAGAGTTACTCGTTACTTTTCGCTTGTTGTTACAGATTAGTCGTTTACGACAGTCTGAGTCATTTACTGGCAGTAAGTTCGCGTAAAGATTCGGTTGCGAGGTAAGCAAGGTTCTATCAAGGGAACTGCATTTACGTGCTGTGGTACAAGTAGGATGAAAGACGGTCGTCGACGCTGTCTTTCAGAGTTATCAATAGCGCACGGTTCCCGTCCCGTCCGAGGTAACTCAACGAAAAACTGCGACATATCTATCTGCTGTAATTATCATAATTATTGTAACGATTACGGTAATCACAGAGAATTACATATCCGAGATACTTCTTTACTCGCTCGAACGGAAAAACCGTCAAGTTTGTATGAATACGTGTGCAATGTGAGAGTGTGCGTGAGAACGGTGAGAGAGTCACGTCTAATTTCTCCGACTTCAAGACGTACTTGTTATTTTTGCTGGATAAGGCAATACGAGCACAATTAATTGTAATTAGTGGCGCTGAATACAAAAATTGACATATCTTCATCGTTGCTCTCTTTGTTATATACTTTGTTATACGCTAGCTTGTTCTTTATTGTGTACCATTAGCTTGTTTTGACATGTTTACACTCTGTCTCTGTATAGGAAACTCGAATGTAATATATTGATAATTCTCTTTATATTGACTTTTAGAGAGAGAGAGAGAGAGAGAGAGAATCGTGTGGACTGTAACCACAGGTGCGATTATTGCAATAGTGTAGAAGAATAGGGGATTAATTGAATGAAGAGAGGGGAGAAATAACGTTTCTTTACCCATATAATTATCACAAATGATTGAGCTTTAATTACATCAATTCTGTTGTATTTCGTGACGAGTACACGTATGAACAATGAAATATCACATTTATTATATTTGTAATCCATACAATAGCAAGCTATAATATGCCGTCCGGCGACTAAATAATGAGACTGATTTTATTAAAAAAAAAAAAAAAAAAAAAAAACAAAAGAAAAGAACAACAAAAAGAATTGCGATGATTACGTTTGATATCAGTTTATTTTATTTCTTCAACATGTATCCCTCCAGCTTCGAGTAGCATGTTCGATCAACACTTGGAACGACGACGGAGATCTTCCTGGCTTCCAGATAGAGCGACATGAAATTCTGAACGTTCTCGACGTCTCTGAAATGTCTCTCTTTCAGCGGTATTTTCAGTTTCGGAAGTAGAAAATAGTCGCAGGGCGCCAAGTCGGATGAAAACGGCGAGTACACAGATTTGTTTCTGCGCTAAAAGCTCAGCACCTGGATCGTCTTGTGAGCCAGCGTGTTGCTGTCTCACAAGGAATCAGCCGTCCGGCTCGTAATATTCAAGCCTTCTGCGAGTAATTTGTTTCTACAGATGTTCCAAAGCGGTCAGATAAATGGCGCCGATGAAGCTTACGTCACTTGGCATGAATTCTTGATGGATGATACCTTTACTGTCATAAAAACATAATCAACAGCATCTTGATGTTAATTCGATGCGGAACTTTTTGCGGATCTCCGTCGACTTTGACTCGCCAGTCTTGCGTTTCACCTCAAAGTCATACTGGAAGCATCAGGTTTCATCGTCGATCAATCGATCGAATATATGCAGGAACTTGGGGTTTTTCAGAAAAGCTCTGATAATGTCTTGCCACAATTTTCCCCGGAATCATATCGGCAAGCAGAAAACCGTCGGAACAGCAACGTACGAAGATCTCGGCCCTCTCTCGCTCAAGTTGTTATCGCGTAATTTTCTTGTTGGACGTCAGGTATCAGCTGTACCATCGCGAATGCGACAACGCACCCGCGCTCTTTATCCACGCGCAAGATCTCCGATCGCTAGTCGCTCGCCAGCAGGTCCTGCTGCTCCAGGTGATTTTAGTCGAAGATAGGCGAGGTTCGAGGAAGACGGACGATTGAGAGGGCCGCATGAAGAGTGACGACTATCGAACAAATAAAATGAACAAATAAAAAAAAGAAGAAGATTGTTCGGGAGTTCGATTAATTTCAGTCTTTAAATTCGATCGAATTCTTGCGATTCGGCCGAATATTCTCGGCGCTGTCGGATACAACATAGGTTGATCGAAATCGTGAAGAGAAATCGATTCCAATCAAATATAAACATCCGAACAATAGCTGGCGAGCCAATGGTGGATCTATTATATTTCGAATTATGTTTATCTCTTCCTCGTCACGAAACAATTGGGTGTTTCCAGAAAGTTTTACCGCTGATATCGCGCCGAGAATATAGTGGCTGATCGCCAAGGGATTCGGCATGTGCGCTTATGAACGGCCATCGAACACATTGTGTACGTGGTTGATTAATCTCGACGCCTGATTCTACGGGTCAGGTCCTCGTCCTACATTGTCGGACCCGCGAACTACTCCATTATTGCGACGTGCGGCGCCGGTTTTCGCTTACGGCCGGAATTCATCTGTGTTCTTTGTATTTGGTTTTTTTTGTAATATCGAGTTACTGCCGCGCTCTCACTCCGCGCTGACCGTCGCCATGCTCGCGATCGCCTGTTCGCCCGCGGCAGGACCATCCGGCGTTCGCGAGGAAGATTTCCGTCGGTTCGGCGGTGACATCTCACCGGCCCAGAAGATCTCCGGTCGCGGAGTAGCGCGAACCCGCTCGGGCGACTCAAGATCTCCGTTCGCGCGGCAATCTATGGTGCAATTAAAGGGTGGAAAAGTATTTCGCGCCTTCATTTGGATCCTTTCTTGGCCATCTGTTCCTCCAGCCTCTGCTTCATTTACACGTTGCTCTATCGATCTCGTTGCTCAGCGCTGAGCGATACCGGCGCACAGTGGGCCAGAATTCCAGAAAAGTGTCAAAAAATACATTTTTTGACTGTTTCTAAATTTAAACAAATACATGTCTATTTGATAATATTAATGTCAAACTGATGAAATGTAACATGATTTTCCTCTTAGACATATATTAAGGTCGCAAGATATTCACAAAGTTGACGTCTTTAACAAATGCCATCGATTGCCATATTTAACTGATACAAAAAATATTTTTATCGAATAAAACAAGCTATAAAATAGACATGAATAATAATCGTTATTATATAAGGAAATTCTATGACTCTTCCTCTTTCTAATAGTATATAATAAATTATAAAAAAATAATTTTATTACCATATAATAACGCATCAAAACTTAGTTCGCTTGCACGAACATATCAATGCTATCTTTCAGAGCATATTGATTTTTGAGAACGTACTCGTCGTGACTCGTCGATTGGACTTGATCGGTTTTGTAACTGATGCTTTAGTATCCAGAAAAGATCGTCTGCTTTTATCTGCTTTTACGACAGCTAGAACAAAATAATTATTGCAATGTTGGTAGACACGCAATGTCCCGAAAAATAAAAATATTGAAATTTGAAAACTAAGACTATTTATCAACAAATCATAATATTAAATACGAAAGTCTGAGACAAATTATCGATACATACACACACATACATATATATATATATATATATATATATATATATAATAAAAGAAACAGATTTTTTAAACCTTTCGAATACGACTCACACTAACGACTGGTAGTATAAGAATTATGACAATCTCCTTAAGCCATGTAAAATTCTTATCCTTAAACTGTATTATATTTCTTTGAGAAGATTACTACCACTCATTATATTCAAAAGCAAACTTGCAAGCATAATAATAATTATTATTATAATTATTATTATTACTATTATTATTTATAATTCTATAATCATATTCTATAATTATAATTCTATAATCATAATAAAATTAACGATATTCAATGATTAAATGATATTAATGACATGTATTTGTTTAAATCCAGAAAACAGTCGAAAAATGTATTTTTTTACACTTTTCTGGAATTCTGGCCCACTGTGCGGCGATCGCGGCGCGGTCGATCGAGCGGGAAGATCGCGCTAGCAAACAAAGATACTTATTTGCGATACGATATAAGGAAAGGGAAATAAAAGAAATAGGAACTCAACGAATGTGGTTAGTCCAACCAAAACATCAAAGATTACGGCTTATCCCGCCAAACGCGCGCTCGACTCGATCTGACAAGAATAATATTATAGAATAGACTAGTGGACGTAAGGTAAACGTACCGAATTATGCCACTTTAGCTTATTCTATGTATGTAATAAAACACAGTTGAGTAAAAGTGTCTAAAAATTGCCGGAAGGAAGTCGTGATAGTGTTAAATAGCTCCGCTAAAGTGTATGAAAAAAAAAAAATATATATATATATGTATAATGTAATTTTCCATAAAAATCAGTTTCAAAAGTCTATATCAAAGACCTGTCACTTTTGACTATTTTCGACTGAATTTTAAATGATTACTAACCTATGAAGTGACATTTATAATATGTACTTTATAATATGATAAAATGAAATATTTTTGGTTCACACATTTACACTTAATTCACAGTTCACACAGTTCACACTTAATTCTTTTATATAAATAAATAATCTTATTTATTTTTAATTTGTATGTGTGTTTTCACTAATTTACAATAATAACTTTTAATAAGATTCATAGTCTTACCTAATATCACTTTATTTTTTCAAAAATATATAGTTTCAAAAATCAGTCTTTGTTTAACATGGCGTAATTTACCTTAATGCACGCACACGACAATTATTCTTTACATACTACTGTGATCAAAAAATATCTGAACTTAATTTTTAAAAATCAAAATTACAATTCAATCAAAATTCTTATAGTCTCCTTCAAAATAGTCCCCATTGCTTGCAACGCACATATGCCAGCGTTTGATCCAGTCCTGTTCGGAAACATCGCTCATACGGCAGACAGTATGGCCTTCAATTCATGCAGCGATTTTTCTTTGATGTCTTCGATCGATTCGAAACGCTGTCCGCGAAGTGGTTTTTTCAGTAGGGGGAACAGGAAAAAGTCGCAGGAGGCCATGTCTGGTGAATACGGTGCTTGCGGAGCGGCATTCGTTGACTTTTTTGTCAGAAATTCATGCACAAGTGTCGAGGTATGCATGACGAATGGTGTGTTGTCGTGATGCAAAATCCACGAGTTGTTTCCCCACAATCCCGGTCGTTTCTTATTGCTTCGCGCAAATTCATCGTGACGGACAAGTAGTATTTTGCATTGACTTTTTGACTAGTTAGAAAGAATTCCTGGTGCACAATACCGCGATGAGAACCGTGAGCATAATCTTGACTTTTGACTGCAAACGGCGAACTCTCTTCGGTCTTGCTTCATTTTTCAAACGCCATTTCAATAATTGTTGCTTTGGTTTCGACGTCGTATTGGTAAACCCATGTTTCATCATCAGTTATGATCCGTTTCATGTATGTGCTGTCTCTGGATAAAATTGCCGGAAGGAAGTCGTGATAGTGTTAAATAGCTCCGCTAAAGTGTATGAAAAAAAAAAATCATCTCTCGTGGAAATCATCTCAGACGATACCAACAGTCGATTATCTTTTTGGAGAAAATTCAGGTTTCTCGGAATTAAGCACGATGCGACCCGATTTATGTCCAGTACATTGGACAAAATATGCTGGTACGATCCAAATGATATTCCAGCTTCATCTGCTATCTCCCGAGCAGGAATCAAATACGACAATTTTTTATGATATGACATGATTAGGCAAGCCATAAGAAGACATTATGAGTGGTCCTTATCCGGTGGGAATGTGGTAATTGTCTTGCAATATTTTCCGGATTATACCCTGACCAGCGATGACGTCATTATTTGGATGCCTGATTTGGTCCTGATGGACATTTGATCAGGTTTCTCGATTTCAAGCAATTTCAGGGCATTATGCAGCAGTGCGTTTCACTCCTTATTACGTGCCGGATCCGATAAAGTTATCCGGACCCTAGTTGAAATTTGGAAGCCAGATGGGGTTTTAATACGACTATGGGGCGATGTTCTGCTCAGGCTCTCGCACAGTCAATCGACGGTTTTAGAGCACCAATTCTTTCACTTTCTCAATGTGAGCGTCATCCGTTGACGTTGATGGTCTTCCAGAGCGTGGGTCATCTTCAACGGATTCTCGTCCTTCTTGAAACTTCTTAAACTTCTCAAACGTACTTGTTTTCGATAAACAATAATCGTCATAAGCTTTTCGCAACATTTTGAATGCGTTTGTGAACGAAATTTCGTTCGCAACACAAAATTTCAAACAAATCCTTTGCTCCATATTTTTCGACATCGTAAAAATCGCCGTGCACAACAATCTTCACTGACATAAACAACTGCCACTTTCAAACGGCTTGAAGGAACGCCATGATTTTTTCACCAAATGTGGAGGACATGTGTACCGACTTAAGAAAGCAAACGGATTTGATTTACAGTTTACCCGCAGTTTTTAAAAAATAAAGTTCGGATACTTTTTGATCACAGTAATAGACAGTGTGGCAGTACATAGACTCCGGCTATTTCGTTACTTGGCGCGGATACTTGACGCCTTACCGACCTCGTTTAACCCTTTCGATAATACCGTTGACTATAGTCACTCATCATCGTACACTCACTGTGTCCTACGGGTGATTATAATCACCTATCATCGAAATTATATTATTAAACAATTTTTTAAATCTGAATAATTTAAAATATATTACATTGTAATGTCTTATCCTTTTTATAAACAATTTATCTATAATTTACATTATTCTACCGAATATCAAATGTTATACCCATTCCACGGTAAAATGTACGTTGCAACTGGCTCATATCATAGAATCTCATTCGCGACTCGAGTATCTATATATATATATATATAGCGGAAGCATACTCGCGAAAGATATAGCCATATCGAAAGGGTTAAGCCCTTCGCTAGTTTCGCTCGTTTCTCTCACTCCGCTCTTTTATTCGCTCCGCTCGCTTTACTCGTTTCTCTCACTCCGTTCTTTCGCTCGTTTCTCTTACTCCGTTCTTTCGGTCATTTCTCTCACTCCGCTCCTTCACTCGCATCGCCGCTCGCTTCGCTCGTTTCTCTCACTTCATTCTTTCGCTCGCAAGTCACCGGACCACATCGGATACCGCGCAGTTCGATATTGCTGTTGATCGACTCCTTTATATACCTAATCTCTCCACTGGGGAAATGAATTTCTCTCGGCGGTTTTTGGTCATGATAGGTCAGCCTAACTTCGTCGCAATCGCACGCACTTCCATACCGAAGATAGTTTGACTCGTCCAAGTAACGACTAAACTGCTAATTTGTCGTTGTCCTACTAAAACGGTAAAATATTCTATTATCGTACAACCTATACACAAGCAAAGCGGAAGTGACTTTCGTTTCGTCAGTTGATTGATTTGTCGAAGAACTGGCAAGGGTGTACCTGGTCTACTGACGACGGCGCTCTCTCGACGGGGATCGTCGTCGACGCTCCGCAGGTTTGCTTACTTGCAATGATGACTTAGCGATATGTCTACTATCTGACAGGAAATGGTAATACACAGGTTGTCGATTGCGGATGAGCGGACGCGATTTTCCCGCGGAAGAACGATAGATTTCACGCGAAGTCCCATTCCCACTCGGCAAGTCCAGATCGTCTGAAAAAAGCGATCGGTGTCTGTGTGATAACGGTCCGAATGATGTATGTAAATCCTTATTGGGCGACCGCTGCTCCTCCGAGGACTCTCGGTCTCGCGACGGCGACCGATGTGTACGCGAATTATCCTTCGTCTTAGCGGAAATTTTGATTGTATACTCCGGTTGAATTCTAATCGGTGCGTCCTAGCTCAACGGGTCTTCTTCTTCCGCTGCGCTAACGACAGTTCGAGCCGACCGCGGTGGCGACCGGTAAGCGAATTAGGGATACGTGGAGTGCTCGGGTGGCAGAGACACAGGATATTCAGAAGTCGCAGCGATCGCCAGAAATCGCTCGACTCTGATCGCGATAAGTTCAAAAATGACAAAATCACTAAAATCGCGACGATCGATTATGAGTTCGATTAAATCGCAGCAATACATTTCGATAAGCAATATCCAATTGTTGAGCTAACCGCCATTCCGGCGGATTCAGTCTGTTGGAGAACGCGAGTAAACACGTAATGTAATCGGCGACCGGCTCATGTTTACTCTGCATGAGGTGTAAGATTTCGTTACTCAATTATGGGCTCGCGACACTAAAACGTGCTAAAAATGCCTTCTCGAAATTGTCCCACGAGCGAAATTGTTTGCTCTCAAACCAATAAGCCGTGATTGCCATTAATAAAAACGGTAAACTGTGCAAAATGTTCTCGTCCGCCGTCGGAGCGAGGGCTCAAGCGTATTCGATTTTTCGTATAAACCCGTACGCGTCATCTCCTCTCGTTCCTGAGAACGATAAATTCCAGACCCACAAAATCTTACACAATTTATACGCAGACGGTTCGCCTTCCCGCGACCGATCTTGCGGTCGCCTCGCGTCCTCTCTCGAGGATGACGATCGCGAATGGATCATCTCCCTTCCTGGCAATGCTGCATCACATCTGGATGATTCTCGGTTTCTGGAGGCAGAGACCGAGCGCAATAGTCGCACTTCAGGGTTCGCTCCGTCATCTCCACATACATTGTCGGTAGCGATATTTCGGTATCGATAGCGGTTCTCCCCCGTCAGAGGTGCTCCCGTAAGGCGTCCAGGATTCGGAGCCGAGGCGGAACCGAATTTTTCTCGAAAGTCTCGGTCATATTGTTTTAACCGATCATGTAAAGCCGAACAGGTTCCCGTTGTCAGGATTTCCAAACGCTCGCACTCAGCTCTCAGCTGATCGAGGGATAGAGTGTCTAGCCAATGATCTAGTTCTTGGATGTAATCCACATTTGTAACAACCGCGGGAGACACCGCGACCTGCCATTGTTTAACAAAGTAATGATACATCGCGAAAAGTAAAGATCGCAAAAGATTACGCCAAAACAAAACGAAAAATATAATTGGACAAAATCACCCGGTAGACTACTTGGTACTTCCAGGTACCAACCATGCTCTGCCTTCTCCCCGCGCGAAGCCTGAACGCACGCTGCACTCACTCACCCTTATTCGTCTTATTGCGCCTTACTACGTTGCGTACTACGAAGACGACCCCGCACTCTTTATCGAAATAATATTTCAAGCCAGTATTTCGGCAGGAGAATGTCTTGCTTCAAAGCGAAAGATAGAGAATTGGACGATACGATATAAGACAAACACAAGATGTTTACGTAGACATCCGAGCATCCGCTACTTAATCCGGGAGTTCTTGCGCCTATTTCTTTAGCGTCGATTTTCACGTGGGGTTAGTTCATCCCCCACATAAAGGTCGTTATTATTAACAAAGTATAATATATTGTCGACTGTGATATGGCTTATTATTATTCAAGGACATTGTAAATATAGATGCGTTTATCATTTCTCGAAAACAATTAAACAAAATGGCAAAAAATATGTAAGAAATAAAATAAGAGCATAAAACGCCTTGTTATGATAGTATGTCAAATAAATGAGAATATCAATTAAAATACGCTATTGTACTGCCTTTTTTTCGATGGAATCTCATATTTAAAAGTTTATACAGAATAATTCTAATAATTATACAGAATACTTCAAACAGATTGTAATTATATTAAATAATATTTATTTTATAAGACTGTAAAGTAAGGCTGTGTCGCGGTCTTACCGTCGTCGGGGCAGAATCACGCTGGCCACTCGTCGATCTATGTGACTCGGGGGTGACTGGACCGAGTCACATAGATCGACGAGTGGCCAGCGTGATTCTGCCCCGACGACGGTAAGACCGCGACACAGCCTTACTTTACAGTCTTATAAAATAAATATTATTTAATATAATTACAATCTGTTTGAAGTATTCTGTATAATTATTAGAATTATTCTGTATAAACTTTTAAATATGAGATTCCATCGAAAAAAAAGCAGTACAATAGCGTATTTTAATTGATATTCTCATTTATTTGACATACTATCATAACAAGGCGTTTTATGCTCTTATTTTATTTCTTACATATTTTTTGCCATTTTGTTTAATTGTTTTCGAGAAATGATGAATGCGTCTATATTTACAATGTCCTCGAATAATAATAAGCTATAACACAGTTGATAATATATTATACTTTGTTAATAATAACGACCTTTTTGTGGGGGATGAGCTGACCCCACGTAAAAATCGACGCGTGCGCGACTTTTCAAACGACTTGTCATCACTGCTCCGGGTGATTTTAGTCGGGTGATTTTTAGTCGGAGATGGGCGTGGTTCAGGGAAAACGGACGATTGAGAGGGAAGCACTGAGAATGACGACTATCGATTAACCATGGACCTAAGAATCTATGGACGGAGTACAAAGTAAGCTTTATGGCAAGGGGGTTGGGAAATTTGCAATAAGGGGAGTGAGAGTACTCTCCTTCTTTCTTCGCCTTTTGTTTCTTTCTACAATAGGACACCGTCGGCTAATGAACGAATTTGACCGAAAATATCCGAAGCTTAAGATATATAGTCAATAAACATGTCAAAGAGACTGAGCTTCGAAGTCTTTTATTAAGCTTATTGTGAATGAAAAGAAAGTTCTGTGTTTTTTTCTTTGACAATGCCATCCTGCATAATTTCGAGCTGTACTAATCGGACCGATCCGAAAAGAAAAAAAGCCTCGCAGATCGAACTGGAGTATTTTAGAAGAATTTAATTTCACAAGTACGTAATATCGTTTGATTTTTAACTTTATTTCGTTTATAAACATTGTGAAACGTAGTTATATTTAAAGTAAGTTTAGATGTTTAGCGTATGTTAATGTTAATTATGTTAAATATACATCTATATTTCATTAAATTAACGACTAGAAACAATTCAAATTACGTATCTTAATTCCGAAGTTAACGAATATAACATATATAAGTCTTTCGGAAATCATCGTGTGTGTGGCAGACCCGACAACACCCGACGGTGTCCTATTGTAGAAAGAGACAGCACTATAGAGACCTCCCTTACCGCATATTTCCCAACCTATATGCTTTGCGCTCCGTCCACAGATTCTTAAGTCCATGCGATTAACAAATAAAAAAAGAAACACTCGTATTCATAGTCAGGCCTTATATTTAAGGCTTCCTTAAGTTTATCTTCAGATGATCTGTAACTAATAAAATAATCCGTGCAACATCTAAAGATAGATACGGATAAAAGAGATACTTATTTGCGATACGACATAACAAAAGGAAAATAAAAGAAATAAGAACTCGACGAGTGTGGTTGGTCCAACCAAAATAACACCAAAGATTGCGGTTTACCCCGCCAACCACGCGCTCGACTCGATCTGACAAGAATAATATAGAATAGACTATCGGACGTAATGCATGCACGCGACAATTATTCTTTATATACACACAGTGTGACAATACATAGATTCCGGCCGTTTCGCTACTTGTCGCGAACACGACGCCTTAGCGATCTTGCTTAAGCTCTTCACTAGCTTCGCTTGTTTCTCTCATTCCGCTCTTTCACTCGTTTCTCTCACCCCACTTTTTCGCTCGTTTCTCTCACTCCGCTTTTTCGCTCATTTCTCTCACTCCGCTCTTTCGCTTGCTCCGCTCACTTCGTTCGTTTCACTCTCGCACCGCGCCACGAAGTAATGACAGAGCACGTACCGCGAGCGATGGACCTCGCCCTCCCCTCCCCCCGCGATCCTGGAGCTTGCGAAGGATGCTACACGCGCCGCAGCGCCGATTATTGATTACAACCCTTTCCTGGTGCGCCTTCCTTGCCTAGGACCAAACACGCTGCCCTTCTGCGGGCACGTTGTCCTTTATGCTCTGGGACGAGGGCGAGGTGAGCCATTACGTCACAGTCTTTAGTATATTTGATGCAGTCATAGAGCTGATTATCCGTCAAGATATACGGAGCGAAGCGTTCGCAGATCCTCGCATAAAATTTTGCGTATTGTTTCCTTGTTGACACTATTGTCTTCCGCCATTATTCGCAAGGTGGCACAGCGATTACTTTGGATATGTTTTCGTATTTTTTGGACAAGTATCTCGTTGCAAACCGAGACGAAGCGTCCTGGTTTTTCATCGTCTTCCAGTTCCCGGCCATCTTTCAATCGTGCATACTAGCGAAATATTTGTGCACGGGATAGACATTCCTTTCCATATACTTCGCATCAGTGTTACTTTTATCCATTTTCAGACTGAATTTTATATTTGCCCTTTGTTCCACTGTACTTCTGTGGTCACATTTTCGAAACGTTGACAGTATGAATCAATACAAATGGTAAATAGCAAATACAGTTTTCTTGTTATATGTGGCTAGAGGACTCCTGAGTATCAGTCTGTATAGAGTTCCTATAATAAGAGTTGCGATATAGTGATGATGATTTCTGATTGGTGCCCTATTGCATATAACGAATCATATTTAATTACATTAGTGTGCACTAGTGCAGAACGATTATTTTTAAAAGAACATATCCGTTGTGACAGTATATATATAATTTGATATATGCGATATATAATTATATAAAATACTTTGAAAACTCGAAGTATTTTATATACTCAAAAATACACTGACAAGGAGACGGTCGAAGGTGTCTATATATGCTATATATGCAAAGTCGTATCCGCTTACGTTTATATGGTATGTAAAACGATGCGTATATCATTAGAATTAAGTTTTTATTCGCTTGTAGATAAGATCATGTTATCACTGTTATCAAGCATCACGGTCGCAGCCCAAGGCCGAGTGCGTTTTAAACTTAAGTCCTTCAAAGTGTAAAGAGTGAGGTCGACCTGTATCAAATGATGTGCCTCAATAATCAAAGTGCACGATAACGTTTATCGCTCTCGGAAGCTCTACCAATTCTGTTTATGGACAGAATTCATAGACATGTCTTGACTTTTAAGCCGCTCTTGAGTTTATCCACTGATTTCGTACTTGTTTTATTGGATACGAAATTGCATACGAAGTCACGTTCATATGATATTTAATACGTTGTGTATATCATTAGGAGCTTTTATCAGCTTGTGCAAAAGAAAATACAGAGATATCGAGTACAGCGTACATAAGAAGCGCCTATCTATAACGCAGCGTCTATAGCTCCATGTTATCATCTCTATATTAACCAAATTAATGGCTTCCATTTTCCATTATTATACATGAATGAATTTGGTATTTGATACTCTTTACATTCATCCTAACAAGAATTTAAAAATTTGCGAGGGTAATGAGAAGGGGAAAGGGGGTAAACAAAATTTTGCAATTTTGCAAAATCTGAGTACACAGTTGCAAAGAGTATAAAATTCCCTACAACTTTTATATAAACAATTTTTTCATATGCCTCATACTTTTCGACATATTCGCTAAAAACGAAAACCTCTCTTTTCTTCGAGGGGTGGTTTCACCTCCTAAACCTCGAGATAAGCACATAAAAAAAATATGGGTCTAATATTTTTTGATGCTTTGTAATATATCCGAAGCCCATCCAAATCGGTGAGGGACACTTTCGACCGTCCCCTTGTCAGTGTATTTTTGAGTATATAAAATACTTCGAGTTTTCAAAGTATTTTATATAATTATATATCGCATATATCAAATTATATATATACTGTCACAACAGATATGTTCTTTTAAAAAAAAATCGTTCTGCACTAGTGCACACTAATGTAATTAAATATGATTCGTTATATGCAATAATTAAATGATTCGTTATATGCAATAGGGCACCAATCAGAAATCATCATCACTATGTCGCAACTCTTATTATAGGAACTCTATACGGACTGATACTCAGGAGTCCTCTAGCCACATATAACAAGAAAACTGTATTTGCCATTTGTCATTTGTATTGATTCATACCGTCAACGTTTCGAAAATGTGACCACAGAAGTACAATGGAACAAAGGGCAAATATAAAATTCAGTCTCAAAATGAATAAAAGTAATACTGATGCGAAGTATATGGAAAGAAACATCTATCCCGTGCACAAATATTTCGCTAGTATGCACGATTGAAAGATGGCCGGGAACTGGAAAACGATGAAAAGCCAGGACGTTATATGTAATATTTTTTGCTGGGTTGAGTGCAAAGATATACATCTACATTGAACAGTTTTCGCTATTGCATTATTCTGATACTTATTTTTCTAATATATATTTTGTGTACTTGATGTTTACATGATTCAATGCAAATGTACACATTCACATTCAACATTCACATTATTCACGTTGTTCGTAAGCGTTTGACAGGTATAGAACAGAGTGAGGAAGTACTAATCATGTAAGTTTGACAGTAAACAACTTTTGGAAAATAGTATATGTAACATATCAAAATATTCGTCAGAAAAATATATGATATCAATAACTCTACATATTATGTAATTATTAATTATTTATGCTTATAATATATATTTAACTTACTAATGCAGATATAGGGCCAGAGCACAGACTTTTGCATAACGCACAATACACAACGCATACAGCCCCTTGTACAATGCCAGGCAACAAGCAATAAGAATAAAAATAGAGCAATCACAATCGACTATGACAAGAATAATCTATTGTGATTGGTTTATTTTTAATGTGATTACCTGTTGCTTGGCATTGTGCAAGGGGCTTATGAGAATCAACAAATCAGAGTTCTTCATTTCTGTCCTGAGGAGGGAAATGAAGAACTCTGATTGGTTGATTCTCTTATGCGTTGTGTATTATGCGTTATGCAGAAGTCTGTGCTCATATATTTGCATTCAACGTTCACATGACTTACGTAGTCGTATATGTCATTGGGTCTTAAATATAAGACCTGACTATGAATATCGACCTTAGTCCATACGTCGTACGCCATATTACTTTTGACAGTCTATAGGATAGAGTGAGAGAGGTTTAATGCCATGCAACGTCCTCACTCTATCGTAAACTGCCAACTTCCGGCTTCACTCCCCTCGAGGGAATGCTTGATCTAGTTATATACACAGTCTGTCCCAGATCCAATGAGACTGGTCTAAAAAAATACAAAGCGTTTATTATTTTGATTTTTTATTCTTGTTTATTCAAAACAGTCTCCTTCTGAGTCAATACAGCGCTGGAAACGTTCAACAAATTTTTCGAAACATTTTTTATACTCATCGGCTGGAATGGCCTTTAGTATGGCGGTCGAAGTCTTTTGGATGACCGGGATGGTATCGAAACAATTTCCTTTCATCGCCAATTTCAGTTTGGGAAATAGCCAGAAATCGCACGGAGCCAAATCAGGTGAATACGGTGGATGATCGATAACAATGATGCCTTTTTTGGTCAAGAATTTACGTACCATGATGGCTTTGTGCGATGGTGCATTATCGTGCAACAAAAACCAACTGCCTGGCTCTCGATATTCCGGTCGAACTCGTCGAATTCTGACCCACAATCGTTGTAGAACTCCCAGATAATATTCTGCGTTCATCGTCTGACCTTCTGGAACGAATTCACTGTGAACAATTCCCTTTGAATCGAAGAAAACGGTCAGCATTGTCTTGATTTTGCTCTTCTGAAAGCGTAATTTTTTCTCTTTTGGCTCTTCTGGTGACTTCCATGCCGCACTCTGACATTTTGTTTTTGGCTCGTATTTAAAACACCACGTTTCACCACCAGTTACAATGGCTGACATGCTTGCCGGATTCCTTCGGGACATTTTTAACATGTCTTTGCAATGCTGAACTCTCCAATCTTTTTGGTCGTCTGTCAGAGTGTGTGACACGAAGCGCGCACAGACCTTCCGTTTGCCCAAATCTTCGGTCAAAATTCGATAGACTGTGCTTTTCGGTATCCCACTTTCCTCTTCGATGAGTCTCGCAGACATACAGCGGTCGCTTCGAAGAATTTCTTTGACTTTCTCGATGTTTTCTTCATTGCGAGTGGTTTTTGGCGGCGGTGCTCGATCATCGTCTGCAAGGTTCTCACGACCGTCACGGAATCGGCCAAACCAACGGAAAACCTGTGCACGGGACATGCATTCATCCCCGTACACATTTTTCAGCGTTTCGTACGTTTCTGTACCACTTTTACCCAATTTAAAACAGAATTTAATATTCGCTCTTTGTTCCATGTTGGTTTTTCGACCGACGTACACAAAGTGACTTTACATAAAATGTCAAACCACAGTAAAATATCAACCGAATTCGCTCAAATTTTGAGGTTAAGTAGATGAAGGGTAGAACATTCACCTACCATTATTCATTCATAGATGTCGCTGCGCTAAGAACTTTTTAGGGTTTTTTGATGTCCTCTTGCTCTCTCGTCGATTGCAAGTGGAGGGTAGGTTCCTAAATCAACCTAGGCGTGTTCTTTTCCTTTGGTATCTTTATTGCGCACGTGCCTGCCAGTCGCAGAGCACGTGAATCACAGATGTGGCGTATGCGCCTCGAAGGTACAAAACTATTTCTGCGCTCGCACGGCATACGAGTCACAGCGGGACTTGTATGTGTATAGGCCACAGATGTCTATATTATACTAGATTGCTAACTTCTCAAAAGAGCTGTGTCCCGCCCATTTTCCGGTTCGGCCATGAAGACCGCCAAGACATGGCAGCGGTGTGTGTTTGTAGTGTGTATGTGAATACCCGATGCGTATGTAGTAGTGCGTGGTAATGCGTACGTGACACCTGATGTATCTACTACTATTTATGTTAGTAAAACTGCAAATCTACAAACGAGATAATGCCGAATAAGTATTGTAAATTTCAAAAATACGAACAAGAAAGAATATCATTTAAAGATATGTGTATTAATAAGGTGTTGCTAATCTAAGTGTTTGGTAAAGGTTAAAATTAAATTGAATATATACAGTTCAAAATATGTCAAAGTATTTGTATTAATATTTTTTACATACATATAAAGAATAAAATGCAACTTATGTGTTATTAAATATTAATTTTATAAATTTGTGTCTGTTACTTGCAGGATTTCTATCTTTCGTTGTTTTTGTAAGTGAATACATTCTAATATTAATAATATTAATAATATTAACATAATATTAATAATATTAATAATGTTTAATTGCAAGATAACCCTCACATATTACAAACCTCGAACATTTATTATATATAAATGTATTCTACTTACTTAAATAAGTGATATCCTTTTTTATTCGTATTATTGCAATTAACAATGCAACATGTACTTGGCATTATCTCGTTTATATATTTACAGTTTTACTAATATAAATAGCAGTAGATACGACACACATCAGTGTAGACACATCAGGTATCACATACTTACAGTACAGCACTACTACACACGCATCGGATACTCACGTACGCACTACAAACACACACCGCCGCCATGTTTTGACGGTCTTCATGGCCGAACCGGAAAATAGGCGGGACACAGCTCTTGTATAGGTCAAAGATCGAAGTTAGCAATCTAGTATAGTATAGACATCTGTGGTGTAGGCAGACCGGAGCCGATGCACCTGCCTGCTTGCTCTCGCACACACGCGACTGCGTGTAAAATCGCGGTATCACACACGACACGAAAGAAACAATCGAAGCTAAGAACTAGCGACTGTGTTCAGCGTGCTCTGTGAGCGCTTCCAACGGTTACTGCTTTCCGTTGCTCTTTTTCCGCGCACGAATGAGACTTGCGCGCGCTCTATAGCGCCGCACGGAAACAGATGCGTGCGCCTTGGGGAACTCAAAGTCCCCACAACTTTGATGGGACCAGTCTCATCGTATCTGGGACAGACTGTGTATGTCATTGGGTCTTAAATATAAAACCTGACTATGAATATCGATCTTAGTCCATATGTCGTTTGAAATGAATGGTATGTGTATGCAAATCAATAAAATATATATAACAATTGGTAGATCATGTTAGCTTACAAGCTGCAAAGAAATATCACTCGTTAACAGATGACATTAACACACGTTGACAGCAGATTTTATCGGAAATCAATTTCCTCCAGTTGGACTGTGTGTGTGATGATTGCTATTGGTGTGACGGATACAAATCTCATGTAGAATGAGATTTTGCACGAGATAATGCTCTTGATATTAAGCGTTAAACATTAAATATTTAAAGATATGAAGATTTTGCAAACATTTTATTTGATACTTTTCTTAGCTTATAGGTGTGAAATATGCACATGAAATTTATGACCTTTTTTTAATCATTTTTGGAATTGTGAATTATGTGTGTTTATTCTTAAAGATTCAATTAATTCATATTGCATTTACATCTGAGAGTGCAATCTATCAATATAATATTTAATATAATGTGTATAAAATGATGAAAGAATATATGAGTGAAAAATAATAAAATCTACTAGTTCCTAAGCATTAGCAGTCAATATTATTAGTCAAAATATGCTAATGATTGAAATAGCATGATATAACTTCACAGAAAGGTTTTAATATAATTTAGTAAAAGCTAAAATAAAATAATTACTGGCAGGCTGTAACATAAAATATAGGAATGAATTATAGAATTATATATTCTTTCTGATAATCTGATGATCCCTCTTTCTCTTTGTCCCTTCTCTCTCTCCTTCCCTCTTGATAAATCATAAATAATTCTTTAACAGAAGTAACTTCATTTTTCTTTTGTATAGTTGAATATATTTCCTATTTTTCCATATTCTTACATTTCACGATATAAAGTCCATTCCACTCTATAAGTGGATTTTTACAAGATAAAATTAATAAAATCTGTGAATGACAAAACAAATTTGAATATTAAGGAGTAAATTCATAGGTATAAGAGAAAAAAAAGCACATTTTCTCAATAAATTCAAGGAACTGCAATGCAAAATATATTTTGTATGTGTAAAGAAAAGTTATAATTAGTATACTTATTCAACAATGAGATTGAAGGATTATTTACCTAATGCATAAAAATAAAAATAGATAATATATTTAGTGATATCAAAATCACATCATGAACAAACAATAATGCAACATAATATATTGAAGCACAGTGCTTTTGCTCAAATTATACCACAGAGCTGTTAATATAAATATAAGTATTATATTTCACATACATTGTCTCAAATAAATTGTTTGACAAGTTTGACAAAATGTTTTATGTATATAATTTTTTCATGTTATATAATAATTCTTGACCAAGTAATATATGTTATTAGAAATTATTTGTTATAACATTATGATTTTTCTTCTCTGATCATATGAATGAAAAAGATGATCTTTGTAGAGAGCTACAATTTTAAAACAGGTAAATAAATTACTTTTTGTAAGTAGTTAGATAATACTCTATTTTCTTTTATATTTTTGATCTTGCACAGCAGCGTTCTATTTTACTTATATTTTTATCAAATAGGAGAAATCTTTTAGTCCGTTGCTTCACCTTCATCATTAAAAAAGATAATAGATTGAAAACAATCACTGGGTCTTTCTCCAAAATGTAAATAACGCTTGTGCTAAGATAATTTGTTAATAAAAAATATAATTTGTAAATAAAAAGATCTTTGTACAATATAAAATCAATAAAATCAGTATAATACAATATTATTGTTTTCAACAGTCATTATATATGAAATATCCTCGGTGATAGAGAAAATCTTTATATCTTTCTATTTTTAGACATTATAATATAGCTTTACAATAGCTATATAATAGCTCAAATGACTATAAAAATATACTAATAAAAGCAATATCTTTTTCCAGATCATAAGATTAATCGATTACGAAGAATATTCACCACTGTTGCGTCTACTAATAAAAATATTTCACGAAAAGTCCTCGATACTTTTCGGCGAAATATCATTGTTCGCGTGTATTTTCAAACCGTATTGCTTGATATTCCGCGTTACTAAAATCATATTTAATATCCATTCTAATCGAATTATCGGAGATTCATTTGGTAGTTTATCGAATCTGCGGAATGTTATTTGTTACATATAAACTTCCGGACTCGGTGAACTTTTTGGACAGATTTCACTGTTTTTAATCCGTTTGAACTAAAATGGTATAAAAAAGAAGAGTAGACTACAGTTCTTCGCTCATTAATCTTCTATAATCTTGTTGATCCTGAACCATTTTCTTGAACACATGATATTTTCGGAAATGATACCTAAAAAAATCACAGATAAATGTGTAATAAAAGTAGCATACAGAAATGATGTGATTCCTAAGCTTTTTTTAACAATTATGCAATTGACTTTTCGTCAACTTTTAGTAAATATTTAAACATGCGATTAATATATTGAGCAAAAAAGAAGATATACATATTACTAAACAAAAAAGAAAGCAAGAAGCTACACACACATGATTTTTCTATATCAGTTCTTCTTTAGGATTTTATACATTTTTAATTTATTGATCGTATACTCACTTGTAACATTCGTTCGTCGGTTTCACTGTACTTGCCAATCCAGCCATTCTTTTGATAGTCTCATGCATAGAACATTGTTTCGTGGCACACGCTCCAAGAATCGCGGAGCCAATTAAAACAGATTCCCGTTCCAAGGGACAAAGTACAGGTAATGCTAATACATCAGCTTGTATTTGGATGAATAGTTGATTCTGACTAAGCCCACCGCAAACCAATATAGTCTCGATATTATGTCCAGCAGACATCATAGTTTCTATTATATGCTTTGTACCATACTATAATAAAAATTTATCTTTTAATACAGAGTGTTTCAGTGATCAAGAAATAAATGTATTATTTGTCTTATCTATCAAGAGATTGAGATTTTTTTATGCATATCAATACTGACATCTTTTCTAATGATAGTAAAGCAATAATATGTTGCTTTCAATAATAAATTCTAGTCATAAATAATCATACAAAAACACGTAACAGGTATCTACGTAATTCCTTTGCGATCAAGTATTTAAAGAACTTTAATATCGATCTTAATTTTATCCTCGCGAAATAAACAAAAAATTGCATCACTCAATTAATTTATCGACGTTCGATAAATCGACCGTTAATATTCTATTTAACTTACGACATACCGTTAATGCTTGCACCGTCGCTAAGTATAGCAATGCCAAGTTCTCTTGATCCACTGATAAAGATAATCCGGATATCTGAAATGCAGAGTGTAAAAACTATATCTGTTTCACAATGCACGGCGTCATATTTAAGGAAGAATCCAATGTATGTATCGATACCATTCCTTTCAGTGTTGGATCAGCAAGGGGCGAGCGATTACCGTGGAAATCCGGCCACACATGTATATCCTTCGTCAGGTACGATACGTTCTGCAAATTTCTCTGCTCAGCCATCACGTGCAACAGCTCGGACAAGTGTTGTTGGATGTGTCTGAAATAAAACACAATGTCGAAATTGTCGTTGTCCCATCAACACGTCAACCTGGTCACACTATGCTCACTTATTGCCAGCCAAACTTTTCAAGATTCCCGGCGTCGCCGGGTGAGTATCGATGATGTGATCTAGCAGCTTCCCGGTGGCACTCTGACCACCCTCGTTGAGCCACAAACCGGGCACCATCGCGCTGTAGTACGGCCCCCAGACGCCGCTCACATATATCTTGTTCTCGTTTACTATCATATGACACGTCGAAGTACCGCAGATCAAAGCTGCAAATTGAGGACAATACGATAATATGCTAAATTTTCTTCTCCACAAGGCAATGTTCATCATATTTAACGTTATGTATCATAATATCTATATATCTATATTTATATATCTATGTAATATCAGGTAACATCGCGATATATAATATCATTAACGGTACTTCGCCGTACCTAGTCGATTGGAGAAATTTGGAGATACATCCGGTGCATAACATCCGATCATGCCAAGGCCGCCGGCGTGTGCATCGATCAGCGACGTCCCGACTGGAGTATCTTTCAATAATCCCAATTCATCAGCAGCTTTCGCCGATAAACCAGACTCCATTGCGTCGCCCGGCATCCTCACGTCGCTACCTACATATAAAAAATATACTGAGATGAATATCATTTGATATTCGCGATCTCGCGTAACTTTCTTGCGCACAATTCGTATTCGTATTATCTGCTTTTACCTATTTTTCTCCAATTGTCCTTTTTAAGGTCACGCAAATTAAGTTGTTCGAAGAAATCTTCGTCCCAGCCGTGTTTACCGTTGGGATTAGCGCTGTAATTCCACTTACATACTAAAGAACACAAAGATCTAGAATAAAAGATAAGGAATAAGAGATCCCGATTGCTCTTCGTATCAAAAAGTCTGCATTGATAACGTACCGTGACTCGGATCCAGTGGCTTTCCACGTTAAAAAATCCGGTAGGTCAAACAACAGTGCCGCCGAATTCCAAGAAGCGGGTAAATTTTTCTTAAGCCACAGCATCTTCGGTGTTTGCATCTCGAGAGAAACTTTGCCGCCTACGTATTGTAGTATATCGTGACCTATAGCATTGATAAATTCAGCTTCCTCGTGTGCTCTATGATCCATCCACAATATGACATTCGATTTCTCTTGACCTGAACAATCAGTATATTCATTTACATGTCACAGATATGAGATTGAAGCGGAAAATATTCATCAGTCTCTTGGTTTTACCTGTAAGACTCACTGTCACGGATGAACCAGTTTTATCTATAGCTACCAGTGAACAGGTGGCATCAAAACCAATTCCTTTAACATTTTCTGCAGAAATATCAGCGACTACAGACTGCAAGTAAAAGTATAGATAAAGTGAAAAATCTAACTTAGCCTCTGTTTTCTCTAATTATCTCGATAAATATTCTACCTTGACGACGTGGCATACTGCACTCCAAATGTTATCAGAAGATTGCTCGTAGAAGTTTGGAGCAGGATTGAATACTTCAAGGGGACATGTAGCTATTTTCTTTATTTTTCCATTTGAGCTGACTAATGCTGCTCGAACACTACCTGTTCCTACATCCACACCCACAAAATAATCCATGATTGTCACAGTTGTATTAAAACTGACATCTGTTACTTTCCGCCAAATAGAACCAACTGAGCCTGCCACATAGAACTTAGACACGAGCTGTAAGTGAGGAATGAATCATGATTATCAGCCGACCATAGTGCATGTTGATCATTGACTTTATATTCCAAGATGACATGACCCTGAGATAACACTAATTACAAAGGAGATATGGTGTGAATAAAGACTCTAAACAGTGTAGCACATTATCTGTTAAAGCTCATTTAATCCAGTAGTACATGTATAGATCTCAGGTTGGTGAACATAAAAAAATATAATTCACTTCCCACAAATTATTAACAGCTACAATCAAGAATCAAAAGTGAAACATTAAACATTTATGCAACATATGGTGCAAGCCAGAATTTTATTATGTCAAATCATAAAATTTACTTGAAATATATGAGTTTAAGTGACAAAATTGTTGTCTTATTTATAACATTTGTCTTATTTATAACATTTCATATAATATAAAGATATAACATATAGAGATAAACATTTGTATAAATTACCTTAAATTTTAGATTCTATCTTGGAATTCCATTATATACTTGTTTGATACAAAGTCACTGTACATTTTTATTATAACATTATCTAGAACAATGTCGTCACATATTCACCCTGTAACATCTAAAAATTTAAATAGGATAGCGTTTACTCATTCGTCTAAAATCATTTTAATTATGACAACGTTTCTATATATGAGATACATACGGTGTAAATCTCAAAAAATATATACATCGGTCGCACAATAGGCATAAAAAGTACGCCACGTGGTCATAACACAAAACCTGTTTCATCATCATTGCTTATACACGTGCACCGTACCAAGCTGTACGCTTGATACTGCTTGACACTGACGCTATCCAACCTCACCTGATCGATCTGACACATGTAATTAATATAAGTTAAAAATAGACAATAAAGAAGATTGATGTTTAAGAAATCAGTTCTCGAAATCAGTATCTCGAAAATATTGAAAATAATCAATAAATTTTTATAATTTTGTCATAACTATTTAACATCTGGTTGTTAGTAATAATATTTAAAGGTGTTTACAATCAAGAGAAAGAAATATATAATGTTCATATATATGATAAGAAACGAAGTAATATTTTTATTCTATATTTATTATTTTTAGAAAAATAGATAGTTCGATTTTTGCATTACTTTCTCTCAAATAATACATGTTGCATTTAATTTGTACATAATGAAAATAAAAATCTATTCTATATATGTATATCAGCTATTTCATTATATTCATAAAAAATAAAAAATTTGTTTTCGTCATTAAATCGTTACAAAAAAAAAATCCGTCATTAAGTCATATAATTAGAAAATAATAATCTTTCTTATCTAAATATTATTCGTGGCATCTCATTTAAAAGTAAAAAATTATCTCGAACTATCGTTGAGCCGTATTATTTAAAAAAACACCATTATAGTTTGTCTGATTGATTGTTGAGTTCACGATCTTGATTATAACAGTCGGTATTATCGCTCTTCAATTATCTTCGAACCTTTCGGGATTTAGTAATACGAAAATTTACCCAGAGCTGACAATCTTTAGTATTACTTCGTCGATGCTACTGTAACCTTTTAGGCCCAGTTCCCCAACTTGCTTTAAACGGAGTTTAAACTCCGTTTATACAATATACAAATATACATAGTATTATTATATACATAAAGTAATCATTTTTATTTTTACAAATTGTTTTTATATTTAATTATGTACATATTAAGACCAAGATTTGAGTCCTATTTTTTATGTAAATGTTATCTTTTTTATATTATATATAAAATAAAATATTAAGTTGCTATAAAGACATATTACTTTAAAAAAATTAAAACTAATGTTATTTGAGACATCAATTTTTATATAAATAGTTTAATCAAAATAGAAAACTCAAATATTTCTGCAAAAGCTCTAAAACTACATACAATAATTCTTTATTAGACATGATCTAGCATCAGATAATTAAAACTAGAGTTGTAATATGTAAAATATAAAATAGAATTGTAATATGTATACAGAAAAGATCTTTTAATTCAAAATGAAAGTTTAAAGTAATGTTATATTCATTGTTTGGTTAAAGAATGAAAAGGAAGTTCATTCAAGTCTTCACTGATTGTATTATTTAAAAGTAAATAAATACATGACTTTTTTGTATTGTTACACCATTTTTGTATTAATTATTACACTATTACTTTAACAATGGTTATACAAATGTATTTTTAATTCCAATCATCGCTATTTATATCTTGAACGATGTCGGTGTCTTCTTTTGGCAAATCTTCATTTTCGATATTCTTTTCGAATCTTTTCATTTTCTTTTTCTTTGGTTTATTCAGCTTACTTATCACTGGCTTTTGTTGAACATCATTATTTGTTTCTTTTACCTGAAATTCAAATTCACTCTCTTCTTCACTCTGTTCTTTAATCTGTTCAAGTTCTCGTTTTTTCGATTTTTTTACAACGGGCAGTTTATATTCTGACACTTCCTCAGTTTTCGTAAGTAATTTAAGTTTTTGCGATTCGTGAATTTTAATCCATGAAGCGTAAAACTTGGCTATTGCAGTGCCGCCCGTCTTTATCCTATTTTCCCAATTTGTAATCTCCTCCATGTTCTTCAAAGCAATAGGTTCTTTGATACGCTCAGTTTCAATGTATTTTCTATTCTCTTCGATCTTGTCTAAGAGTTGTTTGATCTTTCGGCAATAATTCGATACGTGACATTTCTTTAGAAACGCTTTTAACTAAAAATGTGATTTAATTTAATATTTGACATTTATAAAAATAGATTACTATAAAATATATGATGCTATTTTTCACATACCTGTATTAGACAAGGAATGTATACATCTGGAAAATATATCATGTGACTTTCATTTGCTGCATTTTCTAATATAAGTTGATAAATGGTTTCAATGACACTATCCTTAAAGCCATTTTCCACGAGTTGAGATTTTGACATTCTCAATATACATGTAAGAGGTACAGGTTTCATTGATACAGTCTTGTGTTTTTTGTTGAAATCATAGGAATCCAGTACCTAAAGGGAGAAAAAAATGAATATATGAAATTCTCATCAAATAAGTCTACATTAAGAGATACTTTAGAACAATTTATACCTCAAGAAGAAACGGTAAAACTGGTATAAACATTCCAGTCTGCTTAGAAATAATAATTAACATTTGCACGCAGTGGAATCGCAATGGATAATATTGTGCAGTTGGGATGACTTTTATTGTCCCTGTAATTATCTAGAAACCAATTCAAATAACAAACAATTCAACACAGTTACGCACAACCGTTATATAATTTCTTTTTTATACTTTCTTATAAAAAACAAATAATACCTGCACTAAAGGATATAATAAAGAACGCAGCATCGATTGTTTTTTTGTCTTGGTTATCAACTCTGTCCAGAAACGTAGAGAATTTATATATTGCCAATTATATACAGCTTGGAAATTTTCCTGAAAAAAAAAGATAAGATATTGTAAACATTAAAAATAAGTTTCATAATTTTTCGAAATACCCATAATTGATTACCTTCTTCTTTAATGTTGTAGCATTTCTTAAATGAATGGCTAATTGCCTGATATAAAGAAAAGCATGATTATAGGAAAGGTTATGATCAAGTAGATAAATCTCAGCCAAAGAGAGTCTCATGAAATTGATCTCTGGTAGCGTGTTGGGTGAAACAAATTTGGCATTCTCTACATATTTTACAAACATGTTCTATAAACAAAGAACTCCAATTTAATACGACTGCTGAAAAATATTTTCGCACTAATTTCCAACTTTTTTACAGTACTGTGGACTTTACCTTTAATAGCATCTCCAGCACAGATCTTGTAGGATTTGTTGCAATACGAAATATATTTATAAAGGCTACAACGCGAACATTTTCTTCTCCAGTTGACCATAGTTTCAATAAGATCCTTAGCAATGGTTTTGTTAAAGATGAAAATAATTGAGTATAAGGCAACATTTGATAAAGATGCTTTAGAAATACCATGATAATATTGGCTGATGCTACACTTTGTAATATCTACGAATAAAATACATTTGTTACAATGCAATATTCAATATATTTAAGTTATAAGAATAGAAAATATAAGTAAAAATTTACATACCTTAATTAAATCTGCTAAGTAGGTTTTTAAAATACCTTGTACTTTTGGAAATTTTTTACATTTATGAACTTCCTTAATAGATGTTGAGTCAAGCTTTAAAAAACATTTAAACGCTTCAGGTAATTGCATTATGCACAACTGAACTACACCATTAAATACTGAAAATATAAATTAATCATATTAAAATATAATTATCTAAGAACTAATCAGTTATTAGATAAAAGTTAAATCTGACCTGCACTTCCTTCTACTTTATATCGTAATGTGCTTGGGTCAGCTGATTCAGCAACAGTTTCCACAGCTGCATGAAAGGCATCCACAGCACATTTAATCATATTTAATGATCTACAAATTGACATTATATATTTAATATATTGTTAGATATTTCATGAAAAATAAATGTAACAATGTGCCAACTAAGGAAAAATTTTACTTGTCTGTTTGTATTTTCTCCTGCCAAATTTTCAGCAACTGCAGTGTAATTTTGTTTTTAGAATCATCCTCATTGATATTTGTATCCTCTAACTCAAAATCACTGTCATCACTAGCAATCTATTAATATTAATATATTAATTTATCATTTATATTCTATTAATATGTCTATTATGTTCTATTAACATGTCAAGATATATTTAAGAAATATTTTAAATTTATAAAAGAACATATATATTATATACCTCTAGGTTTTCGTTAGGGACATGTTTATTGTCAGAGGCATTTGAATCATCATCTTCATCATCTGATACATTGAATTCTAAAAGATTTTTGTCATTTTCTTGTAAATATTTATAAAATTCCGGATCTATCTCTTTTAATTTCATTAATGACATTTTATGTTCAGCTGTATTTGAACACGCACAAGCAGCAAAATTCCGTCACCATCAACGTGAGTGCAACGTTGCGTAGTATTATAATCATCGAGTCTGTGCTACGTAGTAGAGAGTGCACGATCCCGATACCGACTCTATCTGTAATTGGGTGCATTCAGTACTACAACCGCTCACTGAGCGCTAAGTGAGCTCTTACATCTGATTGGTATATATTTTTAAATCTGAAGGAATATACCAATCAAATGTAAAAGTTCACTGAGCGCTAAGTGAGCTCTTGCATCTGATTGGTGTATATTTTTAAATCTAGAGGAATATACCAATCAAATGTAAAAGCTCATTGAGCGCTCAGCGAGCGGTTGTAGTACTGAATGCATCATTGGCTGAATTCAGCAGACTCAACAGTTGGACAACATTACTAGATTTACCACTGAATCTCGTTCCTGATTGGTAAATATTTCTGGGTCTATGAAGAATCTAAAAGAATGCTCCAATCACAGACAATAATCACTAAGCGCTCTCTGATCACTTTGTTCTACTGAACGCGGCCAATGTTTGTGACCCTTATGACTGGCCGAAGGAGTTAACTCTCCAGGTCATAATTTAGAAGATGTCTATATTCACTATATTCTCACTGATAATAGCCTTTGACAGAGTCGTTTTAATTTCACTTATATGTATAAATGTGACAATTCGTGGCAATTTTTAGTCGCTGTTTAGCGACTAAAACGATATTTACGTGTTGTTTATACATACGCTTTTGCTAAGCATTCCTGAACGAAGATAATAAATACATCCGCACATCTGTCATTTCATTGAGAGCTGCCGCTTGTGATTGCTCAACAATTGCAAAATGGGATCGTTGACAAGTAGGCAAAATGCTGGCGTCGAAGAAGTTGATATTATCTCCAACCATGCATATAAATATCCTCCGCGATCTGGTATTCGATTTATTTTAACTACTATAAAGTCATTATTTTGTATGTGTAATTTTACTCTCTATATATATGATGAGATATGAAAAAGTTTTTAGTCTATGACATCTCATAGCATTTCCAAATTTTTAATTTATAAAATTATCCTCGACAGGTTCTTATTTTGGCAGCCATTTTATAATGGGTGGTGAACGATTTGACACACCTCAGCCTGAAGCCTATCTCTTTGGAGAAAATGCAGACTTGAATTTCTTAGGCAGTCGACCAACACCTGTATGTAGGATATAAGATTATGCTTTATGTTGAACAAAATTTTCACAAAGACAAAAGTATATATTTTAATGATTATGTTTTTGTCGTTATAGTTTCCATATCCTCCACCACAACCCAATGATCCTACAAAAACATTAAAGAGTTTAGTAAATATACGAAAGGAATCTTTAAGGTTGGTTCGTAATATGGATCACATGTCAACTTCTTCACAATATCATAATGGCAAACATTACGAGGACATTGATATTGACAAGAAACCTAATCGTTTTAATATTGAGTTTGTGTTTGATTGCGATGTAAGATGCGCAATAACAATATATTACTTTTGTACAGAGGAGATTTCTACAAAAGGAGTCGCGTATGTAAATTAGAAGAAATTAAAACTTAACTTTACATAATTATATAGGAAATCTTAATGATAAACCAAATATTTTATTATATCCAGCTATATACCACGAGATCCATCTATGAACTCTGAAACATATTATTATAAGAAAGGAGCAAATCAATTATTCTCACAATCAACGCATATATTTGATCCAACATTGTATACTGAAGAGGATTTGATGTATAATGCGGACAGAGAAGTATTTACAACACATGTATTGTTTATAATAAGGTGGATACTTTCTGATTAATTAAATATTTCTTGTATATCCCCTAATCTTTAGATCATCCCAATAGCTATACATTGTGTAGCAGAGGAAGGATCGGATGATCCCAAGCAATCTCACACGACTATAGCTGTGGTTGAGAAACATTCTGATGGAACATATGTGTTGAAAGCCCTTAAACAGAAACTCTACGTCGATGGCCTCTGTTATTTGTTACAAGAGATATATGGGATCGAAAATAAGAATACCGAGAACGCAAAGGTACAGGAGTACCTTGCATTGGTACTCTCTTAGCGTTCTCTTTTCATCATATTTATATTTCACTTTCCTCTTGAGCAGCAACAAGGTAGCGACGAAGATACTGAAGACAACGGTTCCGAGTGCGTCATTTGTATGTGCGACGTACGCGATACGTTAATCTTGCCATGCAGACACTTGTGTTTGTGCAACGGATGCGCCGATTCCTTAAGATATCAAGCGAACAACTGTCCGATATGTCGTGCGCCGTTCCGCGCGCTTCTGCAGATTAAAGCTCTGCAAAAGGCGACGGGTACTATTATATCCAATCCACCATTACCAGAGGTAATTGTACAGATAATTAAGAATAAGTTACAGCATTCTTTTTTTCTTTATAATCGTCACTATACGTATTTTACAATAATATACAATTAACACTAGAATTACGAAAGTGATCAAAAGTGTAATTTCACTTTGTAATTCTTTCCATAAATTATAAAAATTTATAACGATGCGGTTTACACTTTTAATTAGCATTGAATGAATGAATGAAAAATGAATAATTTTTTCTTTATGTTCTTCGAAAACCTGTTTTTCAAACCATCATTTGATTGGAAAAAATATAGACAAAATAAAATAGGCTATTGATCGTCGGTAATTTTAGTGTTAGCTGGTATCTCAACATACACCTCGTCTTTCTTATTATTATCAGTGTTCAGTTGCTGTAAATTTCACAATTGTATGTAGGGAGGCTGCGAAAATATCCCATCAGGTTACGAAGCGGTGTCTCTGATAGAGGCTTTAAATGGACCCTATACTCCACGAACCGCCATTATCGCGCCGGAATCCCCGGACACACCTGATACAGATACAGCGAGTGCCATTCAAGCCGCTGAAACCTTAAATCGGTACGTACGATCGGTCGACGTGTGGTAGCTTTATGGTTTTTGGTATATCTATGAATGCAATGCATGTAGAAGAATGTGTATTTTGCAGCTCGGCTGAACGTACACCAGTTTCAAAACATATATCCGCCAAAGAAGTCGATATGTCAGCTAGATCCAGCGGCACCGCTTGTCCGACTCCTGAATTCCAAATGTCTGTGTTATTGGCGAGAGATGAGCATTCGGGATCGCAAAAGGAACTACATAACAGGTCACCGGCGGTGCGAGCTAAATCAATGCATTCACGCGACAAATCTAGTTTAAGAACATGCGACACGCTAAGATTGGTCAACGAAGAAAAACCTGCTTCTTCATACGAAGTACGTCTTAATTTCATAGGAAAAAATTCGAGCGATTTTCAGCATGTATATTCAGCAAGGCTCTAGTTGCACAGTTTTCGATTTACTGAAATTGATTCAATGATTCTATTGTAATAATAATAATATGATTTCATAGATAGAAGAAAATTTCATTGATTGAAATTAACTCTAAGTGACGTAGCCTGCAATTGATCCTAATTTGCGCGTAGCACCAGATTTATATTTGTTATATTTGTATCCTTGTATATTTATCATGTGTATTTACATTAAAGAGCCAAGGGCAGGATGAAGATAGCGAAGCGGAGAGATTGTCACCGTTGTTGGACGCAACCACGAGTACCGAGGCATCAGACATACATTCCCATAGAATTCGCGACATCGACATGGACGACGAGATTCAGAACACGGAGAACCTAAACGATGCGGAGATTGATGTGTGTCAATCGCACTAAAGGGATAGTCGAGGACATATTTTTACATATAGTATATATATCATTGTTAAGTTTCGTATCGTTTAAATGATCTTTTATCTTTCGTGTAAATCGAATAAGTGATAATCGTGTTATTTATTGAAAGGCTCCGAGCTATTTGCTGCATCTGTAATGGATCGTGAAATCTTAAATGATCTCTCAGTGAAACATGACATATAAAGCTAACTTCTAACACTGTGAAATATTACGCGCGATTTTCCTTCTTATTCTCTTTTTCTCTCTTCTCCCCCCCCCTTTTTTTTTAAGATAATTTATTACGGTTGCAGCAATTAGTCCAGAATCTCAATACAGATATTTTCTATTCTGTACATTTACTATTGTAAAAAAGTAGAAATTACGAAGAAATTATATTTGTTACAATTTTTTATCCTTTTAATTAACCGTTAGAATTGAGAGCAATATGTGTTTGTGTACTTGTCAAATTATAAAGACTGGGACAGTACTTGTAAAGGATGTTATGGTGTAGTATTTTTTAGATGGTAAATTGTAAAGTTATGTATGAAATTCCCGTGAAAATTAACATTAGATAATAAAAGTGCTTCCATTTTATTTTATGTCTACTGTTTTTCTCATGAAAGATGTTCAATTACTATTTAAAGTAGAATGCGATAAAATTTAATAAGATGTCTAGCAAGTCTTCAACATGCAAAAAATTCTAGATTCTAATTAGCAGCAATAATAGCAAAAAATGGACTTAAACGCGTGTTTTGATTGTTCTAAGTTTCTCAAGAAATAAAAGCGATTCCACTTTTTTTATTACAATTATTTTATTCAACCCCATGTTCACAAAATGTTCGGTACTTATTTAGGCTACAGCAAGTGCCTTCCTGAATTTTTTCCATTCTTCAAGTGGTCCATGCTCGGGCAAATATTTGACATTGCAGCCATCTGGAGCAAGACGACCCGCGACTTTCAACTCTTCGTATTCGGCACGATCATACTTCGTGAAACCCCATTTCTTCGAGACATAGATCTTCTGACGGCCAGGGAACTTGAACTTGGCACGTCGTAGAGCTTCGATAACAGCCGCCTTATGACGATCAGAAGAACGAACGCTCATAATGGGCTGACCAATGTGTACTCTAGCTACAGTACCCTGCGGTTTGCCGAAAGCACCTCTCATTCCAGTTTGGAGCCTGTAAAAAATTATTTAAAGCTCCAAAAGTTTTTTCAAAGATAATATATATCCAACTATAAAGCAAATCAAAGATACAATCTGCTAAATGTTATATACATTTCAAATTATCTAAAATATAGTTTACTTGTATTTTGCAGTTTGTATAATCATGTTATATATACTGCAGTGTTTTAAAGCATCAAGCAAACCATATTTTAGATTCATGAGCTTGTGTTTTATCAGATTCATACCTATCAGCTCCAGCACATGATAACATTTTGTTGATACGAATTACATGGAAAGGATGCAGTCTCATACGAATGTGGAACTGGTCCTTGCCAGCATTCTTTACCATGTATTTGTTGGCACAAATACGTCCAGCTTCCAGAGCTTCAGAACTAAGCTGTTCATATTCATCTGACACTAAGTGAACGCATAGTGGAAAATCTTCTACAGATGCTTTCTTTTTGCCAAGATCAAAAATGCGGATTTTCGGGTCAGGAACACCACGACAGAATCTGGATTTTGGATATGGTTTGTTCTTGCAGTACCGATAACTATAACGAGATATGATATTAAAATATATAATCTATTCGTATAAGTTTCTATATTCGATTTCTAGCAGATTATATTTTATATAGAGTTATGAAGCTATGGTATATTATATATTACACAATATAAGGCAATAGTGTTCTAACATGTACATAGCAATGTACAGTTTACATGCTATTTCAGTATGTCAGCTAAAAGATAACTTCATATGGTTATTTTGTATAAAATAAATTTCATATAATTTCACTTAAAACTAACAAAATATATTATGGAATTTGTTGAATTTGTGACCTCTAAATTGTTAAAAACATTAAAGTTTATTATTTATTACGTACCATCTCGCTGGTCGACGACCCATTTTAACCTATGAACCTTTAGAACCTATGAATTAAAATTTGTATAAATATAAGTTCATATCAAATACTAGAATTATGTTAACGTGAATGAAAACAGAGCGAACTTAGCGAATATAATATGTAAATAAATATTTAATATATATTGTGATGTTAATGTATTAAACGGATGACAAAAAGCACAACATACCAATGTCACACCAAGCTAAGCTTGAAAAGATAGTTTCAGCGGAGCGGAATGTTAAAACGGAAAAAGTTGCGCATGCGTGATGAAATAGAGAATACAGTAACATAAGATTGTGGTTGCACCTTTAGGTCTGTTCCAAAATAAATTTCGGAAACTTTGGTTTTAGTTATAAGATTGGTTAGCTTTAAATTAACTTAGATACGTTCCATAATTGATCTGCTGATTACGCTTGAACGTTAAGGTCATTCTACAATACGTGTCATAAGTTGTAAACCGTAAGAACTAACCAATTATAGCCGATTATTTTTGTAATAATCGACTATGATTCGCCAATTTTTACAACTTACAACTTACAACACGTATTGTAGAATGACCTTTAAAGCGTCGTCTACAATGGCAGTAAACAGTAAAAAGTAAGCATAAACGGTAAGAAATAAACCAATCACAGTCGATTATGACAAAAATAATAAACTGTGGTTGGTCCATTTCTTACTGTTCACGCTTTCTTCTTACTGCTTACGGCCATTGTAGACCACGCTTAAGCATCGTGACCAACCACAGTTGATTATTTTTGTCATAATCGACTGTGATTGGTTTATTTCTTACCGCTTACTTCTTACTACTTACTGCCATTGTAGACCACGAGTGCGTTCCGTTTCACGTATAGCGCGCATTTTTTATAGTATACGTGACATAAACTATAGATAAATGCGCGCATATGCGTGAAACGGAATGCACCATACGCTTCACAGTTATACATTGTTTCAGTTTACAAATTTGACTTTATTTATTAATTTTACAATATTTTACAATATTAAAGAAATGAATAGATTTTTTATTACTTACTATGTTAATAGCTGATCAGCTGATTCAGTATTTCTTATTCTTCTTATTCAAGAAAATTCATTTAATATGATTCGAGTCCCCATTGAATGTGGATTAAATCTCGACTGAAATTTATACAGGCCGATAATTCATCAAATTATGTAATATGATTCTCGAATCGTTCTTTTTACCGAAAGTGTTCGAGGATATAGATATTGCTGTAAAACTAAATAGAAATTATTTTCGAACAGATATCCATTTATAAAATATATTTTTTTAATAAACCTACAGTACGCAAAATAATAAATGCATACATCTGAATATGCAATGTTAATTAGATTAAATTGTTAAGTCTATATATTAACAATATGCATCTACATGATTGTTGTATACACATTTGATGCATTATTAAATTATAATATATTCCTTCCGAAATATATTTACAAAATGTTCTAATGTGGTATCATATTTACAAATTCAAGCTTCTTCGCTTTATAAAGGATAATTCATTGATTTCGTATTCATATATATATATATATATATATATATATATGTATATAGAATTACAGAGAGCTATCTAAAAAGAACTTTTTTAATTGTAAAGTTTAATATGTTATATGGAAAGACAGTATACTACACAATTGCCATTGCACATTCATTAGAAGTGCTCACTAAATATAATTCTGATTTAATTATTTACTTAATTAGAGAATCCGACATTGTGATATATACACAGGGTTCTTTTTTCGCTTTACTCTATAATTTACGCTTATCAACTTCATGTTGTTTATATGAAACTCGATTTACACAATCTTATGTCACGAGGTATACTGTACAAAAAATACAAGAGCTTATTTATCTAAAGACCTACCTCTCTCTCTCTCTCTCTCTCTCTCTCTCTCTCTCTCTCTCTCTCTCTCTCTCTCTCTCTCTCTCTCTCTCTCTCTCTCTCTCTCTCCCTCTCTCACAAGTATGCTTATATATATATATTTGTTCTCTCAATTCCCACCGAATCTATCTTTCTGATTTTTGATAATCTTTGCTACTCTATTTTACACGTGTCCATCGCTCATGAAAAGCCATATCTGCAGGAGCCTAATCCTTATAATGCTCTATAAGCTGTTACGTAAACGATTATTCAAGTCAACCGCCAAATATATACATAAATATTGAGTTTACACAGAAAAAGATCAAGCTAACATTTTCTCTCTTTTCAATGTCGAGAATAATTATCCGCCGCGTTTATTTCGCACGTGTCAGAGATTACACGGTGCACGATGTGTAAAAGTTATTTCCTCCAACGAAAATGAGCGCGAGGATGAGAGACAATCAATAATAATGATAATTATGAGAATAATAATATTTCGTGGACGATATGTGCTGATAGAGAAGGTAACATGTATCGATTGTTTGGCAGTTAGAGATATGCAGTTATCTCCCGTAAAATGACGAGCATTGACTGTTAACAATGTAGCGGTAAGGAGTTATTTTAATGCCTGCTAGGATGCTCGATCACTTCGTATATCACTGTGAGGTAGCTCAAGACTAACAGGTTACAAAATGGTTGAGGTAACTACGTCTAGATAAAATCGACAAAATACAGAACTCGATACCGCGACAGAGAACTTCGGTACGTGAGAAACTACACGATTACAGGCAGCACATAGACGTATATGCTATTCCGTATTATGAAATCATCATGTGGGTATGTGTGTGTTTGTATTAAGTATGTAAAAACAATCGACGCTGAGGAAACGTGACGACAGCACACACCGGTAGGTAAAAAACACGTCGAGACGCATTATTAAAATATCTGTTGTAATATAATGTAACAATCTCCAAACGTATGACGGTATGTATGTACACGTACATCGACGAGGAATGCTTCTGAATCACGCTAAAAATAGTACCTCCGTATACAACCGCTAGCGATTTCTAACTTCGACAACGTCACGAAATGTTATCTATGCACTGCCGCTGTTGACTATACATATGCTCTCCATCTTGCCCTTCTGGACGACGTACTCCCTGCTATTTACAACTCTCACGGAAACCTCGATCCGCGCTGCTAAGTCGTACGTTCCCGCAGTCGGCAGCACAGCGTGCAGCTTCACGTTGTTACTCGCGTGCGCTTGAACGGTGGCGTGAATTGACGAGTGGCCTGCGTACCTATAATACGGCGAAGCTTGCGGCGAGTACAGCTGGGACTTAATATTTGGAAGATGAGTTTCGCTGCAACAAGAGTGATGTCACTTAACACAATGGGGTAACATAGGGACAGTTGCATATCTTGGAAGAGACAGATCATTAGAGATCTTCTTTTTGACTTTTGTCATTGAAAACTGAAGAAATGATGCCCCTGCTTCCCCACAAGATATGTAATAAGATCAGATCATAAATTGTGCAATAAATAATTTGGCAAAATTACAACCTATTATGTGCAAATTATACAATAGAATTACAACTACACCGAGTACATCGATTGTCTTACCTGCTAGTACCTATCGTACTTATTTTAACGTCGACTGGCAACTCCGAGTGATTCTGCAAGTACATTGTTACGGAGATAATGCACAGTCGATTCTGTTGGAAATTATGCACGAGCTGCCTCGCGTGGCTCAGAGAGAAAGTGATTAGACTCTTCAAGCATTCCGCTTCCCACGTGGGATCCTTGACGGGAATCGTCACCACATTCGGTACATTTCGTTCCGGTCCAAAGATCTTCAAGCGAGAACCGTACTCACTGCGAGCGATGCGCGGCTCTTTGGGATGTTTGTACGTTTTGTTTACATGTTCCAACTCAAGATGATGCTGTCCGAAGGCCTTTCGAGTGACCACACCACTTTCCGTCACGTTGGCGCACCATCTGACGATCAACGTCGAATTCAACGCCATGGTGTTCGATATCGGGCTGTGTTCAATGTTCTGTTGCGACTGGAATTGCTGCACGTCGCTCGCGCTCTCGTTTACGTCCAACGGTTGAATGTGACGCCTCTGTACAAAATTAATGAACGGGTAATCGTCGATCGATGTCGCATCGCCATCATCGGCGGTCAAAGACACGTCGGAGATGGCCGACTCACTGTCGGTCTTCTTCTTCAGCTTCAGCATCAAGTGAAATACTTCTTGAGGCTGCACTTTTATACTAGACAGTAGAACGGAAGAGCGAAACGCGAACCACGAAGCGCTCTGGAGCGACACTTTGGACAGCATGATCTCGTTTATGGATGGATCGTGCACCTGATTCGTGTTCTTCACCGACATTATCAGATTCAACGTCGGCGAGTCGTCCTTGAACAATCCACTTCTGGAGGCAACCGCGCTGATCTGTATCGAGTCGAGCACCGTCAGCTGCCAGGTGTGCCGACACAAGCGATGCTTCAGCGCAGCCTTCGTCTCGACGCTCTCGTAATAGAAGAGCAGGTCTAATTTGTGAGTGCCCTTCTCGTGAGGTGCCTGCACCCAAAGCGGCATTTCGTGAGTCTTAGCGACATTTAATACGCCGTTCTTGACGACTGGTAATAATATCTTTGTGGCCGATCTGCTGTTCTTCTTTATTGTTGAATCTGCAAGTAAACAGCACATGTGACATTGTGCGCTCAATGAAATATTGAGTAAACAGACAAGTAAAACAACGACGTGCAATATCAAGAAGTATCCTTTCTACGAAAACGAATGACATCAATCCTGAGGATGATCACCTTCGCTTTTATCGACGTCCGCATTTTCCAACGTGAAGAGCTTAGCGTCTGTGCACGCGATATAAATGTTCGTCAGTGGCGCGTTACCTATGTTCCTTAACGTCACTTTCACCTTCTGTATTTCACCGCACAGCATCTCCGGCGACAACTTCGTGAAGAGTATCTGCGGGCGCAAATATCCACGCGTGTGAAATTGTCCTGCGAGACGGAGACAAGCGGAAACGCGTACTTTAGTTTCACGAGAGGATATATGTACCTGCATGAATGGTGCCTTCTCGATTACGTTCATCTCCAGCCGGTAGTCCTTGCCATACATATTCGTGCCGGGCTTCTCCTTGACATTCTTCAATTTCGCCGGCGTGATCTCGAACAGTCTCTTACCGGCGATGGTGATGGCCGAATTTGCGACCGGCGGGTCATTCGTCGCTTGTATCGGATTGGACAATTTGTAACTCAACCCTAAAACCTTCAGCTCTCCCACTCGTCTGGGCGTGAGAGACAGCACGATGTTCTGCCTGCACGTAGGTTGCAAGAGAATCGCGTCGATGACGTCCGCGTCGACCGGGTTGTCGTTCATCGTCGCCTCATTCGTCACGAAATCGTGGTCGTCGCGAGCGAACGACCATAGCAACGTCACGTCCGACAACGGCAGTGGCACATGTAGCGGATTATGCAGCTCGATGGAGTAATGCACCGGCTCGCCCAGAACCGCATTCGGTTTCACGCTGTTGTTGCTCGTTCTGGAGTACAGGGCGACCGTCGGCTTAAATATCATCGGCGGCGAGCCCTGCGCTTCGGTAATCAGCAGCTCTTCCATCTTCGCCCACTTTGCGTCATCCGTCTCCTCGACGCTGAACGTAACATGGCTCGCTGGAATATTGCTTTTGGTTTGTTCGCCCAACGGGCCGTACAGCACTTTAATATTGTCGCTATCTAACAATGGTAGAGGTAAAATAGGAAGTCCTTTGCAAGGCATGCCGTTCTCCTGCAACAGTAACTGCAAAACCACCGTGTACAGTTGACAGTTTGAACACTAATCCGTCGTGACCGCGCACAAAGCACATACTCGACGACCTTGGTCTTGTGGTCACACCGTGTGTGTCACACTTACGTTGTGAGTATGCAAAAACTCGCGTAGAAACGCCGCCTGCTGCGGAGCGGACTGCTTGCTGGAGGCATTAAGTAACTTCTCAAACGCTTTCACCGCCTCGGAAACTTGCTTCAGGGACGCAGCCTGCCTGCCGATAGTGAAATGGATATGATCCTCGGCCAAGGACCAACCTCTTTGGTGGTATACCTAACGTCACGTGTCGCATGAGATGATAGACTGATCATTCCCGCGTCTTCTGCTGACTTCTCTTTATGTTGTTTTATGCCTACCTGATACGCTTGCTGATAGCATCTCAGCGAATGCTTCCTCTGACCGGCTTTGGAGAATCTGTGTCCGGCGAGGACCGCATGGAAGGCATATTTACGCATCATCTTCGGGCCGATGAAGCAGTAGGCGGCCTGCTCGAGCAGCAAAGCCGAGCGTAAGTCTGAATCCTCACTGGTCATTCGTATCAGCTGTTTCGCGGCTTCCCCATACAGTCCTCGACCCTTCAGACACTCAGCGCTGAGCAGCGTAGCTCTCGTCGCGAACTGAGGCATCTTGCAGCTATTCGCGTAAGTTAAGATTGCGTCGTCCATGTATTCGATGGTTTTCCTATTCGTCTCGCCCTGCATAAAAGCGCTCAGAGCGGCCATCTCTAGAGCGCCTGCATAATATACCCAAGCTTGATCCGCCGCGAAGTCACGCTTCGCGCTGTGATATGCTTGGTAGGCGAGCGAATAGTGGCCGAACATGAAGCACAGGTCACCTAAACGTCGTAGCTGCAATTCCGGCGACTCCGCTGTATAACTGGAACATAAAGAACGTGAACATTTTCAGGATTGCATCGCGACGCGTCGGGACGCAACAAGTTCATTGAATGAAGATAGAAATAAAAAACAAAAGAGAGGTGGTCTCTTAAACAAGGAGGACGAGGAACGATTCTCTTACATTACAGCGTTTGACGGCGCAGAACCTGGTGCACCAGGCTTATTTGTACCAAACCACCTTCTCGTGGCGCTGAATAGCGATCTACTGACCCCCTTTTTATTCGAGATCACGTCGTTCAATAGGCCAATCTGCTTCTCTACGTAAGGTAACAGACTTCGTAAACAGAATTCTGTTATCAACGTCCGCAATCTTTCTAGATCTTGAGTAGAGAGACGAGCACCGTGTTGAGCAACAACGTAATTCGGAGAATCCGCCCAAACATTCGTGTTTATCGGCGAACTGGTAACGACAGATTGACTCTTGACGTTGGCTGCGGCAATAAAACTCTGCGATTTCTCGTTGTCCGGACTGAGCGGATGAATCGTGACCGGAACAGCTTCCTGTCCGACTTCTAGATGCATATTCGTCGATTCGGATATTTCGGAAGAGAGACTAATCGTATCAGCCAAGTCCGGGGATGGCAACGCGCAGTTTTGCGGCATCAGCGGCGTGCCGGCTTGGCTCACTCTGCAATGAAAAGTGAAGAATTATTTCGCACTCTGAATAAAAAAAAAAAAATATATATATATATACGCATATTTCTTTATGTATATAGAAATAATAATTCTAAGATGTGTAGGAAAAAGGCTATACTTGTCGGATTCTGTAGTCAGCTCACTCGGCATGGCAGATACTCCACCTGTATCCGCGGGTGTACGAGGAGAACTGTTTTGTTCGCTGCTGCCAGACAATTCTGAGTGCTTAATTAGAAACTGACTCCAGGGATCAGGTAAATGCGAATTGTCATCCGAGATACCTGGCGGTCTCGAGTTCATTTGCAATAGAAAACAATTGTTAGCACCATAAATAGTCTTCATCTCTGTAAATACTATTTCCGCTCTGAAAGATACATACTCATGTAAATTTGTACAAGAAATGTAGATTATCTATATAAAACTCACTGGAATTCTATATTTTACTGGTTTTAGAAACAGTATGTAACATAAAAAGAATGAATAATATACTTGCTTATTTCTATCATCCTGGATAGCATCATGGACTAAAATATAATATCTAAGAGAATTGTTGTTAAACCATTTGGGTAATTTCCCTGGTATACTTTGATGCAATTGTGCACCCATATTCTGAATCTTTTCTAATGGATTGTCCTCGGCTGTGGAAACAACTATCATGCAAGCGAGTAAGTGTTTTGTAAATTCGTGATCCGATGGAAACTGGACACTTAGGAATGTCTCTCTCCACGCCTCGAACCAAGGGACAGATATAGGAATATCGAGTTCAGTTGTACCGATACGAACACTAGTTGTTCGTTCGCACAATGCAGAACTGACCGCCTCGTTCAACATCTTTTTGGCAAGACTCGGTTCCGGTGGTCGTGCATTGATATCTTGTATGGAAAGCCGGAGGTTCCTGATCGCTATAGTGTTTCCCTGAGGATCCTTGAAATGACCTAAATAAATCAACACGGACATACGTTAATGTTAGCATGAAAAGATTCAGCTAATACCGATTATATACATGTTGCATCGATGATCTCGGCAACTGAACGCTCACTGGCGTGGGGACGCGTGGGAAGCGCTAGAAAATTTCGGCTTACCCTCGGTATTCAATTTGCAAAAAGGCTGTAGCAGCTCGACGAATGACAGATTATTCTTTTGGCACGCAGCGTCAGCCGCGGCCGAGCAGACCACGGCGATCTGCGGGGAGAAGGTGTTGCCGATGAACTCCCGTGGGGTTAACTTGCACTGTGCCATGACTTTGTTTGGGCGCAAACCATCAAGATACATGTATAACCCGTACTCACTCGCGCTCACAGCACCAACGAACGAATTTTTCTATCTCATTGATTTGCGACTCAATCGGCCTGCTGCATCCCGCAGGATCACATTACCGCCACTCGTTATCTCGCGAGTCTTCGGCGAACGATAGAACGACTACAGTGCATCCCGATGATCCCGATCGTGCATTCGCGGAGATAAACATATCTCATCGAACAGCTGTTCCTGCAAATATCCGCCCCTGAGAACCTGACGAGTGAGAATCGCGACCGACTATCACGTCGCGCGCCATGTGGCACCAACCAGAGATAAGCGATGTGTGTACCGATCGATCAGTCGATGTTCGATTCTTCCTCCTTTTTCCGTTGAAGAATCGACCTTCTCGGCTTTTTTTCTAATTCAATTCATTCGGTTTCTCGCTAATTCGATGTCGTTACGTTCCGTTAGGTTTCATATTATTAAATTTTAAGGCTGCTTTACTTTATTCGCGATACATGACTCTTATATTTATTATATGTAAAAAATGAAAATATCGTCCGATTCGTCGTCGGCCCGTACTACTTGAAGGTAAGAAGATCCATCATCCGATCTGTCGTTATCAAGCACGTGACCTGACACGGCCCATCTCTAGAAGCAGCTACCCCGTGCAGCGGACAGCTACATAACCTCAATCCCGAGTTTGACAGTTCTCCTCAGTGTAATACGGTATTCTTTAATCGTAAACGGTAATAACTGTCCCTCTAGTTTTGATTTCTCAGTCGCAGATGCATATCCAACGACTCGGCGCGAGATAACCTGCAATTATGGCGGAGGATAACGCTGCAGCGTCCAAAGCAAAAATCGAACGCGCGGAGGTTAACAACGAGGACAATGAGGTGGATATCAGTCGTTACTTCAACGACGCACCGCCGACGATCTTCGACGAGATCGTCGCGCCGAAGAAGCCCGACTACTTCAACGTGCAGTCAGCCTCAGTGAGTCGCGTTTCGGATTACGCTTCCTTGTCCGACGGCACGTCGAGCGTGCCTTTTTTCAACTCGGACCCCCTGCGAACATCCGTCAACTCGTTGCTGGAGCCCGCTGAGCGAGTCGCCGAGCATAGCGCGTCGAACGACACACATCGCGACGCCTGGATTCCATCGGAGCACACGCGGAAGATCCTGCGGTCCATCGCGACCACCGCCGCTGGCAGCAACCACCTGGAACGCGAGAACCTCACCATGCCAGGTCTGGCGGTGCACGGCGACATGCCCGACCCCATCAAGAACGCGTCCATCCACTTACTCGGCGAGGACGAGAACATTCACAGGAACGTGCTCACCGCCTCCGACGTGACGCAGGACGAGCGTGGTCTGAGGAATCTGATCCAAGCTGGCTGCTACCGTGCAGCTGTCAATCTGTCCGGCAGGTTATTGGCAATCTATGCTCAAGGTTACGGCAAGATCAACCAGCCCAGTAAGCACACTCCTCACTCCTTGCAGCTGTGGTACACGAGACTTTCGCTGTTGGCTAAGCTTAGGCAGTTGGAGGTGCTAGAGAACGAGTCGCGGCCGTTCGGCAATCTAGACAAGCCCGATATGTACTTCAGGTTTTATCCAGAATTGTACGGCACCAGGTCAGGCTCAATGGCGTCGTTCGCGTTCAGACTACTGTTAGCGGAGATTCCATCTTACTGCGGTAAGCCAAAGCAGGCGTTGGACAATCTGTACAGGCTTCTCGCGACCGTCAGTCAGATCGTGGCGAACCTTCAAATGGGTCTACACGGTGAAGGCACGCGGACGAAGATTAGCGAGTCCGAACAGCAGGATGCCATGCGACTATGGGCTGCCAGGAAGTCCAGAATCCTCATCTCTGTTGTCAACTGTGCGATAAGCATGAAGAATTACGTCCTCGCGATAGAGATCCTGGAAGACTTGTGCAGGTTACCTGACTGGAGCGCTGAGCAGGTGGGGATCTTGAGGTCGGCAATAGGAAGGGTGCATCTGTTCCTCGGGGACGTCTCCGCGGCGGAGAGATATCTCGTCCGCGACGGGAAGGAAGAGAGGACGTCGAGTGTCCGGGAATTGGTGGATAGCGGACTGATGGCGGTCGCGCAGAACGCCTTCCAAGAGGCCTACGGCTGCTTCCAGTCCGCCTCGGCGATGGATCCGTCCAATGTGATGCTGATTAATAACATGGCCGTATGCCTGCTCTACACCGGTCAGCTGAAGGCCGCTGTGCGACTGTACGAGAGTCTCGTCGGTAGGAATCCGATCAAGAGTCTGCAGGAGCCGATCCTATTGAACATGTGTACGTCCTACGAGCTCCACACCACGCACTGCAAGCAGACCAAGCTGCACCTGCTGCGCCAGCTCAACAGATACAAGGGCGACGCGGCGGATATTCTGTGTCTGAAATTAGCAATATGATGTTAGTACGGTGTACAGTTGTTACTGTTTCAATGTTAGCGCGATCTGGAATGCCGGTTCCGTCATTCCTGACTGTAATAAGTTCTAGCTGAAAATTTGCGCAAAGGTGGATCTCGTCCACACCACTGCGCACAGACACACAGTACACAGACACAAACCGGAACAGTCGGAGCTTCGACATCACCACGTTGAGTTATTTATTGCTTTTTCTTCTTTTTTTTTCTCTTTCCGTTCGATGCGACCGCGCACGGACTTGAGTCGCGAAGCGTTCAGCCTCAGGGAAGGTGTAATCGTTGTGATATATTGAGAGAGAATAAAAGTATAATGTTTAGTTATACAAACGCCTGCGGATTCTTTCTTTCAGAGCTCCGAACCCTCGTCACGTCACGTCACCGTCTCCTTCCCACATCTATTCTGCCCGGTAGTTCATTTCGGATTCAGGACGATTTTCAAGGATCGCACATATATGATACGAAATACGATATAAGCGCAGCAGACAAGAAACACAACACTGGAACGTCAAAGTAAAATAGCCTTTATTACATCGTGAAACGAGGACAATTTAACGAACGTTCAACAATTGCTATAGTTTTCTCTCCCCCTCACACTCATTCTCTCTCACTCTCTCTCGCTCTCGCCATACACACGTGTCGTTGAACACGTATGTGTTCAACCACGCGTTTTTCGTCTTTCTCTGCTTCTCGATCTATCTGCTCTTTTATTACTTTTTCTTTTTATTCGAAAGAATACGAGTAGCGCGCCGTAGCGTACTCCGAAAATATATATAATAATCGGATGTCCTTACGCTCTTTCTTTGCGGTTTTTTTTTCACGTTTTTTCTTGCATTTAAGCAATGCGTGCCTGCCTTCGATCGTTCTTTATTCGCGCGTCGATTCTTCGCCTTTCAAGTCCCTCTTATTGTTTCCTCGTTTTCCTTTCATTTTCTCTCTATCGCTTATTTTTCTTACTTTTTACTCTTTAAACTGGCTAATTTACTCCTTCGATCTCGCTCTTCCCCCTTCTCTCTCTCTTTCTCTCTTTCGCTCTCTTGCTCTCTTATTATCGCACAATCGCATTACATCGTAGCACATATTAGATCGGATTCCAAAACTGCACACTCTTTCTCTCTCGCGTTCTCTCTCTCTCTCTCTCTCTCTCTCTCTCTCTCTCTCTCTCTCTCTCTCTCTCTCTCTCTCTCTCTCTCTCTCTCTCTTTCTCTCCCTGCAGAAAAAAAGGCACGAACTGGCGGAAAAGTCGGCCTAACTGTATAATATTTTCATTTATTTATTATGGATGGAACTTCGTGTCACAATACATTATTTTATTTCCTCTCTTTTCCCCCACCGTCGTCCCATTGGCCTCACGGCGGTTTCGGCCCGTTAAATCGTTAGTGCCGCGAAAGTTAATGGCGTAGTGTACGTAGCGCAAGATTCTCCGCGTATCGATCAAATCGCGACTTATTACAATTACTTAATTTGCATGTTATTACATCTACCTCGAATGCCCATTGTCGACTATCGAATACGACTGGATCGTCCCCTTCTGTTAGATAAAAGTAAGGCGTTTCTCATATCAAACGTTTTCGCCAAATTTGATTACTTTAGAATTAATATCGAGTATGCTGAAATAAATTCTTACATAGCTACAATATTATTTATATACGTACTAGCATTAGAATCGGAACAATAACTAGGACGCACTAAAGGCGAGTCATCGCATTTATCGCGACAATTTTAGGTCGCATCCTTTCAAAATTATGAGAAAAATTTTCCAGAATAAATCACATGATCAAATTTTGTGCTCAATATTTCTTAAAACTTCAACACTTGAATTCTTAATTTAGGTAAAATTAAATTTGAAAGAATCATCTGCTTAATTTTTTAATTATCCAATTTAGAATAAACTACTTATACACATACTGTTTCATTAATCTTGCTCTCAGAATATCTGTGCAAATTTCAGCTTTCGTTATGTGTGCAAATTATTTCAGTCATAGTGACTGCTATAAAATAATGTTGACACGACGGTTAAACAATTTGCAGAATGCGCCTAAATATCAATGTAATAAACACCGTTTAGGAAACATTACGACGCCAAATTCTGTTACTGCGTATTCGAATATATAGTTCGTTCCCGTTTTATCATTAAATTATGCATTAATTATAAAAGAACACCTCGCACGAAACTTGCGCTGCGAACACTACATCATCAAGAAAAAAACCTTCAAGTTGCCCCTTTCTCTTTCTCTCTCTCTCTCTCTCTCTTTCTCTCTCTCACATTCTTTCTTTCGTTCGAATACGTTCACACTTTGTCGCATTATAATAATATTCACATCGCTATTTCTGGCGATTAAATGTAAATTTTGTGTATATATATATATATATATATATATATATAATATATTTTTAATATATAATATATACACACACACAATTGTGTATATATAATATATATATATATACGCCAATTTTTATATATAGTAAATTTATCTTCTTATACGCCTACAATATATTTATATATATATATGTACTATAGTGTAGTGTGTGCTTACGCCATCTAAACTCTAAAAGAAACGGTACATTATTGTCTGCGGTATTTTTTTGTTTTCGAATATTCATATATATATATATATATTCATATATATATATATATGTATATATATATAGTATATACAATTTTCTCATTTTTTCAGTATTTATATTATATTAGTCAATGAAAAGCTCAATGGCGTGTCCATGTAGTATTCATTGAGTACAATAAATCTGAAAGTCCATACGCTTCGCGACACTCCTCGCATATAGTCGACGCAATGTAATCTATTTTGCAGAATACAAAAAAAAGTATCTTTTATTCCTTTTGATGGCGACTTATTCATCAAGCCTTTTTATTCTGTCATTTATCGATCATCTTTATTTGACGAACAAGATGAACAAAAACAATGGAACGTATAATCCGATTCGAAGAGGATCGCGAAGGTAACTCTGCTCTCGACGCCGACGTTGCATCAATGTCGCGCTAACATTTAATGTATTTATCGTTTTTTTTATCTCTTGGCAACTAGGCAAGCTCGGTCGTTCACGGAAGGCATCGTATGGTGCTTATTAAATCGTTGCTTCAACAATCATAACAATCTTTCTCGCTCTTATTTTTCTTTTCTGCACGCTTTTTGTTGTTTCCTTTTTCAATTATTCACGCTGCGTCTGTTACTTCATCTCGTTATTGTTCGAACAGGAGATAACGGCGATAATCGATGTCGATGCACGAAAGCTGGCGCGACTTACATACGTTTTTTTGCTTTTTTATCCTTTCCGTTATTTAGTAGTACGTACATATACTGAGGCAAGCGGGTCGCAAAAGCTCCCGAATCGGAGGAAATATATATATATATATATATACTTTTTATCATCTATACGTATATAATATTGTCTTCGTAAGTTCTCTGCCTTTCCCTTCGGATGTCTTAACCCGTTGTTGGTCATGTAAAAAGTTACTTAAAACGAGGATGTGAATATAATCGGGGATCGAAACCGGTATAAATCGCGGTGAATTATCCGCAAGCTCGCGGACCTGCCAAGATTCCGTCGGTCTCGATTCCCACAATGCGAATGCAAAGCGGAACGACTCGAACGCTGATTACCTATTCAATTCAACGTGAAAAGAACGAGATGCAGAAGTTACAGAATGGATGCGCAAAAAAATGTGGTGGGTTCAAACTTATCTCATCAACGAAAATAAGAGGTAAGTGAAGATATAGAAGAATTTTCGACGAGCGATGCTAGTCGAGCAAGAACTGATAGACGATGAATCGTTAACGAGAGAATACAGTTAGGAACGACATGTCGCGTTTGAGTAATATGCGTAAAGTGCTTGAATAAAAGGAAATGCGATGAACGAATTCGCGTCGCGATGAACATCTAGAGTAAGAGAAGAAACGTGACAGTTCTCTGTACGCCCGTGTGTCGAATGTGTGAGGAAGAGATCCGTTGCAGTTCGAAATTCGCTGCTCGATCGATTAGTGTACTATATCATATCCGTACAGTAATATTACATTATAATTATATAAAAATATATTTCTTAATCATTTTAACACTATAATAAATGAGTATTATAAGCATTATAATCTGCACATCTTTCTGGTTTTCTTTTTGCTTCTCGTCTTTCTTTCGTAATGTAGTGGAGACACGATGCCTGTCGCGGATAACCGAAGCTTCTACACGCGTCGAGGAAGTACAACCGTGACGTACCGGTTTGCCATATGCCGCACGCACACACACTGGCAAAAATTTTTCAATATAATACGGTAATATCTGTATCATCTCTCTTTCTTCTCTCGTCTTTCTATTATATCAATAACAATATCACTTATCACTTGTGGTATTCGTGTAAATAAAAAGACGCATAAACTGTTATAAAATACATTCTCGAGTATTATCAATCTTGTAGAGTATATATAATATATATATATATGTATATATATATGTATATATATACATGTATATATATATATATGTATATATATATATATACACACGTTCTTACCCCTACGCGTCCGAACAAATAAAATCATATAAACGTCGTAATATAATAATTTTATAATAGTATGTGTTTGGAAGCATTTAATATCATACTTAGACGTTTACTGTGTATTCGGGCCTCGGATTTCGGTGAAGAGATTATTGCGAGGTTTTATTACATGTTTCTCATTCGTCGTCGCGCACTTTTTCGAACAACACGAATGATCGGAAGAAACGCGTCTAAAAGATATTCTAAACGATATTCTCTTCGGACGAATTTTTAGATATCTTTTATGTTTTTCGGAACTTCGTGTTATTCGTATTCCATCGAATCTACGCTCCGCCACGTAAAACGAACGCGTCACGGGAAAAAATCAGTGACCGTTTTCACAAAAGCCGGAAGGATTATGATAAAATTACGTGTCATGCGGTGTTATTCGTTGCAAGAAAAAAACGGTAAATGAGGCCCAGAAAAAGAAAAGGAGAAAATAGAAAACAGAAAACGAATATTCGCGGAATGTATAGCGCACTTTCTATGTACTATGCGTTTGTGTAGTTTTGAACGGTAGTCGTTATATTTATAGGAATAATGCGTTATCAACTTGTCAACTTGTAAGTACAATAGTAAAAAAAAGTCGCTCGCATGACATCAATCACCGACCCGCATGGCCCTTAAAATTTTCACATTCTCTCTCTCTTTCGCTCTCTCTTTCTCTCTCTCTCTCTCTCTGTCTCTCCCAGTCTATACATATATATATAATAATATATAATAATTACTATATAGCCCTTTGTCGTGTGAAGTTATCCATTTTAAGGAGGCGGAACATGAGATTCTACTCCCCGTTTTACATCCGACTGTTTCCTTCCTTTTTTAACGTTAAGCTCAATTAACAGCTGAGTCCAGACATATTTGATTCGGTAAACTCAATATATCCATTTTTACCCGTGTAGAACGAGCGCTCGTTTTACACTGCGCGCGTGCGCGATCTCCATTCTTATATTTGAATTATATCATTGGAACCTGAGATGTAAAGTTATTTGTCGAGATACCAAGCACCGTCTTTTCATGAAACGAATTCACCGAGTATATATCACGTCATGCGTTTTCCAATCGTCAAATCTGGCTTCGTATATTATTGAGGTTTGTATGCTACTTACACGCGAACATTGAGAATGGACATCGCGCTCTCTCCTCATGCGGACGTGGCTAACAAATTTGTACATTAATTAGTTCCTTATTATTGTCATGGTATATATAGTATCTTGTTAATAAAAATACTAAAATATTATGTATATTATATATTATATATAGATTATTGCATTATGCATTTTTGGTACCGTTACACGTGTTTGGTTTATTTGTCAACTTACGCTTACCGCGAATAGTTTTCTTTCGTTCGCATTAACTAGTTGTTTCTTTCCCCTTTCTTCACGACGTAGAATAGAAGATTAATAAAATCTAAAGCTAATCCAGACGAGATACAACGACATTTGTCTTAATACGCGATTTATCACCCCCATATATACTCGCGAGATTTCGAATCGATTATTTATTCGTAATCGATATCGATATCTTACTCTATACGCATTATTAAATCTTTGTGATCTCGCGAGTTTTAACTTGCGACTCAGAACTTAATTCCCGATTCTTTGAATCGCATTCTCCGAATTATTAATCCACATCCTCCTTTCCTTCTTCGAAGTACGAACTGGCCCAATATATAACGCCACGATTTCGTTATGTGATGTCGCAGTATCTTATGTATACTATACTTATAGCTCCGCGAAACGTCGCGGTATCTTTTTCTTAAAGTTCGTGCCGAGTGGAAGATAGAAAGGCGTTCTAGCATTTCCTTGTGTTTTCACTTTTTCGCAAAGTGAAATCGTGGATTTCCTTCTCGGAAATTTTGGAGGAAAAACTTACGCGTAAAAGAGGGAAATCCTAGATGTAAGGAGAAAAGACTACCTAGGTAAGCGAGCGAGCCTTGAGTGAGCAGGCGAAGTACTCCTATTCTCTGTAGGGCTTGCAGTAAGAGTAACGATGATTCATGTGCTGGCTATAGGAGCCGGAGTGAGAGAAGCGCTTGAGGCACTTGGAGCACTGGAAGGGCTTTTCGCCACTGTGCAGCCGTTTATGTTCAGTCAGATGATGCTTGTGCTTGAACGCTCTGGGACACTCCACGCATTTGTACGGCCTTTGCCCTAAAATGGTCGCGATTTGGGATTATAATTTTGTATTGAAAAATTTGAAAATTTCACCAATTTCGAATCACATTGTTATTGACTAATGCTTAAAAGATTACTGATTCCACATGGATTATATATCAAGGTTGCTTATATCCTAAACCAATTGTTTGTAATATATATATTGTGAGTAGAATAACAATTTTACATCAAAGTATGAAAACACTCGACTGATAGAATATTGAAAGAAATCGCTCTTTTCTCGTCATGGAAAAAATTATCTTTTCTAAAGATGATTAGATAACGTATCTCATTACAGCAATTCGTAGAAATTCGTGATGGCAGTATGAAGACTCACCGGAATGTTCATACTTGTGTCTCGCGAGGGAACTGTGTTTGGAAAATGTTTTGTCGCACCGATCACAGAAATAAAGACCCTGCTCGGTTTCCGTTGCTATGGGGGTTACTTCTGGTTGAGGTATAACCTCACTTTCGCCTTTCGCGTTCACTTGATTTTGGCTCTGTGAATGACATAACTTATATTAGAATTAACTATTGCAAAATTTCAAATATGATAATTTATATATAAGATTGTTATGAAGTGTTATTTTAACACTTCTTTATTGTTTTTCCTTCCTTTTGTTGTTAATTCAATATTACCTTCGCAATTATCTCTCCAGTTGGTGGTATACGCTTGACTTCAACAGGGTCAGTAGTAGTTTCTTCATCTATGACGAGAGGTGAATCCTCGAGATCATCGTTGTCGACGTTCGGGGCTGGATTATTATCATCCTTCTGCTCGCAGGGAGATGAAGTATTTCTACTCGACGTATCGCTTTCTTTGGTTGTCGACATAGCAAGCGCTTCCTTTTTAGAGAGATCCAAGGGTTGCTCGATTACAGCCTGATTTCTTGGTAGTGTCAAAGGTACCAGACCTGGCATTCCCTTCGATTCCCTTCGATCCCTGGCTCGAGAATTTTGAAACCAAACCTATAAAATAAATGCATAATTGCAATATGTGGTAATACAGTATAATAATACAATAATTATCTTCAATTTTAACACATACCTGTACAACACGGGTAGGAAACTTAATGTAATCGGCGATCATATTGATCTCCTCCTTCTTAGGACGCGGGTTAATAGCATAGTAACCCTTCAGAACAGCCAACTGTTCATCATCTATGAGTGATCTAGCTCTCACCCGCCTGCCATTGTCGTTGTGAGTTTGATTCCCTTCATCCTCATCCTCTGAATCCGCCTCAGAACTGTCCTCCCTTTTTCTCTTGTAGGTTGATCTCGACGTTGGTTGATTGACGTTCTCGAGCTTTGCGGCTAAACCTTCACTCTGTGAATCATATTGATCCGTCGCAGCCCAGTCCGGACAATGTGTCATCTCACTGGACATCTCACTATCTTGATCCTGCGAATAAATTTTTAATTTACCGACGGGAATATGCCATCGATAGTGCGACGAAAAAAGTAAAAGTGGGATAAAGTTTTGAATATCTATAAATCATTATATATATGTATATACATTATATACATAGGACGTAGACAAAGTAATAAAAATACTAAACCATGTTAGAGATGTAAATTGTTGTGCCGCTCTAGCGTTAAGCGCCTGATTTTTTATATATTGGTAAGAACAATGCAGTGATCATTGTCAAAGCAACAGCGTCCAACACTATAACAGTATTACAGTGCACAAAAAACATCATTAAAAGTAACTTATCAAAAAACATCACAAAAGTAAAAGATGCTAAATAAGTTAAATGAAAGGAATTATTAAATATTAAAAAAAACAAACTGTTTTTTAGTCAGCACAATCGTTAAATCATATAATCAAACAATTGTGATCAATATTGAAGCATAAATTTCCCATCTCTTTTATCTCTCTAGTATATCCAAAGAGATGCTTATAAAGAATGGTACAAATTCCAATTGATGATCATAGAAGATTTATGAATCTATTCTCTCCGAAAGATATAAGCTACATTATTAGCAAGTGATGGTCTAACATTCCATGTTAATATATATATATATATGTGTGTGTGTGTGTGTGTGTGTGTGTGTGTGACTTTCACGTGTATTTTCATTATTTTGTTCATTTTCTGTGTATTTTCAACATTATAAGATTAACAACTATAGTAGTATTTTTACTTGCTATTCTATTGCGCGCTGAATTTCGCTAATATTCCACGTACTTGATAATCCTCCTCAAACTCTCGTTTCGTTATAGCTGGAGACGTGGAGAGCTTCCGCACATTCGCTTCCAGTAACTGCTTCGTGACGGAAGTATTCACGGTCTCTAAAATTCGCCGGACAGCGTCAAGACCCTGAGAGTCAGCTGGCGCGGGAGACTCTTTGCCCTCTGTGCCTTCCGTTCCCTCAGAGTCCGCTGTTGATGGACTCATTACTTCCCGATGCGTCTCGAAATGTTCAGTAAGCTCATCGATTCGCTTAGTATGCAAGTGATGTAAGAGTTTACCCAGTGAAGTCTGCAGAAAATAACTTCCCAAACCGATCATCGAGGGTAGCAAGGACGGCGGCATGTCGTAGACACCTGGGTATTTGAATTTTGATTTATGTGATTTCATTCATCTAGATAAATTTCAAATCTAGATAGATTTTTCCCAATGAAAATGTCGACAGATGTTATGACTTATTATACCATTCAATTTTGAGTAGCAGACACCTCATCTCGACATAAGTTCAGAACTAGCCATGATTAGATGAATATGAATATGGTCATGGTTAAAGTGGACCTTACGAATTGAGTTCCATCCTCTAATTCCTTTAGAATCACATGTATCTTTACAAGCAAGATTCCAATTAGAATTTCGCGAAAATAAAATCCGTCTGACATTAATTGGAAAATATATAAGATACGTCACTAGAATCTAGACATGAAAATATTTTATCAAAAAAGTTTTTTATCATAGATAAAATCTAGAAGTACGAAGAAATGCTTTTATATTTAAATTAAGACATTCTTCTAGAGTTCTTTTATTCTATTCTTGTATTCTCTTTGCTTAAACCACCACGTCAATTCTATTCCTAAAGCATCAGCACACAGTCTTCAAATAGGTTTTATCCATAGTCGCGAATGCCGCCTCAATAATGGCTCGGAGAAAGGTCACGTTGAGATGCCTGGAAAGCTTTGTTGGAAACCTTCTCGATTACGCTCCATATGTAATAGTCGAGAGGGTTCAGATCGAGATTTTTAGGAGGCTAGAAGTCCTTGGCCACACAGGTGAACACACGAGCAATTAGTACCAGGCAAATCTCTTAGCCTTGACGACCTCGGGGAGCATCTATCGGACCTTGACATAGGACATGTACCTGAGGTCTTCTTGAGCGGTTCGACAAACGGTAGAATCGCTCACCTCTAAGACGGCCGCTAATTTCCTGAGTGAAGTTTCTGGATTTTCTAAAATGAGGTTCTTTGGACGAGTTCCGGAATCCATGTCGTCTTCTCTCTTACTTGTATCTTCTACGCCGGGATGAAGGAGCCCTCCTTAGATTCCTTTGAAGCCGCGTACATCTGGGCAATATTATACACTATCGACTTGGAGTATCTGAAGAAGTATATCTCATTCGGTGTCTTTCCAGTGCGAAGGCCTCTGGTAATAGCTGCTTTCTGGTTACATTCTGAGCTGGACTTGACTGACTTGGCCACTTCGAGTTAATAATATTTTGGCTATGTTTCTGGCTTACCTGGCGCCAACCGTCACCTACTACTGAACTTTAATATACTAGGTGCGCAACTAAGTTTCCGGGTTTCACACATGGATGGCGCTAATGACACATGTAGTCGACATATATGTCTGAAGTTGTGTTTTTTTATAGCTTGGACATCTGTTAACAATAACCAGTCATAATACCAATACATATCGCAACACAAAAATACTTTTTCTAACAACGAAGATGTCGAGTTTCGTGCCAAATAAACAGCATTTGTGGGAAGCTTTGCTTTTCTGCTTTAACTTGAAAAAAAGTGCAGCTGGAGCACGTCGTTTGCTTGAGGAGGCTTACAACGAATATGCACCATCGAAAACTACCTGTGAAGATTGGTTTAAACGCTTCAGAAGTGGCGATTTCGACACTGAGGACAAAGAGCGCTCCGGAAGACCAAAAACAATTGAGGACGTCGATCTGCAAGCGTTATTGGATGAAGATGATACGCAAACACAAGATCAACTTGCGGAGACATTAAACATGACTCGCCAAGGTATTTCCAAACGTTTATATGCCATGGGAAAAATTCAAAAGGAAGGAAAATGGGTGCCGCATGAGTTGACTGAGAGACAGATGGAAAATCGAAGAGCCACTTCCGAAATTTTGCTTTTGTGGCATGAAAGAAAGAGTTTCCTGCATCGAATTGTTACTGACGATGAGAAGTGGATATATTTCGAGAATCCCAAACGCAAAAAATCGTGGCTTTCACCTGGCGAAGCATCAACATCGACGGCACGGCCAAATCGCTTCGGAAAGAAGACAATGCTCTGCGTTTGGTGGGACCAGAAAGGAATCGTGTACTATGAGCTGCTGAAAAGAAGCCGGGCGAAACTGTCAATGGGTATCGCTATCGACAACAACTGATCAATTTGAACCATGCATTGCTCGAAAAACGGCCAGAATGGGACACGAGACACGAACGAGTGATATTGCAGCACGACAACGCTCCGTGCCATCGCACTTCCATCGTCCAGGACACCACCAAACGCTGAAATGGGATCTACTACCGCACCCGCTGTATTCGCCAGACCTGGCCCCTTCCGATTATCACTTGTTCCGGTCGATGGCGCATGGCTTGGCTGGGCAACACTTGGCCAATTTCGAAGAAGTGCAAAATTGGTTGGATGAACGGTTTCGGTCCAAAGACGCGTTGTTTTATCGTCGCGGTATTCATGTATTGCCAGAGAGATGGCAGAAATGTGTAGCTAGTGAGGAACGATACTTTGAATAAATCATTTTTTGTATTTCTCTTGAAATTTTCAATTTTTCATTGATCAAAAAAACCTGGAAACTTAGTTGCGCACCTAGTAGTAGGAAATTCAAATTCAAATTTGTTCGCATTCTAGTGACGCACCTTGCAGTCTTGTCATTGGCTTAAAGTTTAATACACGAAAGCGCACTGCTATTTTTTTACTCTTTTTTTTACTTAACTATTTAAAATTCAAGATATATTAATGTTTTCATCTCTTTAATCAAGAAAAGATGTTTCGAATTGATTAGTAAATTTTTAGACGAAAGAAATAGCAAGAGCGTAAATAAATATAGAAAGTGATACATTGGGAATAAATATAATTTGGTTATTATATTATATTAGAAAGAAATAATGTTAACAGAATTACCTGTACCCTCCCTTTGCATATCTTGATATTCTGAAGGTGACAGCTTCGGCAGAATCGGAAGGAACGTGTTATTATTGGCAAGCGGATCAACGTCGCGTCGTCCTGACAACGGCTGATGCGCTTTCTTCGGTCCCCGATCGACGTTGCTTATGGTATTCTGCCTGGACTTCTTCAGATTCATTATCAAGCATTTCTTCGCCGTCATATGGCTCGAGTACGATCCAGAATGAGAGAAACGCTTGCCGCAATTGTTGCACTGGAATGGCTTTTCTCCGCTGTGAATGCGCAGATGCTCCTATAAAAAATGCCAAGAACATGTATTATTAAAGATGTCCACTTATCACTGCGATTTATATCGGCGTCCGAAGTACAAAGAATATGCAAAAATAGATCGAGTTTGAAGAAATGATAATAATATATATCAAATCATATGCAATTGAGACAATACTTTAAGAGCAATATGATAGAATAAACAGTATCTACTATAATTAAAAAAAAAGTTAATCTATAAAATACTATAATTAAAATACACCTATTTCATAAAATATATCTATAAAATACTACAATTAAATCCAACATAATTAAAAACATTAATCTAAGGAAGAAACAGGACGGATAAACGCGGAATATGTGCCGAGAAGACAAAGATATAGCAAAATAATCAATCGTTTATCTTAATGGATAATTATAGTGACAAATTACTTTAAGATGATGCTTGAACTTGAAGGCCTTCTCGCAATGAGGACATTTGAACTTTCGCAGAACGGCACTTTCATCATGACTGATCATATGCCTCTGTAGTCGATAGACGTTAGCGAAAGTTTTGCTACACACCTTGCAAGACTGTAAAATTATTGAAGATGTTAGTCATATAAGATGTATAAGCGTCACACACACACACACACACACGCGCGCGCGCGCACACTTATACATAACCGGTAACAAAGCATCACATAAGCAGATTTTACATACAATACGAATTTTATAATTAAATAGATTGCAAAACTACTACGCGATCGTGCTATTTTCATCTCTGGAACTATTTCCTTTGAGAACTGTTAGACAGATGAAGGATTTTTCATATTTTTTTCATTATTTCTTCCGTAAAGGACTCTTCTTCGATTTTTAGAATAAGCAATTAATTAATTTTTTCAATAAATTGCAATATGAATTACATATCTCATCGTCACCCCTAAACATCACGGGTTACGTTCATCTTAAACGTAAAAGAAAAAAACCGATTGAGAAAAGGGGTATAATAACTGGCAACTTCCCACCACCACCATCACCACTACACCATTACTACCACCCTCACCCTCCGCCGCCACTACCACCACCACCACCACCACCACCACCACCACCACCACCACCACCACTATCATAATTATGCTCCTACCTAGAAACATTCCTACCTCTTCGTCAGAGAGAATCGCGTGCGAAAAGGGCGAAGCGACGCTTCTCGGTGAAGAGAGCTGGCTCCGCTCTCGGGATAATCGATAAGTCCGCGCGCGAAACTCGGAGGACACCCATTCGCTGTGTGTGTCCTTGACGGGTCATCGCGATCACTCACCACTTGGGAGAACTGGGCGTTGAGATCGTGCTTATCAATGGGATAGGATGTTTTGTGCGCGTCCTCGAGATGAAGCTGCAGGACATGGACGTCCCGACAGAGGATGCCGCACTGAGAGCACCTTTCGCCACCCTGTTGGTGCTGCTGCTGCTGCTGCTGCTGTTGTTGCTGCTGCTGCTGCTTCGCTGAACCACCCTCACCAGCTCCTCGCCCTCCGCAGCCACCTCCACCGCAGCCGCCGCCACCACTACCGCCACCGCCACCACCACCACCACCACCACCACCACCTCCATCACCGGCAATACTTCCACCTCCTCCGGTTGGTGCTCCACCCGCACAACCTCCGCCTACCTCCGCATCCACGACACCTGCGTCGTCCTCGCTGCAGCCTGCAACACGCGCACACGTGGCAGGACTTTTATATCTCGCTTCGGCATCGCGCCATCGCGCAAAACACGAAGATCGAACCGCTCGTTAAAACGGACCAACGTCATCACGGGAGCGCGATTCGGTCTTTTTTCTCTCCGGTGATTTACTCTCGGATGTAAAGTAATCGAATGCGTTATATTCGCGCGATAACGCGACTTTTGCAACCGTGTAGATAATTAAACCTCTTCGGTACGATCGTCGACTTTAGTCGTATAGATAGATGTATAACCACGACGATTTGTTACAATTGTTGTAAACAATATTGGTTCGTGTGTAGTTCCGTATTTCGAAATTTATTATACCAAGTTTTATTTTTAAATTTAATTTTTTTCTTCCTTACGTTTATCTGTTGCTTATATATGTATATATATATATATATATATATATATATCATAGTTAAATCAACATATAATTTGTCATTTTTAATTGAACTTTCAATACTATTTTCTTTTTTATTAAAAGCTAATTATATACATTGGTAATGCTTCATTAAAATATATATGAAAATATCTGGTACTAATCCAAATAACATTATGCGGTGGACGAGTGCCGTACCGAAGACATTAATAATTCTGTCCATTTCCCACTTGCTAAAACTTTATTAAACATTTAGGATTAGTCGCACTTGTTGCGATCAATAATTTCTAATTGGGCATCTAGAAAGTCGCTCGTCAGACCCCGCAGTTCCTTCCAGTTACAGCGAGACGCCCTAACGACTCCGAGCGTTGTCACGCCGCGATGAAGTCAATTATTCGAGATTCCGCGTCGGCGTCGGCGGGCCGCACGTGCAAAATTGGCCGCGATCAATCAGCAACGGTACGGCTATCCAGTGGCAGTCCTGCATCGCGGTTTACATGCGTCTGGAGTTAATCGCGACTTCGCCAATTACCGATATATGCATGGCCGCACGTCACTTGTAATAATCCCCGGCGCGTCGCACGTGCATCGCGCTTCATGAGGACAATGTATAGCGCGGCTTCGCTATGGGTTCGGTGCTAAAAAAGATAGACGCGTGCGCGATAGACACAATCGAATCTTACGCGGCCGGGGCGTAGTGCCAGGACGCGCGAGGAGAAAGAAATACCGCGCGAGCGTTGCCAAATGTTTCGCGGCGCCGCTATTAAGCGAATGCATCCGAGTGCATCCGCATGCACTCATCCACTGACGCCCACACCGTGTCACGAGCTGATCGAGCGGCGATGCGATACGACCCGAAGGGAAAATTGCTTAAGTCCAGAAACGTGAATAATCGTACGGACGCAGATTCGTAAGATCCAGTCAATATCGATGATGATTTTTTTGACCGTTTGATTTGACAGAAACTTTTTATTGATATCGATGCGACGCATCGACGATATACTCGCACGTTTCACTGATGTCGTGTCGATGTATAGTCGAGAGATTTGTATATCGATAATATATCTAGAAGATGTCAGATAGTCGATACGTGGATGTATCGAGATTCGATTCGAGTATGATGTAAATTGAATAACAACTAAATTGTCGATATTTTTTCCAGACATCGCGATGAAATCTCAGAAATATCAAATCGATCGATGATTTTTCCTCATAATTTTGACCGGATTCTTTATCGACTCGTCAACCTGGCCAGCCACTCGCGCGAGCCATCAAAAATTCCCGTCTCTTCAAAATTGGGGGTGGGGGGAGATTCTTCGATTTTCTAAAATTTAGAAATTCGCTGAACTGTAATGCTTTCACGAGTGCAGAGTCAATGCGCGAATTTTATCGTACGGCCTTATCAGCATTATAGTGTTTTCTACAATGTCTTACGATAATTGAGAAAAAATAAAGAGACATTTGAATTTTAAATTATTGTTTAAGTTGGACCCCTTAAGAAATATTGGGAAGAAACAGAGCTTCATTTCTCACATGCATGCACATGCTTTCAAGTTCATCTAAAATCCGAACACATGCTCAAAGAGGCGATCTTAACAAAGATCTCCTTTCTCTTCGAGGGTTCCAATAATATTATTTAAATAATATTATTTCCAACTTTCCCAGGCACAGAGATAGACGTGAGAACTTCGTCCTCGAGCATCCAATATGTATTGCGGCTGATATCTCTCTATGATGAAACAATACACGATTCAAATCTTACATCGTTACATTCTGGATACTTAATTACGTGTCGCTAATTACGATAAGTACTATTAATTTTATGTGGACGAAGTGGAACAACTTTTTCGAAGGAAGAGTACGAGGGAGGATATGCGTCCCTCGAGATGAAAATCTAATCAATCGAAGGAACCGGAGAGAAAATCCCAAGGTGATTAACCGGCGATATCGATATCCTCTTTTAATTACTCAGATCCGACATCGATGGGATCGTGAAAATCAAGCCTACCCGATAAACGATTGGATAAATAGACGAATGGAAAGATCGAATTTTCGTCTCTCGTTACCCGCAGCCACCCGTTCGTTGCGTCTCCTCTGCCATTGTGTGGCACATGTGTCACGCACGTGGGGTGGAAAGAGATGACGACGATCACGGGGGGAATATACCGGACGAGCGGCATTGTGCGGTTCCTATAGGTGTGTATAATAGTGCGTACAGAAAAGCGGAGCGGGGCTCGTGCACAGATACGTGCGCGTACGTGCGTGTACACATACACGCGCAGCACGAGAAAAAGTGGCACATGGCGGAGCCGCTCGAGCCTGGATAACTTTCGGGTGCGCCCATTGTCAGCGGGACCGGATTTAAATGCCTGCGACGTATGATTTCCCACCGAGATGCGATGATCGCACGCTCGCAAATCCGGGGGTGACGTCGACGACGACGACGACGACGACGTCGTCGCTGTCGCGCTGATCGCGCGATGCGTTAACTAGATGACTTAGTTTGAATAAATTCAATCGCGAAAAATTAGTATCTCATCTATCGGCTAATATCGATATATATGTGCAATTGTGCCCAACAATTAACGATTAGACTCCATGTACTGAATGAAGTACATGAAAATGTATTTCTTCGCATTCGTCTTTTATCACAAATTTTATGTTCCGAAAAAAATACAGTATTCGTGTATATCAAAACGTGTCAATGGGGGAGGGATAGGGGGTTATCAAACGCTCAAACTAAATTTACGGTTGCGAGGTACGCTGAATCAATAATACGATTAATGAAAATCTACGTTAATGATGATTAACGTAGATTTGATGATTAACGATAAGTAACTGAGAATAAATTAATAAGCGATGCAATCGCCGATTTTTACGCCAGTATACAATGAAGGGTTGGATTCTCCCACACAAGAGCACTTACATCAATCCGTCTTCTACTCTCTCGTCTCTCTTTTATACCACCTACTGTTTTACGTTCCGATGAAGATACGTCATCTGGATATATCCGTGCAAGTCAAGGAAATGGTCGGATGCAGCTTCTATAGACGCGCGTCTGGAAATGTATAGGATTCACCGTGGCTATACTCGCGATCGCGATGCGAGTCTCATAACGAGCAACGCATATTAATCTCGCGTACGTACACCGGCTGCCGCGAAAGCGCCGGCCGCTAATCAATGCGCGTAAGTTCGTGCACCGTCGTAATTAATATGCCGTTGCGCCCAGTAACTTCGCAAGATCGGAAGCGACGGGCTGCGAGTAATACGAGGAAGATCCAAGACAACCTTTTCTATCTTAAGCGCACGTGAAACAAAGTGCGCCTATATCTCTTAATTAACCCCTTGTAGCACGTTTTTTGTAATGAATATAATTTTGTGAAACTTGTTACTCGGGGGTTTTTAGAGTCGCTGAATAAAAATCCAGTGTGAAAAATACAAAATTCAAAATAGCGGATGAAATTTCCAAAATCAGCCGAATTCGCTTGAAATTTGTTATTTAGGGGTTTCCGAGGTTTTGCTAATTACAAATTCTTTATCGAAAATTCGAAATGCCAGCAATGACGGATATATATAAGGCAAGGTTCGATTGACACCAGTTAGGTTGCCCGATTCTCAAGCGCACTCAGCTTGTTTCATTTCTGTAATTATGTTCGCCATATGAGATCGGCCATTTTGAATTTTGCGTTTTTCATATCGGATTCATATTCAGCGACTTCAAAAACCCCTGACTAATAAGTTTCAAGCGAATTCGACTGATTTTGAAAACTCCATTCGCCATATTGAGTCCGCAATTTTGAATTTTGTATTTTTCACACCGGATTTGTACTCAGCGACCCCAAAAACCCCCAGATAATGATTTTGAAATATACGTTATTATTTAAAATTTCATGCACACGAATTTATTCTCTAAAAACGACAGTTTTATTCAGTATATGCTTATTAATAACAAATTGCTTATTTGAAATGGTTCTAAAAGTTAGTGTATTAGTTAGAGGAATATTTTAGTAGTCCAACAATACCAAATATGCTAAAGAAATATGTGAAAAATTTAAATTATTGGAAAAACAAGCTTGGATGATAGGTGGCATTTTGGGAGAACCACTATGCAGCAAAGGGTTAAAAGCTAAGCTATTCGCAATGACTGTGATTCAGTCGCCGAACAATAATCATCAAATCTACATTTGTCTCACAAAGCTTACGCAGTAATGATTATATCATAATTTTTAGGATTAAATTGATGATGGTATTAAGAAGAAAATAAATACATGACGACATGTAATATTTTCAATCTAATTATTGGAAGAGCCTGAATAATGAAAAAAATATATAAATATCCGAATTCTTTCTTTAAGCGTTAAGTGTTTACATCTTTTTATTCAATCGCCGAATAATCGTTGCATTTACGTTTGTCGTGCAATCTTACGGAGTAACAATTGTAACTTCAACGAATAAATGTTGACTTTCGTGTAAAGAAAGAAAAAAGAAGTGCACGCAACAGTAATATTTGCTCAGTGGAGTCCGAGTTGAAATGCGACTCGAAAACACGCCAGCGGTTGTTCCAGCTTCAATCAAAACTACATGGTAAACGGGAAGTCGGGTG